TGCAGCTACACCTATACCTTCACACTCTCAATTTATGAACCATTCTATCTTTTACCATCAACGTTTCGTTTGTAAATTGAAGGTTAAAAAAAAAACACCACCAAATCGGTGTCGACTTTTTTTTAAAGAATACCAACCCGGAAAAGATTCATTCACCGTTTCCTACTTTCACACACTGCAGTACTTCCTTGTAAACCGCACGTCAAAATCGTGTACTTCCAAACACACAGAAAAAGCGGCCTCTCTGCCCGATAAGTGAAGAAGTGACATTTTCAATAACATTTTTGGTGATTTTTTTTTTAGAAACATAACAATAGTCTTCAATTTGATCTTAGAAAGTGGCACAAGTGAAAACTTAACGTTTAGTGGTTCTAATCAGTACTTAGTTGATTTGTTTGAAGACTGGCTGACTGACTGACTGACTGACTGACTGACTGACTGACTGACTGACTGACTGGCTGGCAAGGCAATTTGTCTCACCCCTTGTCCACAGAACCTCTGCGGGAGTTGGGAGTTTTTAATAATTATATTTCAAATGCACACACGTTAGAATGACCTCTTTGCGAGCCAGTTTGCAAACCCTTTTAATATTCTCCTTTAAGGAGCAGATTGCAGCAGATTGTGTTGTATTGTGTACAGCGTCACCCACTGCTGGTAGAAAAGGGACACTGTCCTCTTTCGGAGCAGACGTTAATCCGAGGTCTTGTCTGCCTGTTCAGGTGGACATTAAAGATCCTGTGATACTTTTCAAAAAGGGGAGTTTCTCCTGGTGTCTTGGTCAAGAATCTTTCCACATAAAACTGGTCATTCACTTGCTTCCTGGCTGTTTCCCGGTCCATTGCTGTGTGCAAATTGTCAGCTGCGTACTCCCGGAAAACGCACAGTCCCTACACTTTACATTAAATATCCTGTGAAGCGCTTTGAGGCATCCAACCCACGTGAGAGGCACTCTGTCGAACGCAGGGATTGTTAGTTAAATATAAACCAGGACACAATGGTGAAATGTTGCGACCGCGGAAAGCTTCTTTCTATCAGACACTTTATTCCTCCATCCCTCCCGCCCCGTAAATTAAAATAACTTTGATGGAACCATTCAGCAACATGGAGTTTCCGAACTCGATCAAAGATTGAAAAAGAATTGTCCCCAAATTATGGATGTTTAGGATATTAGGATAGGATAGTCAGGAATACTCTATCTTAAATATTTAAATCTTATTTTATCGTACAGTGCCTCTCCTTCCTCTACTTTAGCCTTTGACAATCATAATAAGTAATAACTAATCCTTACATTACAAAGTGCTTCACAGGATATATTGTTAAGTGTAGCGACACTATTTTGTAGGCAATTTGTGCACGGTAACGTCCCATAAACAGCCATGAGATAAACAATCAAGTTTATTTGAGGGATTGTTAGCCAGGACACCAGGAGAAACGCTCTTCTCTTTTCGAACACTGCCATGAGATCCTTAAAGTCCGCCTGGACTATGCAGACTTTGGTTTAAAGTCACATCCTAAGGACGGCACCTCTGAAGACGCAGCACACCTCCAGCACTGCATCGGAGGATAAGCCTGGGCTGCACGAGTTCAAATCCCCCTCCGTGGGCCTCGAACCCACGGACTTCTGACCCAGAGGGACAAGTGTTACTAACGGAGGCAGGTTTTCAGGCTTATATGGCAACGTCTCTCATAATGGGCCTGCAAAACAGCAGTGAACATCCACGCGTCAGTCAAACTGACTCCGCAATCCGGATTTCACCATCTAACAGCAGCCACACTCCCATTTGCTGGCGCTGTGTGCGAAAAGCATCTGGTGACCTACCTGGATTCCTCATTGATTGGTACTCCACTCTGCATCTGCAAATCTTTTCCGGCTATTTGAAACAGCAACAGACCAGAAAACTGTCATGCTCCACCATTACTCTGTGTGACACTGAATCACGGTGAAAGTGAGACATTCAACTCGTGCAAAACCCCCCGACTCAGCAGTGGGTTCCGCTGGACGTTTCTATAGGGCTATTCACAGGCCTCCCTGTGACTTAGCAACCTGCTGAGGTCATCCCGGCCCCTTACTACCTCTGCTGACAATCACAGAATGTCAAATCAAACCATCCTCACAATACTATTGCCGGCTGAAGAGAATCTTATCCTGTGCAACTGTCATGTGCGCCCATCACACCGATTCAGCAGGTAAGTGCAGTAATGCAGGATTCCCACCCACCCCCCCCCTCTCACCGCCCAGTTGTTTTAAAAATTAAATCCAAGCCCCTTTATGACTATATTACAGCATTTGTATTGCCCAACAAGCACAAAACCCGGGAGAGGACCTGGATTTGATTCCCGGGGCACGGCGAAATGTTGGGCAAGTTTCCTTACTCCACACACACACCTGTTTACCCCGCAGTCAGCAGGAACTCCGGTGTTAGTCGATTGCTTTTCCGGGGGTTAATAATCCCTTCAAAGACAACATTAAAAAAATAATGACTTGGTCACTCAACCCACCACTGTTTGTGGGACACTGCTGTGCGCAATTGGCTGCCGCGTTTCACCCCAGAAATACACAGTATCTCCACTTTATAGTATATTCTGTGAAGCGCTTTGAGATGTCTAAACGAGGTGATAAGGCGCTATATCAAATGCAAGGATTATTATTAGTATACTATAAAACATCTGACGACCTTTACACTGCAATAGCCTCCAACAGTCAACTAGTCTAATCCTATTGAAAACTGTCAACACTTTTGGCCATCAATAGATGGATATGCGCTCAGATTAACGCAGAGGTTGCATATTAGTTTGATACTTTTTGCCATCGTTAAAAAGCAAAACATTGGAAAAAGAATTTGTCCCCAAATTATAGATGTTTAGGATATTAGTTTTGAGTTTGAGTCACTGCGTGTACATATATCTGTAAAACAAAAGTCGAAACACTTTTTAATTACCTTTACCCCCCAAATAAAATCGCAATGAGGGTAATTTATGTTGAAGTGGAGGGACTGTATTTGTTGGCGAGCCTGGCAGGGCTATTTGCGCACAGCAATGTATTAAATGTTAAAACTAATTCCTGTCACAAGACCAGAAACTGAGAACCAACTGAGACAGAAAGGTACAGCACGACACCAAGACATAATGGCACTCTGAAACCATCCTTATTCCCTGTCTCTTAAATCCTAAAGGTTTATTTCCTCGTACATTTGGTGCCACCTTGTGGTGTAATTTAAGCACATGAGTGGTTTCATTTGACAAATCTAACCCCTGGGTATTACGAAATGTTGGTGGGGAGATAATATACACGGGCTAACATGTGGTTTCTGACCCCAAAACAGTCACCGCTCTACAACCGGCTGTGAAACAAAATGGCCAACGGTCTCGCTTCAGGTACATCAGGTCACCGCTGACATCACTTCTCCATGGACCCACTGGAAGCTTCACAATTAGTAATGCAAAACCGGTCGAATTGCTGATGCTCAACTTTTAAGGTGCCTTAGAGAAGATCTGGCAGTGTGGGCAGTACAGATCAGTGAGGCCCGCCTTGCCTTCACACGCTTAGAAAGGCGAGTAAATTGCTTTCAACGATGTCCAGCTTCTCTGAGGTCTATTACCCGAGTTGTGGAAACTGTAAAGTGAATTGACTGTATGTTTTGTGGGCGAAACGCGGCAGCCAACTGCGCACAGCAGCGTCCCACAAACAGTCGTGGATTGAGTGACCAAATTACTATTGTTTATTTAGTATTATTTTTGAAGGGATTATTACCCCCGAAAAACGATCTGCCGATCGACTAACAACCGGGTTCCAACTTACTGCTGGTAAACAAGAGGCGTGTGGCGTAAGGAAACTCGCCCAACGTTTCACCCTGCCCGGGAATCGAACCCAGGTCCTCTCGCTTGCGAGGCGAGCGCTCCCAACTACTAAGCTGCATGCATGTGTACAGAAGAATTATTGATTTTTTTTAATTGCATATTTAGTGCAACAAAATGGATTGACATAGCGCCTTTCAGGTGGAATAATGCCTTGGAACACTTCTCAGAGACAACGGTTGGTGCTGAGCAAGTGAGGGGGAAGGAGGGAGGGGAAAGGAGGGGGGGGGGGGTGGGCGACCACAGATGCGGTCGAAGAGGCTGGTTAATTATTAATACAAAAACGGTTGCTCTAATGTACAGTGGAGAGATAAAAATCAGGCTTGTCTTCTTCTCGGGATCATAACTAGTGTAAGATGTTGACGCTCAGTATCTTGGAGAAGGTCTACCTGTCTGGGCAGGACACACTTGGAAAGGCAGCATCTCTGGGTGTTGCCCACTAATGCCCCTCTGCTTGACGTTCGTGTGTCAGTTGATGACTTATCACTCTGGTGCCATGTTTCGGACTGACTTCTGAAGCAAACGGTTCAATGTTTCTCATTAAACTCGGAATTGCCACAACATACTCATACAGCAACGACAACTTGCATTTATACAGCGCCCCCTCACGCAGGATAGCGACCCAGAGCTACAGTAAACTAACCCCAAGATTGCGTTTGCTCCTTATACTGCCATGATCCTCAGCAGGAACATTGAAAGAGAATTTAACGTTAACTCGTTTGGTTTTAGTTCTATTGATATCTAACGTACACTCCACTAACGCAGATTGCCTTACATCGGGACCCCGGTATTTTATTTACCAAAGAATCCAAACATTGTGCACAGAAAGCTGGTCGGCCGTCCAGCCTGCTTCTCAACAACAAACAACAACAACAAATTACGCTTGTATAGCGCCTTTCACGTAAGGAGGACATCCCAAGGTGCTGGAAACGCACTAAAAACGCCTGACGTTTGGGTCATCAGTTTCGTGCTGATGACAGTTCCCGCTGCACATGAGCAGAAGCCAAGATGGCGTTGTGTAGGCAGTTGTCGTGAATGTGGAAGCAAACGCTAACTAGCGATCGCGGACTGTTATAACATTGGTTAGGATCTTGTGGACCCTGACTGCCATATTCTAATAGGGCTCTGCTGTATTGCAATCTCACCCAAAAAATGATATCCTCCCAGCTCTATCGGGCATTGCGTCAACCGTGTCCCCAATGGCGTGAACATCTTCCTCCGTTGCTGCTGTGACCGAGGCTTTATCCGTGTCCTCCATCTCTTCAAAACCTTCAGGGGAGGGAAGAGAAAGAGGAGGTAAGTGAGTCTTCCCTTCTGTAGCTCAGCAGTTAGAGCACTCGCCTTGCAAGCGAGAGGTCCTGGTTTCGATTCCCGGGCAGGGCAAAACATTGGGTAAGTTTCCTTACGCCACACGAACATCTCTATTGACCTAGCAGTAAATAGGAACCCGGTTGTTAGTCGATCGGCGGATCGCTTTCCCGGGGGTAACCATCCCTTCGAAATAATAAAAATACTAATTTGGTCTCTCAATCCATGACTGTCGGTGGGACAGACACAAGGTGAAAGATCAGGTCAGTTCCGTGGTGATGGTTGCTCAGAGCCAGTGGAGACACATTGAGCCAAATGGCCTCCTTCTTCACTGTACATTTTCTCTGATTCTAGACCAAGGGCCATTAGTTGGGCAACGAGGATGAAATTTACCCGGAGTTTACTACTATCAAGGTCAGTTCAACCTATATCGATCAGCAGGTGATGTATGTATCCATGAGGAGGCCATTCAACACATTTGCACACACACGCAGACAGATTTAGGCTATTTGACACAGAGACACAGATGCAACAATATGTACAGGTGTACGTTTAGTCCCATCTGATTAGAATCACTAGATACGGTTGAATACACAAAGTCTTACCTTCTCGGTAAGGACTTTGAAAAGCCTTTTGATTTAGTGCTATACAGTCACCAAGATAAAAGCCATGGGCTTCAAAGGCAACCTCTCTGATAAGAGAATTGGCTGAATGACAGAAAGCAGTGAGTAGGAGGAGTAGACGGTTCTTACACAAACTGGTAGGCGAAGGGGTGTGTGGGGGTGGGGGTGGGGGGGTTGTCGGTGCCAGGATTGCTATAATACACATAGTCTCCCAGCTCTGGGTCAGACCTTTCTGGGAATGGATCCCACAATGGCAACGTGGAGTCCAGTAGCCTAGTGGGTTAGGGCACTCGCCTCGCAAGCGAGAGGACCCGGGTTCGATTCCCGGCTGGGATGAACCTTAGTTGGGCAAGTTTCCTTTACACCACCCACACAGAAAGACACACACACACACGCGCACACACACACGCGCGCACACGCCTCAGCAACACGATCAAGCGATCCATCAAATGCAAGGATTATTATTATTATTATTTTGTTAGAAAACAACAACAACAAGATTCCATTTATAGAGCGCCTTTCACGTCGGGAGGACGTCCCGAGGCGCTGTACAGTTGGGTCAGGACCAGAGCATTGGGGGAAATGGTCAGGGTGAGGGGAGGGAAGGGAGGAAGCGAGGAGGGGGGAGATGGTCACGGTGAGGGGAGGGAAGGGAAGGAGCGAGGAGGGGGGAATGGTCAGGGTGAGGGGAGGGAAGGGAGGGAGCGAGGAGGGGGTAGAGAGTCGAGAGCGGAGCTGAAGGCTGACGGTCAAAGAGAAAGGTCTTGAGACCGGCCTTGAAGGAGGAAAGGGAGGAAGCGAAGGCGAAGGCACTGGGGATGGAGTTCCAGAGCCTCGGGGCTGAGAGGCTGAAGGCCACCGATGGTCGGGCGGTTGGGGCGGGGGATGTGGAGCAGACCGGAGCCGGAGGGACGGAGGGTACGGGCGGGTAGATAAGGGGATAGTAGGTCGGAGAGGTAAAAGCCAGGAACCTGGAGTTCAGAGCCTCGACTCGGGGCTTCTGACCCGCGAGATTTAAAGTGGGCTCGAAATGGCAGGTTGCAGCCTTGCGACGAAGGGTTAAGAATAAAGTGGGAGGAATCTGTCGCAATCAACAGTTTGAGGGATGCCATTTGAGAACGGCTGAAGTTTCCGCCGGGAATTATCTACTGCGTTGAATAAAAAACACACACACATGCAGGTCAGGGCAGCCTCATCCACCAGACACTGTGTTTGCAACAGGGAAACCGTCACCGCTGCAACGTTACCGGTTAACATCTAATTTAGTCGTTTCCGGGATTTATTTCAGTGTCTGTGTAATAAGGATAAAGGTTTACTTTCAAACTGAGACTTGAAATGGCCACAGAACCAGAGAGCAAAGGGGTTGTTCTCATTTCTCCCCTCCCCTTCTGATGCAACAGACACAGAGAGAGACACAGACACACAGACACAGAGAGACACAGACACAGAGAGAGACACAGACACACAGACACAGAGAGAGACACAGACACACAGACACAGAGAGACACAGACACACAGACACAGAGAGACACAGACACACAGACACAGAGAGACACAGACACAGAGAGACACAGACACAGAGAGACACAGACACAGAGAGACACAGACACACAGAGACACAGACACAGAGAGACACAGACACACAGACACAGACACAGAGAGACACAGACACAGAGAGAGACACAGAGAGACACAGACACAGACACAGAAAGAGACACAGACACAGAGACACAGACACAGAGAGAGACACAGACACAGACACAGAGAGAGAGACACAGAGAGACACAGAGAGAGACAGACACAGACAAAGAGAGAGACAGAGAGAGAGAGACACAGACACAGAGAGACACACACACACACACACAGAAAGAGAAAGAGAAAGCGTTTGTGTGTGCAAAGCTCTGAAGGCTGAAAAGTTTCCCAGCACCAAAGCTCAGCGGGCATTATATTATTATTATATTATTATTATTATTATTATTATCATTCCGCTTCCCGGGGTTAAAGTGTTGCGATGTTAACAGTGTACCTTCTGAGGAGTTGATCTGGAGACGGTTCAAGTTGTTGCTACAAACACACCAGGAAACTTCAGAGGGTAAGGAAGCAACTCTGTAGCTCCGAGTGAAACCGACCGCAGTCCACTTTGGTGGGGGGGTGCGGGGTGGGAAACGATGGGAGGAGGAAACCAGGAGGAAGTTGAATGCTACAAAGAAAAAAGAAACGTCCAATTAATTGCAGTTCCTCCTCCTCCCTCTGCCTCGCTCCGCGGTAAAAAGGTTGGCCACGACTTCAAGGAAACTCTGGGGAGAGGCTTCCGTACACAGAACAGGGCGCGGGAGATCTTTATTTAACCCCCACACCGCCCGCGCGCACACACAGCTTTCCTCTCCCCTCCTCCCGGCAATTCGAGAAGTCATCCTTGCGCTGTCGGGGCTTCGAGAGCCGTTCCTACAGGATACGGCGTGAAGCGAATCGACTGCGCGCCCGCGGGCGAAACGCGGCGGCCGGTTTGCGCGCGGCAGCGTCCCACCCACAGGCAGCCGTGGATTGAGCGACCGCATTATTATTATTATCATCTTTTTTTTTTGAAGGAGTACAGCAGACAACAAAATGACACTTAAATTAAATTAAATTAAATTAAATTTCACGTCGGGAGGACGTCCGTCCCGAGGCGCTGGGCAGAGTACTGTGTTTCAGACCCGACCTGGAGTCACCCCCAGAATTACATACAAATGCAAATTAAATTGCGTGCATAAGAGCTTTCACCCCCCCGCCCCACCCCACCCACCCACAGCTTCCTCCCTCCCCTCTCCAGAGAAGACACATTTCAGCACAATTCAGGACAGGTTTCAAAACCGATTAGGGATTTGGGGGATTTTGTGATAAATTCCTGCTATGTTTTTCAAGCCGCAGTAAATCTTTTCCCGCGATATCTGCAGTTGCACTCTCGTCTGCGGCACTTTCGGCCTCGGAAGGTCAACGTGGAAACGTGTGTGTTTTTTTTAATACCACAACACGCACAGATGAAAATGAAAATCTTCTGTAAATTGCAAAGCTTTGCGTCCCATCAGAGACTTGATTTCACATGCAATCACTGCCTGACTGTTGTTGGGGTGGGAAGGGATGTGGGGGGGGGGGGGGGGGGAGGACATTGTGAATGGATTCCTGCCTTTCCGTCCTGATCAAACCAAGTGCACTTAATAATAATAATAATCCTTGCATTTGATATAGCGCTTTTCACGTCGGGAGGACGTCCCAAAGCGCTTCACAGAACACACTGTAAAGTGAATTGACTGTAAATTTGTGGGCGAACGCGGCAGCCAATTGCGCACAGCAATGTCCCACAAACAGTCGTGGATTGAAAATGACCAATTTATTATTGTTTTTGGTTTTGGAGGGATTATTATTAGGCTCTGTGTGGAGTAAGGAAACTTGCCCGAGGTTTCGCCCTCTGCCTGGAATTGACCTCAGGTCTCTCACTTGCAAAGTGACGTGAAAAGCGCCATATCAAATGCAAGGATTATTATTATTATTATCTTTAATTTCCACTTGAACAGGTAGACAACACCTCTCTTTAATGTTTCATTCAAATGACAATGCAATGTCCCCCCAACACTGGAGTGGCAGCCGAGATTGTGAGTTCAAAGTCCTGATCTGGGGCTTGAACCTGCAACCTTCTGACTCAGACATGAGAGTGCTACAACTGAGCCACAAGTGAGAGGACTCAGACACAATTCACAAGTTTCCTTACTCCACACACCTCAAAAATAATAATAATTTAATCACGACTGTTTGTGGGACATTGCTGTGCGCAATTGGCTGCCGCGTTCGCCCACAAATATACAGTCAATTCACTTTACAGTGTGTTCTGTGAAGCGCTTTGGGACGTCCTTCCGACGTGAAAAGCGCTATATCAAATGCAAGGATTATTATTATTATATTATTACGTGAAGAAAATTTCGCAATCTAGTTCGTCTCAAGCGTTTCACAGGAAATAGCAAGTTCCCACAACCAGCCGTGGAGTGAAAGGCCAATTTTATATGGGAGAAAAACTCCCTTAATATAATAATAATAATCCTTGCATTTGATACAGCACCAAGCTAACACAAATTCTTAAATTCAGTTTTAGTGTGTTAGGTCTCCGGAACCTTGGAGTCTTGTTTGGCCTTCAACTATCCTTTCTACCCCACATCTGCGCCATGACCCGCTCTGCTTTCCCCCACCTCCGCAACATCGCCCGGCTCCGCCACTGTCCCACACCGCAGGCCCCCGAAACCCTCATACACGCCTTCATTACATCGAGGCTCAACTATGCAAACTCACTGCTTGTCGGCCTCCCCAACGCTTCCCTCCACACTGCAGGTCATCCAGAACTCTGCAGCCCGTGTCCTCTCCCGCACCGGGCTCCGTGACCCTATCACCCCCATCCTCACCCGACTCCACTGACTTCCCATCACACAGAGGATACAGTTCAAGATCCTGGTCCTCACCTTCAAAGCCCTCCATGGCCTCGCTCCCCCTCCTGTGAGCTCCTAACCCCCTACCATCCTGTTCGCTCCCTCTGCTCAGCAGGCTCCGGCTTGTTTCACGTCCCCTGCCTCGCTCGCCCCACCATTCGCGGGCGGGCGGGCCTTCAGCCACTTTGCCCCCACCCTCTGGAACTCCTTTGCACAGTCCATCCACCTCACCCCCTCCCTCGCCTCCTTCAAGACCCAACTCAGGACCCTCCTCTTCGACCGTGCATTCGATCTCCCTCCTGCGCTCCGTGATCCCGACCCCACAGCTGGTGTTGTTTAGAAACCTGGTGTCAGATCAAAATTCTGCACAACCTTAAAAATTCTCTGACAATGAGATGGAATTACTAACCTCAGATACGATGCTTCATCAAGGAGATAGCGTTTCAAGAAACTGAAGGCAGTTTAACAAATCAAAGTCATTTATTGATGCATTTTGCAGAACACAATCTTTTTTTTAAAAAACTCAAATTTTTCGTTGAGTATTGCAGTATTTGGCATTGAAATTTCCAGTCAATAAAAATTTACCTCAAGCTCAAAAGTGACAATTTATGCAAAAAACCTCCACTAAAAACAGATTTAAGCAACGTTTACAATTTGTATAAACATGGCCATCACCTGCGTCGGTTTCGGTTTACAATTCAGTGCATTTAACATTCAATAAGCCAGTTTTGCATGAAATTCTTCCCCCAAAATTCTGCAGTCTCGACAGGATGAACAGAATTGCTAAATGCCTACTGGTAAAAAAAGAAAGTTCGACAAAAACCTGGAACCACATCTCGGATATTGAAAACGGATCTTAATAAAAAAAAAATTCAATACAAGAGGCAAACAATTCATTGCAATACTAGCAGACTGGTTGCCAAACAATGTCAGAAACACAGTGGAATGAAAGCATCAACAATACCTGCAAAAAAAATAAATCAAGATTTCCACGCATCCCACCTACACGTGGGATAGATCCCAGAGATAGGTTGTCGGAATGGAATGCGCTCTCTCTCTCTCTCTCTCTACCCCCGATGGGACCCGATCCTGCTTACCTAATTCCGGGAAGTATTAGGCGCAGGTTAGCAAGAGCTAATGTTTGGGGACCCCCGGAGTGTGGTCGGGGGTAACCAGGTTAATCCGCGATTGGAACTATCGCCTTTGGAGAGTTTCAAGTCCCCACCTGATTTGCAGATGCGGTAAAGGCTGTTTGCGCACTCGGGCAAAGGGACAAACTCATTCTGTTTCCCTTCTTGTACTGGTTCTCCAAACACCCACTTTGTTTCACAGCTTCATCTCTATCAGATAAGTCTCTTTGGCTTCTTAATTATTTTTGACTGCAAAGATTTTCGGCATATCAGCACCCAAACATGAATTTTGTTCAGTTCAGTTTTGCCAACCGCTCCTCCCACCCCCCCAATACTCAATCCATTAAATCGTCTCAAACCTCAATTAAATACATCGGTTGACCAACAAAAAGTTTATGATGATAAAGCAGAGTCCAAACACGTGTTGACCAGATAAAATAAAGTACTTAGTGAAACGAAAAACAGCTTCATTCTTGAATACGTGTCATTTTAACTTGTGGTCGGAATGGCGAACTTTCTTTTTCAAGCTGGTGATAACTTCACTTAAATTCTGATCGAGCTTCATATAGTCGGATTTATTTGGGCGCTCACATTGTTTGGGTCCGCGCTTGTGACATAAGGCAATGATCTGGAAGAAAAAAAATCAGGTCAATGAGTACATTGCTCTCAAAATTCATTCCATCCTATAGTAATTGATGCTAAAAGCTACGAGTTTAGCATTATTGCTCAGTTGAAATTGATGACTGATGACAGTTGATATTGATTTGCAATATACAAATCAATAATCTCCATCAATTGTCTGTGAATCATAATAATAATCTTTGCATTTGATACAGAGCCTTATCACGTCTTCGAGACGTCTCAAAGTGCTCCACAGAATTTGTTGTAAAGTGAATTGAGTAAATTTTTTTGTGGGTGAAATAATAATAAGTATAGAGCAAGTATAACTCCATGTGAGACATAAATAAGCTTTAAGTAGTATCCCCACCCCCACCCACACCACAAGATTCCTTTGTACACCCACACCACTTAAGTCCGCACCAGTTTCTGTTGGTTCCCAGCAGATTGATTTCAAGCTGCTCACTGTTCCCTCCAAATCCATCCATCCCTGGCACCTCCTTACCTTGGACACAACTCCTCCACTCAATTATCTCAGACTTGCTGCACTCCCCCAGGCCCTCAGGTTCCTATGTCCCTAACCTTTGCGATACCCTCCCTCCCTGCTTAAGTCCTGCCTCGAATCTTATCTTATACCCCCACCCCAAATCCACCTGTTCGACATCCAACTATTTCCCGTTAAAGCTCTCTGAGACCTGAGGCACCCGAAAGGCGTTATATAAATAGAATGAAAAAGATTACATGTGTATAGTGCCTTTCATGCTGGGAGGACGGGGCGAGGTGCGGTTGGTAAGCTTACCCTGTGTTTGCTGTGATACACAATGTACAGAGCGGCCAGGATCAGCGAGCCGGCCACGAGATAGGTCAAGAAGTGGCTGGTTTCATGGGTCTCCACCGGCAAATCCTCTTCCTCACGGGCAGAGTCTGGGAGAACTTCAGGCTTGGCGGGTGCGAGACTGGGGCGAGAGGTGGGGCCGCTCGGGGGCCCAGGGTTGGGGTCCTGCGCGGGGGCGGGGTCCTGCGCGGGGGCGGGGTCCTGGGCGGGGGCGGGGTCCTGGGCGGGGGCGGGGTCCTGGGCGGGGGCGGGGTCCTGCGCGGGGGCGGGGTGCTGCGCGGGGGCGGGGTGCTGCGCGGGGGCGGGGTGCTGGGCGGGGTGCTGGGCGGGGCGTGCTGGGCGGGGGCGGGCTCCTGCGCGGGGGCGGGGTCCTGCGCGGGGGCGGGGTCCTGCGCGGGGGCGGGGTCCTGCGCGGGGGCGGGGTCCTGCGCGGGGGCGGGGTCCTGCGCGGGGGCGGGTCCTGCGCGGGGCGGGGTCCTGCGCTGGGGCGGGGTCCTGCGCTGGGGCGGGGTCCTGCGCGGGGGCGGGGTTCTGGGTGGGATCTTGCGTGTCGGTGGGGTGCTGGGCGGGGGCCGGGTGCTGGGCGGGTTGCTTGGCGGTGTCCTGGGCAGGGGCGGGGTGCTGGGCGGGGGCAGTGTGCTGGGCGGGGTGCTTGGCGGTGTCCTGGACAGGGGCGGGGTCCTGCACGGGGGCGGGGTTCAGGGTGGGGTCCTGCGTGGCGGTGGGGGGGTGCTGGGCAGAGGCGGTGTGCTGGGCGGAGGCGGGGTGCTGGGCGGAGGCGGTGTGCTGGGCGGGGGCGGTGTGCTGGGCGGGGGCAGGGTCCTGGGCGGGGGCGGGGTCCTGGGCGGGGGCAGCGTCCTGGGCGGGGGCAGGGTCCTGGGGGGGCAGGGTCCTGGGCGGGGGCAGGGTCCTGGGCGGGGGCGGGGTCCTGGGCGGGGGCGGGGTCCTGGGCGGGGGCCGGGTGCTGGGTGGGGGCGGGGTCCTGGGCGGGGGCGGGGTGCTGGGTGGGGGCGGGGTTGGGGGCGTTCACGAGCCCAGAGTCGGAGTTGGTCGCTTTGGCTATATTTCCCTGTGAAACTAGAGAGAGACTTAAATCATACAAATACCAAAGAGATTTACCGAGAACTATAACAATAATCCTTGCATTCATCGCCTCGTCGAGACGTCTCAAAGCCCTTCACAGAACACGCTGTCGGGTGGATTGACTGTGTAGATTGTGGGCAAAACCCGGCAGCCAATAAAAACCCCCATTATTGGTCAAAAGAGCAAAGAAATCCTAAATGATGGGCTGAAATTTCTATGTTCAACAACGTTAGCTCCAATCAAACGGAGCTCACGGTTTCAGAAACTGTATTAGGATATCCAGAATAACACTGGGAACGATCAGCCGCTAAAGCCGTAACAAGAATTGGCGTTAAATCGTGACCTATTGGGCTCGCTGTGCTTCCTCTAAAGGTTTTAGGTTCAACTGGCTTCTGAAACGGTCTTGTGACTCAGACCCTACAATTATCTGGTGGTTTGTTTCAGTACAAACGTCCGCCATCCTGTCGACAGACAGGAAGCAACACATCTCACTGTGATGCAAGGCTTTGGCCCGACTGCACTGGGAGAAGCGGTTTGTTTTGCGATTCGGACACAAGTCGGTTTGACTGTGGAGGAAATGCCCACTTGGGGCACGTGATGCACGTTGATACAAAAGAAAAGTTGGGGGATGGGTGGTGGTGGTGGTGGTGGGTGGGGTGTGGGGGGGGGTTTTACTAAAAGGTGAATTGACATCTGAACTGCGACCACAATTTTTCACGCGATCTATTTTCAGCGAAGGAAGGCAAACACTCTGGAAATGAAACAATCGATCCGATCCTTCAAAGCTAAATGTTTACCCCGAGAGTTTTGAGCTTTGCACAGAGTCATACACTGGTGACCACCTGCCCGGGTGATGGTGGGAACTTGAAGCAGTGGCCATACCACCTGAGACGTACCATCGACAAGATCGAGTCAGATGGAGAAGGCCCTTCAGCCATTTTGATCTCATCCTTCCAGAATATCGACCTTACTGTCCTCCCATCACAGCATCATCACATAGTTTACTGAATGAATCTAGCGAAGAGGCTTCAACTCTTCTTGGTAACCTGTTCCAGTTAATTACCCACTGGTAGAGAAATGCTTCCTGTCCTTCAAATTGCCCGTTGTTATCCTGATTCCGTGACACAGAATATCTGAAAAATATTGTTCTGTTTACTTTCTCAATTCCATTTAAAATTTTACTAACGTGGTGGGGGTGGGGGGGGAGGATTATCCTAATTGCTTTCCTCTGCATTGCTTTGAAGCCCTTTTATGTTAAGGCAAGGAGTGTAAGCCAGGTGTAGCCAGGTGTAGTCCCAGGTGAATTGGGATTCTGGACTTAATTGGCTTAGTAACATGGCCATAAACCAAGCGAACACGATGCTGGGCTATCTCACACAGTTTTAGCAACTTGACAAACAATATCCAGCCACCGTTAAACTTCCCTTTGCAAGTTCTATCCCCACCCACGGAATACACATGCCTAGCAAAAAAAAAGTTAAACTGTATTGCATTACTCCTATCTTTACTTCCTCTCTATGCATTTGCTAGCCATCAGCCCACGCGCAGAACCCGTCAAGCTCTCTCTGTGTAACCCTCTGATACCTCTTCCGAATAATCTCTTCAAAAAAAGAATAAAAATAATAAATAATGATATGGTCACTCATTCTCCCACGGCTGTTTGTGGGACGCTGCTGTGCACAATTGGCTGCCACATTTCGCCCACAAAATAGTCGAATTCACTTCACATTATATCCTGTGAAGCGCTTTGAAACGTCTCGAACGCGTGATAAGGCGCTGTATCAAATGCAAGGATTATTATTGTTATTCGATCCCAGTTTCCCCCAAATGTGGGGCATTCTGCAAGTTTAAGTACTTTGCACTAAGTTTGAAAATCTAGGTCATTAATGTCAATGCACGAACAGAGCAGTAATAATAATAATCCTTGCATTTGATCACGTCTTCAGGACGTCTCAAAGCACAGAATATACTGTGAAGTGAATTGACTGTGTATTCTGTGGGCGAAATGCAGCAGCCAATTGCGCACAGCAGCGTCCCACAAACAGTCGTGGATTGAAGTGAGTGACCAAATTATTATTTTTTTCTTGAGGGATTATTATTAGGTGTGTGTGTGTGGAGTAAGTAAACTTGCTCAAGGTTTCACCCGGCAGGGAATCGAACCCAGGTCTCTCGCTTGTGAGGTGAGTGCTCTAACCACTGAGCCACAGGACTCCTACTAAGTAGACATCTTAGTGCAGACCTCTGAGGCAGTCCATTTAATATCTCCCTCCATTTTGACCCCCCCGCAAAGAACTGAAGAATAAATAGTAAAACTCAAACTCAACAATTCCGAACTTAAGTCACAAAAATGAAAGGGGATCATCTTCACGGAAGGTTTTGCAAAATTCCAATAAAGAGTTGACCTACCGGATGATAACATAATATAATAATAATCCTTGCGTATGATATAGCATCTTATCGTGTCATTGAGATGTCTCAAAGCACTTCACAGGGTCCACTGTAAACTGTCTGTAGATTTTGCACAGCAAAATAAACGATAGGGATAAAGTTTGGATCAGATCAGCTGTAAGTTCCACAAAAGAGTGAAAAAAGGACATTTCCCTCACCCCTCCCTCCCTGTTCTCCCCAGAAAATATTCTTTTTTTAAAAAAAACCATAATACATGCATATAATAATAATAATTCAAACAGGAACTAAGCTGATAAACGAAACTGAGTCTCAACGTGTAGTTCCCTTCAATAACGAAACCAATTTAACACATGTTTGCCCAAAGTTAACTTAGCACAACTCAAACCTGCTCAAACCCTGTAGCTCATGGCACCCTCACCAGCCCCACACACTGAGAGTGTTCATCCTCCCAATTAGGAATGGGTTGGGTTGGTTTATAGGATATTATTTGCTTTTAAATCCTAAAAAAAGAAATAGACTTCAGCAGCAAACCAGTCGATCTCAAGTGAAAAGAGACTTCCTCATCACCATTGTGAGGCTAACTGGGCTTTACAGAGTGATTGCCACTGTCTACACAGTCACTTTGGATGGTTTTCTACCTGTTCAAGCACTCCCCTGGAGGCACCTGCTCCACCTCTCTCACAGCCAGAACTAACCCCCAAGTAACAGACTGGAGCAAAGCCACACTTTAACTGAATCATCATTGCACATTTACACATTTACACACTTGTTTGCTTTAAATACACACACAAAACTTACCCATCTGCAGGAAAATTCCGAGGCTTGCAAAATAGAGCACTTTCCAAGCCATCTTGACTGGTGGCTGTTGGAGGAAGAAACTTCCCAATATAGAAAGAAACCTAAACTGGAAGGTGTGGCTGACAACTCAGCCTATTTGACTCAGGACATTAAGCACCGCCTCCACAGACACACTGCTCAAAGGTCTATCTCTCTGAGGCAACCAAACACAAACCATTCGACCCGAAATCATTGTCTACCGGATTGATTGCCCCTTACAAATCCTCACAAACAGTCTCGCCCCACGCTCTAATAATCATAATACTCCTGGCGTTTGATACAGCGCCTTACCACGTCTTCGAGACGTCTCAAAGCGCTTCGCAGGATACACTGTAAAGTGAATCGACTGTGTATTTTGTGGGTGAAACGCGGCAGCCAATTGCGCGCAGCAGCGTCCCACACGCAGCCGTGGATTGAGTGACCAAATTATTATTTTTTTGGAGGGATTATTGCCCCCGGAAAACGATCCGTCAATCGACTAATAACTGGGTCCCTACTTACAGCTGGGCAAACAGAGGCGTGTGGCGTAAGGAAACTTTTCAGATCGCTTTTCCAGGGCTAATAATCGCTTAAAAAAAATTGGTCACTCAATCCACAACTGTTTGCTGCCGTGCGCAATTGGCTGTTGCGTTTCGCCCACAAAACACCCAGTCACTACGCTTTACAGTATATTCCGTGAAGCGCTTTGAGACGTCTCGAAGACGTGATAAGGCGCTGTGTCAAATGCAAGGATTATTATTATTACATATTCTGTATTGAGTTACGGAGAGTTGGCATGAGTAATAAAGTTATAATTTACTGTAAGGGTTTCGGATGGCATTTTAAATCACGTGAGTGACGCTGGAATGAAGCAGCGTATAAACCTCATGATTAAATTACTCACTGATACATTTAACATTTTTCATAGAATATGTTACAGTCGCAAAATTGGAATTATTGCTAATAATGGAACAGTTGGAATGACGAGGTGCGGTGTCATCACTACAGAATATTGACACGTGATTCACACGTGGGCGGGTGTCAGACTGAATATTGCACAGTGTCGCCGGTGACCGGAAGCCACAATTGAGTATCTGTAAACACTGGGTAAATATTGACAAGAAATTGTTTATAATAATCCAAAATAATCCTTGCGTTTGATATGGCGCTTTTCAAGTCAGGAGAAGATCTCAAACTGCTTCACAGGATCTGCTGTAAAGTGTAGTGACTGTGCATTTCGTGGGCGAAATTTTGCACACAGCACTGACCCAATTTTACGTGGGGGATCGCAAGCCAAGGCCCGTGAAAAAAACTCCCTTTTTCTTTTCGAATAGGGCCATGAGATCTTTTGATCACCCATCTGAACAGAGATGGAACCTTTGTTCAACATCTCATTCAAAGGACGGCACCCACATCCTTCTGTCCCACCAAATGAGGCAGCGCCACACCTCGTTGTCAAGACAAGCTGGTGCTTTACGAGCTTCAGTAATAAGGGATTTGGAGCTCACAGTCTAGGTTGGAGGTGGTCTACCTGTGGCTCGCGGGCTGCAATTGGCCAACGGGCCATCAAACAGTGGCTTGTCAAACATTCGCACGAGACTAAGTGAGTCTGTTTTAAATCAATGTGTTGTTGCCATTTTTTCTTGATTGGATATCTTCTTGATTTGTGGCACGAAGCAAGAAATATTCAATCCAGAACATTTATTTTGTTGGCCGACCAAAGAGGTTGACACTCCAGAGTAGTGCCATCCTTCAAAAGAGACATAATATAATATATAATATAATAATAAGGTGCTATAGCAAATGTAAGGACTATTTATTTTATTATTATTACTATTCATAAAAGAGGAAGGTACAGTATCTACTGATAACCTTGCCAACAATCCCTCAATTAAATTTGTTGGACATTGAGTTGCTGAAATTGGCTCCAATGTTCTTCTACAAATACAGTCAGTCCACTTTACAATGATTCTTGTGAAGATCTTTGAAACGTTTTGATAATAATAATAATTATCCTTGTATTTGATATAGCGCCTTATCACACAGTTGAGACGTCTCGAAGACGTGATGAGGCACTATATCAAAATGCAAGGATTATTATTATTATTTCTTTTCGTGGGGGGGAAATTTGTGCCATTTCATGGCGTGGCTGAGGTCAGTGTTTATTTTGCACAATATTATTGCTGGCTTCTATTTTGGGATGGGGACGTTCATTGAGCTGAGCTGAGCCGAGGTCACACTCCAAACTTAACACTGATGATACAAGGCGCAGACAATGTAGGTCAGTCCCTCTTCCCACCTTCTTTGGCTTGACAGCTCCAAGAGACCAATCCAGAGATGGTCTCGATCAGTCACAGGCGCTTAATAACCAATGGCAAGGGCAGCGTCAGCTATGAAATGAACCTGTCCTTATGGACGGATTGTAAGTGACAAGAGTGGGAAGGGAGTAAGAGAAGACAGAGGCCAGAGAGGAGACAGACAGAGACAGATACACCGACAGAGAGAAGACGAGATAGATAGATAGATAGATAGAGAGATAGATAGATAGATAGATAGATAGATAGATAGATAGATAGATAGAGAGAGAGAGAGATAGATAGATAGATAGATAGATAGATAGATAGATAGATAGATAGATAGATAGATAGATAGATAGATAGAGAGAGAGAGAGAGAGAGAGAGAGAGAGAGAGAGAGAGAGGTGGAGGGTTCTGCCCTTGTACTAAAATATAAAAGCTTCTCTGATCATTTCAACCACAACGATGAATGTTCCTTGCTCTCGTTGTGGCTGCAACGTGTATCCCGCGGAGAAATTAGTTTGTATCGATCAGGTGAGTTGGAACTTGTCGTCTCAATGTCTCTTGTTGCCTTGAGTTTTGTTTTAATTTTCTCAAATGTTTCGCACGATTGTTATGATTTTTTTTTAGAGTGGGCGGGAGGGAGGAAGGGAAAGAGGAGGAAGGAGTGAGTTTATTTTATTTTATTTTATTCTCCCTCTTTTGCTGTTTCCACAGACATGGCACAAGTCTTGCTTTCACTGCGAAGTCTGCAGAATGATCCTAACAGTCAACAATTTTGTCAGTCACCAGAAAAAGCCCTATTGCCAGGCGTAAGTTACCGTGAAGTCTTAACGAAAACTATGCATTTATTATATGTATTTATACATATATATATACACACACACCATGATACTATTCAAATGTCCAATAAGACCTAAAATAAATGATTTTTTATTGTTTTATTATTAAAATGAATGATATCGTGACTTTTTGGTCACTCTGTACGCCTTGAAAACTGACTCGAGTTTTTTTTAAACCTCCACTAATATTAATAGACAGCAAAAAGTATACACGCACACATACATAGTCAGGACAGACAGCTGGAGAGGTTAGAAATAAGCGATCTTTAACAAGGAAATATACTATCAAATAATTCACTATTACTGTTGAATCGCTCAAGGAGTTTTTCGTTAAATAGATAAAAATTTTATAAAATATCAAAGTGCACCATTTAATACATATGTATGTAGTTTATGAGTTTTCTACTTTTCTGCGCGCACACTACGTTTCTATATTTAGATCTAAATGTGTGTCCATCCGAACATTCTTGAAACTATTCATAACAGGAGCTCAACTTGTGTGTGTCCTAAATGAAATAGATCATTATTTCTGTATAATAATATCTTGCATTTGATATAGCGCCTTATCGCGTCGTTGAGACATCTCAAAGCGGTTCACAGAATACACTGTAAAATAAATTGACCTTATATTTTGTGGATGAAACCTATATAGATATATATAGATATATATATAGAGAGAGAGAAGCAACAACAACTTGCATTTATAGAGCACCCTTCACATGCGGTAGCGTCCCTGAGCGCTTGACAGTGGCGGAGTCTGACCCCGAGCCACGGTCAAGGAGGAAGGTCTTTGGGTGGGATTAGAAGGCGGGGAGGGAGGGGGCAAGTCGGAGGGATGGAGGGAGAGATTTCCAGAGCTTTGGGGTGTGGTGCCTGAAGGCACGGCCACCGATGGTGGAGCGGAGGGGACGAGGGACAAACGGAAGCTGGTATCTGGTATGTGAATCAATGTGATCTTGGTAAGATTTTCTATTTTAAATCCACAGGCACAACCCAAAAAACAACAAATTCACCAGCGTCTTGGAGACACCTATGAATCTGAACGTCAAAAAACAAACCGAGTCCAGTGAGGTGGGTAAACACTGCCAAACAAACACATATGTTTACAAAGTGCGTAACCTTCAAGGACAGCTCAAGGGGCAGATTAACTAACGTACTGTTTGTAAGTCAGCCCACACCCCATTATTTTATTTCAGATTTTTGTACAAGCCTCGATACTCCCTCCCTCCCTGTGAACTTGGAAAAAAACACACATCCCTGATAGATCCCTGATTTAATTCTGCCCCAAACCAGTTACCCCGATGACACTGGAGCTCTGGAAGTTCAGACCGTTTACAAAGAAGTTGCAGGAAATTTAGCAAAACGTCCCTCTCGCTTTTAGTCACAGCCGATCTTCCGGAATGAAAGCTGTGTTACAGCAACATCTATTTCTGGACAGCAACTGTGATGTGATACCTCACTCCTTGTCGTCTCGTTTCATGTTGTAGAGGTTAAAATTATATTCCCAGTGCCACAGCTCTCCCCCCCGCCCCCCTCCTCAACCCACCTCCACTCTGTTGCTTTCAATCACGGGTTATTAACTGTCCCGAAGTTCCTGAACCAAGTGGAAGTTAAGAGCATGGAATTAACATCTTATGTCACGCGACATTTTGTCCTAAAGTGATCCTCACCATAACTTGAATAAGCTGCAAGCTTAAACAAGTGATAGGTCCTGAAAGATACACTGACTATATGGACTTAGCAACTAACAAGATCAGTGCTCACACCCGCACCTTATTTTTTCCTTTAACCTTGCCATCATTCTTTTGCTGAACAATAACAACAACTTGCATTCAAGTAGCTCCCTTCATACGAGGTGGCGTCTTGGATCGCTTAACAGTGGCGGAGCCTGACTCCAAGCCAGGGGGAGAGGGGGCAGGTGATCGGAATAAACATGATCTATTTGGTGCACGTTATATTTCTGTGACTGTTCCAGAATTTGTATCCCTTGTTCAGTGTGAAGGCCGTATGTTATAGACATTTAGCTCGGGGCCAATAAACCCTAGCAGGTGTCACTGAGGTTATTCTATTTTGTTTGAGCTTCAGCAGCAGTGATAATAAACACGTTTGTGGTTGTAATTAAATTTATGAATCGCAGCAGTTTTAATTAAACTGTACGAATTTGGACAGTACATCACTTTATTTAGCCTCACACAAAACAAATGTTAACTGAACTTTTCTACTTAGATTAAGTACCGTGAGGAAGGAGAAAAATTCAAATCAGTTTTCCACTGCAGTCTGAAGTCACGGGAACTGCAACATGCCAGTCATGTTCGGAAACTTTCAAGTAAGGTAAGCAATTTAATCTTATACGATAATAATAATGTTACGGGAAACAAAATGTATGATCAATTAAATTACATATCAACTTAAACGTGCGATCTTTCTAAAACAAATTTTGTTTCGGGAGTTTGACTGAACTAAGTTATTTTGATAACATGCTAAGACTCCACAAGGTTCAGCTATGATCATGAAGGTTCCCTGCTGGTATTCTGTTTCCTCTGGTTTCTAGGTGGACTATACGAAAGATTGGGATGAAGCAAAAGAAACCTATCACCTCCCATCAGACATGCCTTCGATCCTTCATGCAAAGAAAAATACTGAACTTTACAGTAAGGTAAATTGTTAATAGTTTCTCAGCTTTAGCGCAATTAGCTGCCGCGTTTCGCCCACAAAACACACAGTCACTACACCTACACTTTACGGTATTTTCTGTGAAGCGCTTTGAGACGTCTCGAAGATGTGACGAGGCGCTACATCAAATGCAAGGATTATTATTATTATTAATTGTGGCCTATTAGGATTTGTCTATGTTAATGGTTAGAGATATCAACAGCTTGAGTCAGACAGCAGATGACTTTCCTGTTTGTTCATATTACAGAAAGCTTACCATGCTGCGTATGAAGAAGAGAAAGGCTGGTATTCCTCTTGTGCTACAAATCCAGAAATGATTCGAGTCGCACAAGCACAAAAAGCTATCAGTGATGTGAGTGAAACAAGACGGGATTTCAATAGTAAATAGTTTGATTGCTTAATAAGGAAGTGATCGAATGCTGTGTTAAATGGGGCTGCAATGTGCTGTGCTATGTAATATTGGCGTAAATATAATAATAATTGAAAACATCCACGTCCAAGGCATGGAATCAATGGCAATTCATCGAGCTGAATTGACGTAAAATACAGACAATGATGGAAAATACTTGAACACATGCGTTAGATTGGGCTATTGAGTGACAATTACATTAAAGGAACCTATTCCAGGGTAAGGAAGAAGATACTTTTGAGTATCTCGTTAATGTGAAGTTGTTGTGAACGAGGCTAATTTAGTTCACGGTGCATCTCAAGCATGTCTTATTATTAGTCAAAGCAGGTTGTTTTAACCCTGCATATTTCTCTCGGAATACTGTGCAGTTTGTGGCCCTCTACCACTAGTCATTGGCATTCAGGAGAAGATACAGCTTAGAACAAGGGTCAGTTCAGGGCTTAAAGCTTCAAGTCCTGAGGAAAGATTCACAGAATCAAACTAATTTTAACTTGGGATAAAGAACAGGAGGGGACATGAGTATTCGGAATGCTGAAAGGAATAGATAATATTTACCTAAAGTCTGACGAGACTCGGTTCAATTACAGAAATAGAGAGCACGATACGAGGTTGCCAAATTCCACCTGAGACGAGAGACTTTTTTTGTTGAGGCTGATAAAGCTAATGTACAGTATTTAAGATTTTCAAAGTAACCTAATGGTTGCAATCCTGTTGGGACCAAGAAAATGCCAACCATGGAATGTAGACTGCCATGGCTGAAACACGTAGACTGGAATGTTATATCGATACCCGGGAGCATTGTCAGAATGTTTAACGATACTCTAAGGTTTTGCTTTATTACCATCGAAGATCAGGGAGGAATTTCACAGAGATTTATCTGGTCGGAAGCCCCCCAGACCATAAAATATTAGGGTTAGGTCCTTGATGTAACAAATTGTACATGTTTTTTGAATAACATGGGCTTAATAGGTCAAATGACCTTTTATTGTTTTACGTTAACAGTAATATGACAACAACAAATTACATTTATATAGCGGCTTTCACATTGGGAGGATGTCTCAAAGGACTGGACAGTAAGGGGTTTGCATCTGAGCTGGGGTTTGGGATCAAGAGGGGTGGAACAAGCATCATTGATAGTTGGACTGTAAATATAACAACAACTTGCACATATATAAGGCCTTTCACGCGGGATAGTGTCCTGAGGCACTTAATACCCATGTTGATGAAATGCTGCTCGATTTTAGCATCAATTATTGACTTATACAATGGGAAAATTCTTTAGATAAGGGTAACTTTGCTTTATAAATGGTTGTAATATTGGCCGTAAACAAATCAGGCCTTTATATTTGTACTAAATAACATGGGACGTTATTTTGCTGATGTATTGATTTAAGTACATTTCAGCCTGTGTACTCTCAATTAATATTTGAGTGAATTGGTCTGTGTTATCCATACAGTCGTCCATGTCTGTATGTTATCTAAAGACCGTAGCCAAGGGGAGCAACTGGTGACCTTTAGTGCACAGTAACAAAATCTCTTGAACAATATACGGTAGTTGCAGATGCAGAATGTATTTTTGTACAAAGAGTATAATTGGTTTATGATTGGCTTCAGATTATTCCGTATAGTTACATAATGAGAGCTTGGGTCCATCGGTTTATATTTCATACTGTTTTATATCCACGTTCAACGACAAAGGGATTTTAATGGAATTCATTAGGATATTGTCCTTTTACACTGTAGAATGTAGGTTTGCATTCCACTCAAAGTGAAGAGGAGGCCAGCCTGATGGATTCAGCACCAATGGCTATAAATCATGAAGTTTGAATGAGTTGTCAAACATTGAAGTTGTTTTTAATCTCTGGAGATTGGGTATTGATGGGTTCACATTCAAACCTTCACCACTCTGCTATTATATCATATTTAATGCATCTAACAGTGCTGAGCTTCTCATAGAGTGATGAGATTTAGATATTTTACACAGACCAAAACTATTAGGTGGAAATCACACCTGGGAATAGTAGGCATTTAAACTTCTATCCGGGATTCAGGTGTTTCTTGGAGAGTTCCATAGAGGAGAGAGGTAATAATTATCATTGCATTTGATATAGCGCCGTATCATGTCTTCAAGACGTCTCAAAGCGCTTCACAGAATGTACTGTAAAGTGAATTGACTGTATATTTGTGGGTGAAATACAGCAGCCAATTGCGCACAGCAGCGTTCCACAAACAGTTGTGGATTGAGTCACCAAATAATATAAATATTAATCAAATAATATATAAATATGATAATATATATTATTATATAATAATATATATTATATAAATAATACCAAATAATTTTTTTTTCTCTTGAGAGATTATTATCAAGCATGTGGGAATCAAACCCAGCTCTCTCGCTTGCGAGGCGACTGCTCTAACCACTGAGCTACAAGACTCCCCAAGTAGCATGAGAAGCCTTTCTGCTTGAAGGAATTCAAGCCTACATTCTACAACGCTGCAGGACGCTATCCCACGTGTAAATGCAAGTTGTTGCTGTTGTTTACAGACCTCTGAGTGTTCCTTACAGGCATCTTAGATGGTTGAAAAACAGAGGCATAGACTTGCAATGTTCCTCTCCTCAAAGATCTCACGAAGAGTCAGAAATTGTGTCTCTAAATTAAGCGGAGCTAACCGCATCAGCTTACACTAACCACATCCCGTCTCTCTTCCTGACCTTCAAGCTGGCTCTTGTGCTATGTTGTTTGTTCTATCTTGATCAATGATGTCCCTCCAATATTTCAAAGCTGGGACACTAAATATGCCAACCATGCATGCTTAAAGATAACACAGGTTCCTTGGCTAAGGTCCGCGCCCAAACAAATAGCTAACAAATGATGGATGATGAATGGGAACTGGCTCGGTTCATCTGAGGTAGAGTGAGGCTGCCGTTCAAATTAGGAACTTCTCTCCAAGAGAATGAGGTCAAGTGGCCACACGTGGAAATTGCTCAGCCTCAGCAAATTATAACACAGAAATGATATAACGTATTAAAAGACAGTTGGCGGGATTTGAGAACAGAGTTCTGTGTTGTTGTTACGCTGCTCGGAATATTTGCTGGTGTGAAAAGACTGAGAAACAATTTTATGCGCGCGTTAATAGTCTCTGATGAAATTATGGAGTGTTAATGGGGTGTTGAAGAAAGATGAGGTGATACCCTGTGTATTTCTGAACCCCCTAAAGGCGGATTATAAACATGGACACGAAGAGCGAATTTCTCACTACACGTCCATAGCGGATACTCCAGAGTTACTCCGTGCTAAAGCAGGAGGGAGGTTGGCCAGTAATGTAAGTTCATTTCATGCTCTTATCAACCAGACATGAAGGTTGGAATTATTTTCCGATGACCTATTGCAGTTAACAGTCAGGCTGTTATGACAGTAAAAATGACCCACAGTTATTCAAACACTTCCAGCTTAACCCTGAAGGAATTTTTATCATTTTAAATGACGTTCCCCTTAAAGTAAAACATTGGAATAACTAACTCACTTAAGGCTTTGTTATTTTGGGCACGTTTGTGACCATTTTATAATGTTTTTCTGGATCCTATTCTAACGTGGACAATTGACTGTGATAAGACTATTTGGATATATTATAACTTACATACCAAGAACAAGGTTTACGATAGAATGTAGAGATGTAGCAGAATTACCTCTTCTAACTAATAATATTTTGTTCCTATATAATAACCTGCTTATTCTTTACCAAGTGTGTCAATTGATAATAGACCCCTATTGCCTTCACATCTTAAACCAGATCAAATACCATGAAGAATATGAGAAGCACATGAAAGGGAAATGGAGCCAAGCCGCAGGGGCTGAAGTTGCAATGGCAAAAGAGAACGGAGACAAGTGTAGTCAGGTTAGTTACGAAAGCAAAAGGCAAAGTGTCTTGTTGAACTCTGTGGGTTTGTGTGTATACAAAATTACAATACAATACAACATTACATTTGGACGGTGCCTTTCATGTCGGGAGGACATCCCAAGGTGCTGGACATTCAGGGATTTGGGCCTGAGCAGGGGGTGGGTTGGGATCAGGGAGGGTGGAAGGCAGGGAGGGTAGGAGAGTGGTCGAAAGCATGTTCGAAGAGGAGGGTCTTGAGATGTATTGACTTAGTTTGGTTCTAGTTATTGGTAATCTCCGAGTTTTGACTGCTTGGTCGCCAACGATTTCGAATTTGGCAAACTCCAAAAAAAGGCCAGTGAGCAGTGGCTGACCAGCGGGGTTCTGCTCGTGGCTTTTTAGTGTCTTTGCCGACTTGGGATTCGCAATTCGATGGCTGCTAATTCCGTCGTGAATTTCGCAAACCGGAAAGTTACAATCCAGAAGTTGCGACGAACGCAGCGAATCTGATTGGCGAATGCCACAAATTGATCCCAATCCTTTTTGATGACTGTCTCAGTGAATCGGCTGACACTTTCTTTTGAGGGGAAGGCCAGGTGTCTGACACGTGCAGAAACCCATCACTGGGCTGGAGTTTAACCGGCTAAAACCACACAGCTCGCCATTGAGAGCGCTGGTCTGGCAAGCTTCCTGTTGCTTATCCGGCTAGGACCAATTGTCAGATAAGTTGGTCAGGAGCAGATCACCCTACTTAAATATAAGATGTATAATATCCGCATTTTACTGATGTAACGGCTATGATTTCTTATGACTTTTACAGCTGAAGTACACTGAAGAGTATGAGGCCATGAGAGGCAAGGGAAGTTTCCCAGCTATGATCACTCCAGCGTACTGTACCGCTAAGAAAGCTAATGAACTTGCTAGCGATGTAAGTATTATAGATAAGCAAACCCCACAACTATCCAAGAATGGTATTGAGACACGGTCATTGAGTCAATTCAGAAATGTTCTACTGTCAGGCAGTCGATTTGGAATCAGCATACAGTACCAGATAATAATAAATCATATTAATAGATAATAATAAAATGATTAAAATAAAAAATAATTTGGTCACTTAATCCACGACTGTTTGTGGGACACTGCTGTGCGCAATTGGCTGCTCCATTTCGCCCACAAAACGTACAGTCAATTCACCTTACAATGTATTCTGTGAAGCGCTTTGGGACGTCTCGAAGACGTGATAAGGCGCTGTATGAAATACAAGGATTATTATTTATTGTTAGATAATCTATCTTGCAGTGATGTGAAGGGGCATCTACATTTCAGCAGATAAGCAGAATTGGCTCCTAATATTATACAACAATAGTTTTTACAGCTCTATTCATATAGCACCTTTCATGTCGGGAGGACATCTCAGATCACTTACCTTGATGTACTCATCAGCTAAGGCCTTCAAACTCACAGCTTGAGCTGCAGGGAAGGTTAGGCACGTATTCCAACATCTTTGCTAAGATACTAAATGTTGAACCATAAAAGCTGCTTAAATTTAAGTCATGATTCGACAAGGTGTGTTCTCAGCTCGAACAGATCCTATCCTTGAAAAACCTCTTATGCTAAACCAAGCGACTTTCTGTTGAAGGGTTGAGCTTTTGTAATACTTTATGAAGTTGCTTTAAGCAAATGTGAGCCTTCTGTGCTGGAAGCATCCCCTTCGTGTTAGCACTCTCGTTGTTCAGTGTGTGTGTGTTTACGATCAAGGCACTGTTTAAAAATAATAATGTGGTGTGATTGCAGCTACATTACAAGAAAGATTTTCAAAAGATGAAGGGAGCAGCCCATTACCACACGCTGACAGCTGAAGAAAACTTGGTGATGAAGCGAGCCCAAGACGTCAACAAGCTCTTCAGTGAGGTAAGAGAATCGTGATTATTAATAATAATGTTTGCATTTGATACAGCGCCTTGTCATGTCGTTGAGACGTCTCAAAGTGCTTCGCAGGATACACTGTCAAGTGAATTGACTGTAAATTTTGTGGGTGAAACTCGGCAGCCAATTGCGCACAGCAGCGTCCCACAAACAGTCGTGGATTGAGTGACCAAGTGTGAACCGAGTTTGCCCCTCTTCCCCTCCGCTCCACCATCGGTGGCCGTGCCTTCAGCCATTGTGCCCCGAAACTCTGAAACTCTCTCCCTCAATTCCTCCGCCTCACCCCTTCCCTCCCCACCTTCAAATCCCGCCCAAAGATCTTCCTTTTTGACCGTGCTTATGGTCACCCCCCCCCCCCCACCTTCCTCTCCTCCTGGCTCGGGGTCAGACTCCACCACTGTCAAGCGCTCAGGGACGCTACACCAGGAAGACATCTCAAAGCTCCTCATGAGATGCGCTGTAGTGTTGGGTGACTGTGTGTAGTTTGTGGGTGACAATTATTTCGTTTTGGAAAATGGTCTCACTTATTTGCAGAAAGGAAATATGTACCGTACAAATAAAATACAGAACATCTGATAGATATCCACTGAAAGGTCTTCATATTCCTGTTGTACTTTTGTTTTGTTTGGCCAGAAAAAGTACAAGAAAGACTTGGAAGCTTCGAAGGGTTACAGTGTTAACTACTGTGAGACGCCTCAGTTCAAGAATGATGCTAAGTTATCTAAGTTCACCAGTGATGTGAGTTATCCAAGTACTGTGTTGGGATTTGCTGTGCTAAAATAATTTGCTGTTGGGATAAGTAAGGACCCGGGCTTGCTGTTATTTTTTTTTTGGCAGCCGGGTGTCTGACACATGCGGAACCCATAAGAGTTTCCAAACCGAGCTGAGATTTCCACGCATCCCACCTACACATGGAAATCCCAGAGATAGATTGTTGGAATCGATTGCGCTCTCTCTCTCTCTCTCTCTCTCTCTCTCGCTCTCTCCCTGGAGGGACCCATCCTGTTTACCTAATTCCGGAAAGTATTAGGCACAGGTTGGCAAGAGCCAAGGCTTGGGGGGGACACCAGAGTGTGTGTCGGGGGTAACTGCTGGAGTCTAACCAGCTAAAACCGCACAGCTTGCCATTGATATTGCTGTCCGACAAGCTTTCCCGCTGCTTGTTATAAAATGGTAATCTTGAAATACAAAGATACGTATTTATTGCATTGTACAATCAATGTAAAGAAACACATTTGCTTCTCTACTCTACACTCTACACATATTGTGGGGTTCTGAGTTCCAGTTTTGGAATCCAATGCAATGCTGACAAATATGACAGTGAAGGGAAGCAGAACATGCCTTTTTGAAGTGTAAAGCTCCTTCTGTTCTGCTCTGACAGTGCCATTTAACAGCATTTAACCTTGGAAAGGCATCTCCCACCTTACACGACAGTACTTGTTACGTTAATATACAATCGAATAGGACAAATCTGATAACAAAGATGCCCTTTCTAAAATACACAATAAAATCTGCTTTATTTTTTGTAACCATTCAAATCTCCTGGAGCTTCAAATTAAACAATTGAGTCAGTATCTCGATATAGCAAACACTCAGCGTGAGCCACATTTAATGACAACTAATTAATATTCACCTGAGTATATCGCCCTTTATTCCCCAGTCATTCTCATGACTGATAGAGAGGAGATTAGGTATTGTTTCTCTGTGACTTCGGTTCAGATCAGCACGGTTTTAATGATAAACGATCGATCAATGGAAAAATTGCTTGATTTGAGCAAAAATGAGCACATAATGTTATCTGTGTGCGGTCACCCTTCAGATACATAGATTGTGTGAATTTATAAAGATACACTTTGCATTGTATTATCAATGTAAAGAAACATATTTGGTGTTGTTTTAATTTTTAAAGTGATCAGCTCACGACAGACCCCAATGTCATTCACAGGTGAAAACGTTTTTTAAAAAATATCTGCTTGTCATGCATCCTTATCTGAAGGATTTTACACCATGGGTTCAGTACAACAACAACAACGTGCACTTATATAGTGCCCTCCACGCAGGGTAGAGTCTCAGAGCGCAGTAGGCTTATCGTATGGGATTCCTGTTATAGTGCCCGCCTCATTCTGATTGACTGACCATAGCTAAGGATGAGAGCGCAAAGACTGACAACCAGAAATGTGTGCGTAATGTTTGAGTAATTTCTATTAAAATAACGGGCTACTTGAATTTTGCTCCTCTGTTCTCTGTGCAGCTCAAGTACAAAGAGGCGTACCAAAACCAAATGAGAGGCCACTATGAAGGGGTTGGAATGGATAGACGCACATTGCACTGCATGAAAGCTGGAAGCCTGGCAAGTAACGTAAGTCGAGTGAGGATACTGGAGATACTTAAAACATCTGTGTGTCGGCCTAGCTCGGTTTGGTAGCGTTCTCGCCTTTGCTCCAAAACTGTTGTTGGCTGATCGTGAGCTCAATATGAGATGTTGTAACATGCAAAGTTGTTGTTGTAGCTATTCATGTGGGGGCTGCAAATGCAAGGCCCTACTTAGGGGGATTTTAAAGATCCCATGCGCTATTTGAAATCCTGGCCAACAATCCTCCAGATAAAGTTGGTCATTCAACGCGCTGTTAGTCCTGTGAAGTGCTTTGAGATGTTTCGATGATGTGATAACACCCTCTGTCAATTGTAGGGATTATCATTATCTGATATTTTATTTCCAGTATCCAAGTACTGACATTCTAATTCTTTCTGTCCTTTAGCTGAAGTACAAAGCCAACTCCGAGAATGACAAATCACTCTGCTATTATCCGGCTGATGTTACGCCTTCGTACAGGGCGCAGAAGAAGCTCATCCCGTTGAAAGATGTAAGACTCACCAGGATTATTTGTTTTCTTACCTGAGGTCCTTATTGTCATCATTGGCTCTAAAACTGGCTGGTTTTGCAACTGATGCAAAGCCAAAAGGTCGATGGTTCTAACCCATGTTAGAAGTAATTCTGTCCATCTGTGACCTGCAATTAAAGCAGAACATTGGGGAGTGGGTGATGGGACTCTACCCCTAGAACTCCATCTCGAAATCCATCTGTCTTGTCCCTCTCTATCCATCATTAAAAGCTTCCTGAAAACCTAATTTATTGACCCTGCCTACAGTCACCTCCCTCACTACACCTGCCATCTCCCCCCACGTTCCACTCAGTGTCTGGCCTCATTTTGGGAAGTCTTTCGAGACGTTACCCTCCCGGCAAGACACGATGTGAATGCAAAGTTGTTGTCACAGTTATTATTGTGGTGGCCGCAAATGCAAGTACTTATCAAGGGACCCAGAGTGTAACTGCATGTCAACGGCATTCTGAGGGTTAAATCATTTCGAAATGTTTCAGACTTCTTTAACTATATGCATTTGGGACCTGGAGTGAAACCCTTTGTTCACAGATGGGTTTGGACAAAGAACGACATTGGGTCTATTTTGCCTCATCCTTCCAGAATACCCACTCTGCCATCTTCCCATCACAGCATCAAACTGGTTATTTAAATGAGTCCAAAGTCCTGACCTCAACCACCATTGTGTAACCAGAAATACTGCCCTGGGGTCTGTCCCGAAATTGCTCTCCGCAACTCTTCAACCTACAGTCTCTTGTTCTCCTGCCTTGCTGCATCCTAAAGTGTAGTTCTGTTGCTTCAAGTAACATTTACTGATGTTTTCTCTGAATTTGCTCTCTTGGTTTCAGGTATATTACAGGCAGCGTGCGGAGAAGCTGAAATTCACATCAGTGGCAAACACTCCAGAGCTGGTGCGAGCAAGAATAAATGCCCAACAGCTGAGCAATGTAAGCATCAGATGCTCTCTAATTACCTCGGACAGAGCTGCCAGCCTCGGAGATCCACCAGTTGTATTTTTCTTTTAAAAGATCCTCTTTAAATTAGGGTTTTCTGGAGAGAATACAGAAAACGCTGTGTAAAAGGGATTTTTTTTAATCCTTTGTCTATTGAGGTTCAGTGGGGAGAATCTATTAAGAAGTCATACTCTTTGGCCTCCATCTTGCCAGTAAAGGTGGAAGACTCACTCCTGTTTTTCCCTCGTGCCCTCTGCCCCACCATCGGTGGCTGTGGCTTCTTCAGCCACTACGCCACAAAACTGTGGAACTCTCTCCCTCAATCCCTCCACCTTGCCCCCTCCATCCCCACTTTCCCGAAGACCTTGCAAGTTGTTGTTGTACTGCCATTGTGTTTGGAATCAGTTACAGTAAACTTGCTGTAGCATCCCGTATGTTGTTGGTTACTGCAACTGATGGGGCTTTCTTTCTGCAGCTGAATTATCGGGCAGATTATGAAAAGACAAAAACCCAGTTCACACTGCCTGTCGATGTGCCCCAACTGGTTAAAGCCAAGGCCAACGCTGATCTGTTCAGTAATGTAAGTACTACAAAGAGTCCTGTAGCGTATTGGTTAGAGCACTTGCTTCTCCAGCGAGAGGACATGGGTTTGATTCCCGGGCAGGGCGAAACTTTGGGCAAGTTTCCTTACTCCACGCACACGCTTCTGTTTACTCAGCAGTAAGTAGAAATCCGGTTGTTAGTCGATTGGCGGATCGCTTTTCTGGGGGTAATAATCCCTTCAAAATAAATAAAAATAATTTGGTCACTCAATCTACGGCTGTCTGTGGGACGCTGTTGTGTGCAATTGGCTGCTGCGTTTGTTTCGCCCACAAAATACACAGTCAAATTCACTTTCCAATATATCCATGTGAAGCGCTTTGAGACGTCTCGAAGACGTGATAAGATGCTCCATCAAAACGCAAAGATTATTATCAAGAGATTCCTGGTAGTAAAATGATCTTAATGCTAACAGTTTGCTGTGTGTGAGGTGCTTTGAGACGTTAAATGCAAATTACAATTGTAATCTTTAACATTAGCATATTCAATCTAAAGATAAAAGCGTGAACATCATTATTTATTTACTGGTCTCCTTTACTTCCTGAATAGACTTTATAATTTTTTTTAACAGGTTTATAAGTTCAGTCAAAACCAAAATCAAATTGCCATATCAATTAATCAAATATCAAACCTTTTAATAGTTTCTCCATTTACCCGACTGACCAAAAAGAAAGCTCTCAGTTTCTCCAGTCAGATTTAACAGTGGAGCTTCTAGTAATGAGGGAATAAAATGAATGCTATTTCATTTGTATTTTTCATTTGTGTTTAATAACAGTGAACTTGTGTGTCATTTTGCAAGAGTTACTGGACGAGACAGTTACAAAGGGACTTCCATGTTGGGAGGACACCTCAAAGCGCTAACGATGCTGGGTGGGATTCCTTGCTGGGGTTGGGGGTTGAGGGGGTAAAGGGAGCGTAAAAATGACCAAAAGTGAAGTCGAAGCGATTTATTTTAGGCCAAATACTGGCTGAGGAATTGATTGATCCTCGCAACCCTTGGCACAATGGTTTGTTTTGAAGCCACCTTCTTGGATATTGCAAAGCAAGTCTGATTTCATTGTTTTTGAGGCCGGAGCAGTGTTTCAGCACTGAGAGGAGTTTTTAAACTTCAGACCAGACTGTTGTACCTACGTCGGGGTCAGTGGGCTGTTCGGTTCCATGGACAGGATAGGAACAAGTAGGAAAAAAAAAGAAAAATAATAATAATTTGGTCACTCAATCCACGACCGTTTGTGGGAGACTGCTGAGCGCGATTGGCTGCTGCGTTTCGCCCACATAATATACAGTCACTACACCTTACAGTATATTCGGCAAAAAGCTTTGAGATGTCTCGAAGATGTGATAAGGTGCTCTATCAAATGCAAGGATTATTATTGTTATTATTAAAGCAGAATAAATCCCATTTTCAGTTTGAATCGCACTGTGCATTTCGGTCGATGCTGTGAAGTATAAATATGTTTTCCGTTCCGAGCCCAGCATTAATGAGCGTGTCCTACTTACTCTAGTCAAACCTCGGTGACTGGCTTGTATATTGCGGGGGCCTCTTTATAACGGAGGAACATGCTTGTTTCAATTGCTCAATCTCAGCGCTGGTTAGAATTCAGTCAGATGGAACCCACTGTTCATTTCCCTGGTGATATTACAATGATATCAGGCAGTTTTGATCTGCCGGCAGCTGGCTGTAGTACCAAACAGAAGTCAGAAGATGGCAAGCTTATTCTGTGCAAAGAACACTCGCTGACTTTGTGGCATGCGCTCAGTCAGTCCCTGGGTTCCATCAGTGTACACTTACACAACTTCGAAGCTTTTTTTTTATTGTTGCAAAGAAAAGCACAACTTAATTTACTCGAGGTATAATAAGGTTAGTCAGAATACCAACAGCTGCTGGTTTGACATTTTTTCCCCCCCCCCTACGGTGCCAATCTTTAAATATCTTACTTTAGGATTAAAGTGCACCTATGTTTCCTATAGCTCTCCTGTTTCCTTTATGCCACTTCTACACCGTTTATAATAATAATCCTTGCATTTTCTACACCGCCTTTCGCATTGGGAGCGCGTCTCATAGGATTTACTGCAAAGTGGAGTGTTGCCCAATTGTGCCACTGCCCAGCACTCTGGGACGCTACCCTGCGTGAGGGGGCGCTATTATAAATGCAAGTTGTTGTTGCTGTAGCAATGTCCCACAAACAGCCATGAAACGCAGGTCCGATTTTTTTTGGGGGGGTGGGGCGGGAGGGGAGTGGATTGTTGGGCAGGACACCAGGAGAAACTCCCTTCTCTTTTTGAATAGTGCCAAGGGATCCTTAACATCCCCCTGAGCAGGTGGCCAGGCCCTCGGTTGAAAGTTCCATCTGAAGGACGGCACCTCCAACAATGTAGGGCAACTCGGAGCTGCATTGGAGTGTGAGCCTCGACTCTGAGTTCAAGTCCCATTGGGGGGCTCAACCCCACAAGCTCCTGAGTGCTGCCAACTGAGCCAGGCTGGCACACCCTTCAAATCATGATACAAATTAAATCAGCAGTTTTGTTTGTCCGTCGATCAGGTGCCGGTTAATATTAAGCTTTGAGGGATGAGTCTTTGCTGCTTTAAAAATAAACGGTGGAGTTTAATTTGCGATCTATTTGAACGAGATTCCTTCGTATGGAATCCGAGTCACTCTTTTCCAGTAACCAGAAATATATCACCCCAACCCATTGAGATCTACTTCCGGAACTGAATTGCCATGGGTCGATGGGATTTCTTGAGGGATCCTTGTAAGAAAATAGCACCAATTGGACTCCACTTTGTGTTTTCTGATACATAACAGCCATGGAAATCATTTCCTTTCAAAATCAACTGCAGGTTTTTCTTAAGATTGTAAGAAACGTGAAGCGTTTGTGAATTCATATACTATTGGAGGTAACGGAGCACAGTTTATTACAGCCAGCGACAAAAATAAAACATGTCCTTTTTCATCACATCTGCCAGCGATATCTGTTAAAAAGACAGCTGTAAAATGGCATCGCACTACAAGAGATTGTGGTGATAATTAATGTTTTTAGTGCAGCTTCAATCATGGATCACTTCCAGCATAAACAAATAAAAGATTTCAGCTGCTGACAGTGGAGCCCACACTTTTTACAACGTGATCTGGTCTTCTGAAAGGCTTTTCTCAAGAGGGTTAGAATATTAGAAACGAGGAATAATGATAATAAAAGAAACATAATCTTTAAGAATCCTTGCATTTGATATGGCGCCTGTCGCTTTGGGAGGAGGTCTTAAATCGCTTCACAGGACCCATTATAAAGTGTAATGACTGTATTTTGTAGACAAAGGCAGTAGCCAATTAACGTTGCAGATCAGCCTTGATCTAATAAAATGGTGAAGCAAGCTTGACAGGCTGTATGGTCTACTCCTGTCTCTATCTTCTCGTGTTTTTACATATGGCTTTGTGGTTGGTTAATGGGTTGAGTTTACTGGTGGTACAAATACTATAAACCATGAAGGGGAAGTTTGATGAACTTATTATTCAGATGCAGGCCTTTTTAGGTGTCTTTACTCTGACGAGCTCCTCTTTCAGGAGCTAAAAGGGTTAATAGACCCATCACGTTCCGCTTTTTTTTAAAAAAAAAGAAATCTGTAAATGTATGGAACAGGACCCCGAGGGAGACAGACAATGGAAGCAGAAAGCGTCGTCCGTTTCAAGAACAAATTAGATAGATTTCTGTTAGAAAATAATATCTCGGGATACAGTATATAGTTTGGGACACAAAATGTCAAGCGACTTCTTATGTTTGTTATGTTCTTGTTAAAATCCATCCCAAACAGGGAGCGCAAGACACATGCATAAGCAGCATTTAAAATGAGCTCACTCACATCATTTTGTTTTCATTTTTAATATTGTCTCCAAGGAAGCGGCTGTTATGGGGCCAAAGTCAAATGAACTTGGGCGGGCTTCACCTAATTCCCGGCGGACACCAGTCCATAGCATAAAACTGCTCCTGTAACGTACTTCCAAGATTTGGAACGAAAAGAATGAAGACGGATATTACTTTTGACACAGCGAATGCGGCTATTGCCTGATATGTATGCAAATCTTATGTATTTTCTTTTAATTTGAGTAAACTCTGTGTCCTCAGATCAAGTACAAAGAATTCTGGGAAAAGAACAAGGGCAAAGGGTTTGAGATGAAGCTGGATTCAATAGCTCTTCTGGCTGCCAAAGCCTCTGGGGATCTGGCAAGCGATGTAAGTTGCTGTTTCTCTCTCTCTCCGGCTCTCTCTCTCTCTCATCAGTTTCCCCTCAAACCCAAGATACACAGCCCTATCCGCAGATTGCTGTGGATTCTTGTTAGCCAGGCACACTGTTAGTTGAGATGCCTCGCAAAATTGCTCCAGGTACCATCACAAACAAACTTGAGCAACGACAGCTAATTGCTGTTCATTCCAATAAAACAAGGCTACGGTTTTATTGATTGAATGTGAAAGCGTTGCTGCTGATGGAGTGTGGGTCCAGTGGAACTATTGATGCATTCAGAGTTCTATGGAAAGGTTATTAAGGACGCATGCACAAACTGGGTCAGACATTTCTAACTAATCCCAGACTAGGTCACTAATGGAAATAGAGCTGCAACATTCACCCTGGTACGACGTAAAAGTGGTGGCTTCCATTATAAATATCAGGAGGACACAGAGGGTGGCCTTAGGGGAAGTTGTTATAGATAGGCCATTGGAATGGACAGTGGTCTAGAGTGGGCTCAATGAGCCAAATAGCCTCCTGTTCCTATGTTCTATACCCTGCTCAGATGTTTCTTCATGATACACGCATGTATTGGCAATCAGTTTTGTTGAGGTGACCTGTTAGGTGGAAATGCTATTGCGTTCATTCCAAAAGCCAAGAGTTCTAAGGGAACAATTGCATTTTTCTCACTTGAACAGAAAAGACTTGGGTGGGATAATGGTGGTGGAGGGAAACTTTGATAGAGGTATTTAAGATTATGAAGGATTTGGATAAGATACATTTACATTTACATTTTTCTGCTGCGTACAAAATGTCAAGAACCTCTAGGGGGTGACATCTGCAGAATCAGAACCAAAGCGAATGGGAAATCAATGCAGTCAACATCGTTTTAGTAAAAGGATGCGAAAGCAGTCTACCAACGCAAGTGGTGGAACAAGAAACTACAAAGAATTTCAAAAAGGAACTAGACAAGTTCCCGTCAATTTAAAAACACAATTCAGGCTTTAGATATAGACCCAGCAAGGGAAGCTTGTGGTAGATTGGATGGATTGGCTCATTAATGGACTGATAGTCTGTTAGTATATTAATACTCTGAAGTGAGATGGATTGCACATTTTACTTTTCCACTGTACCAATGAATATCTCTTGGAAAGATTGATAAATATTTCAAAATCGCCTGCTTGGGCTCCACCAGTAGACTATCGCTTTTTAATTTTATTCTTTTCCACCCGCCCCACCACCCGCCCCGCACACTCGACACTACATGAAAGATAAAATACAGAGAAGCTTACGAGAAAACCAAGGACAAAGCAGTGGGAAGCAAAGAGTATGATTCGAAGACCCTACATTCTCTGCAGGTTTCCAAAATGAGCAGCGAGGTACGTTGGAGAAGATAAAATCACAATCCCATTATTTTATTTTACTTCCATTCAATACGCAATTTAAATTAATTACAGGTTGATGATAGTGGAGCCCTGTAGCTCAGTGGTTAGAGCACTCGCTTCACAAGTGAGAGATCGGGGTTCGATTCCCGGGCAGGGCAAAACTTTGTGTAAATTTCCTTACTCCACACACCCGATAATAGTCGCTCAAGAAAAAAATATAATAATAATAATTTGGTCACTCAATGCACGACTGTTTGTGGGACACTGGTGTGTGCAATTGGCTGCCGCGTTTCGCCCACTAATATACAGTCAATTCACTCTAGAAGACGTGAAAAGCTCTACATCAAATGTATCTATAGCAAAGATTATTATTATATAGATTAACACATAACGCAGATTATCCCCTCACTGCTTGGCACACTCAATCATTTTCCCTGCATAGAATCTTTAAATTGTATTAACCTTTTTAACTAGAATAAAACAATATAAAACAATGAAAATTCATTGCCTGTCGCATATTCATTGTTTAATTGCAATCTATTGATGTATAATCTCGCAAATTATACATGCAACTGGAGCTAAGGTATTTTCTAATAATACAATTATACAATTCACGTCGGAAAGACGGCTCAAAGCACTTTATACTACTTGCTGGGGGGTGGGAGCTGAGGAGTGTGTGTGTGTCTGCGTGTGTGTAGGTGTTGGGAGAGCTAATCAAAAGCACAGTAAAAGAGATAAATCTTGAAAGGAGCTTTGCAAGTGTGTGCGTGTGAGATATAGGGGCGAGATAATGAGATATGTTGTTTATGAACAATATTTTCATGTTAATTCTCCCATGCTAAATAGAGAGAATACAAGAGAGACTTCGAACAGACAAAGACCAAATTCCACCTCCCGATGGACATGGTGAATCTGACACATGCTAAGAAGGCTCAGGCTTTGGCCAGTGACTTGGATTACAGGACGAAGCTTCATGAGTATACGCTGTTGGCAGGGGACATGAAAGTGGAATGGGCAAAGAAAGCCTACGGGCTCCTGAGTGAGGTAGGTGTATTGAATTGCGTGGCCAGGTTATTTGATTTTAGAGATTCCCACTGGAAGGAGAGTAAGGACATTTTATAAGCTATTTACGAGAAAGCCAACAACGTAACAGAATATGTACTGATCATCTAAAGAAGTTTGGTGTTCTTGATGTAAATGCTCTTTTAGGTCAATGTGTTCTGCACTCGTTGCTTCAAAGCCTTCTCTGTTAAAAGCGCAACACAGTAATTTCTGTTTATATTAGGTCAATATTTCCAAATGTTAAAAACAAATGGTGTTTTAACTTTGGTTGCAGAATAAGTACCGGGCAGATCTGACCTGGATGAAGGGAGTAGGATGGGAAGCAGAGAGGAGTCTGAACGTGGAACAGGCAAAGAAAGCGGGAGATATTCTAAGTGAGGTGAGCAAACAACTGCATCAGCCCTTATTGTACAATGCCATTTGTAGGAGTTTGCAAAAAAAAACACAATACCAGTCGATACACCTGATAATAATTACCGCTTTGAAATGTACGCGTGCAAGTTCTTTCTCTCTCCCTCTCTCTCTCCCTCCATTTCTTTCCTAAACTTGACCGAGACATTTTCCCCGATACGTTCTTTGGATTCTCGTAAGGTGCTGGCCCGCAGGAATTGTTATTTCAATTTACCTGCAGGCGGCGACACCGCAGGCGGTGTTTTGTATCGAATTGGCTGGAACTCGCTTACTGCCGCACGTGTCTGGACTTCCCACTGATGGGTCACACGCCTTTGCCAGACGTGTTGTGAGCCATGAGTAGTGCTGGTGATTGATTGCCGATGAGCTCCCAAGGTCACTAAGGGTTATGAGCATTAGCCACACTTGCATGTTGAATACAATGACTGGCACTGGTGATGCGAATATGAATGAATGGACGAGTCGGGAACAATAGGACAGGCAAAATGGGTACAACTCGCGAGCGATGTCAAGGAGTGCGCATCAAGCCCTTCGCAGTCACAGGTCATGTCCTTCAGAAGTCACTCTGCCAGTAATTTCCGCAGCTTACTGCTGGTTATGCCGTTAGTCAAGAGAATACCCAACATCTCTTACGATGAATGATAATCACTCATCGTAACAGGCAGCGCATCGGTTAGAGCAGTTCAGTTCACTACACTGATGAATTGCAAACAGCTGGGTGCAATAGTTCCTGGCGAGTCCCATCTGGAAACGAGAGCGGAACGCAATAACGACTGTCCGAGTGGACCGTGCGTCCGTAAAGCACAGAGGTGCAAAGGCAGGTGGTACTTGGGGCTGTCGAAGGTCACTTCTGTCACCTCGGAAATTACCGAATTCAGTATAAGATGTGAAATTATGCGGATTAAACTGCATTGTCTCTTTCACTTTAAAATGTTAATGTAATTTAAAAACGACTAGCGCAATCTCTGCAGCCTGTTTTAGAATGCAACGAGGGAGAATGTGGCTGTTCTTTAGAACCGGGATCAACTTGCAGATCTCTTCATCACTGATGTCTGGCATGAAACCCGACTGAACCAAACCGAAAAGAGATCGACTTTTTGCTTCAGAGCCAGCGTCAAAGTGCCTGATCCAACAGGTGTGAGCAGAATATTCGAACGCATTTAGATTTTTTACTTTGAAACAAAACAAACTCTTAACTTTATATATATATATATAATTTTTTTTAAGAAACATTTTTTTTCAAAAAAACATGACTTTTGCAGTTCTTTTTAGTGTCGTTTACAATCCTAACACCGTACACACGGATTCTGCACAAAATGTGCCTCAAATAAATGTCAGCGTACAGTTCACTGTAATCACATTCAGGAGTGTTCACAAGTCAATAGATGTCAAACCACAAATAGCAAAACTTCATACAACAGCTGTTTCATATGGAAACCAAGTTCGTCATGTTATTAGGTCATATGTAAATCTACTTTAAAATGTCCTGGATTCCCCAGATTTTTTTGTGTTAAAACCACATTTGGCCAATCCCTTTGCTTCAATTCTTCAGAGATAAAATGTCACCTTGCATCTTCCTGCTCCCCACCCCCACACATCAACCAAGAAAGGGAAGCGAGAATCCTCACTACATGCCTTCGACTGCGCACACAACTCATGCAAATGGGGGCCACTGGAATTATTCATACACAGTGGTTCTGCATGCATGAGCAGAAAATATGCAAACACGACGGAGCAGGGTCTGTGGGCATATTTCTTTGATAAAGATTTCAGTTTTATCGTGGGTGAATTTTGCATACGTTTTTCTATTAAAAAAAAAGTTAACAGCCGCACCGTGACTGGAATTGGGCGACTGATATCGAATCTAACGCTGCGATTGATGGTGAGGTTTGGTTTCCCTAAGGGTTTGGTACCCGTCCAGGGCTGAGTGCATTAGCAGCTGTGGTTGGGTGCAGAGCAATTGGCTAACGTTAGGGCTGGAGGACACTTCAGGACTTTATCTTCAGGAGGTGGTTTTGAAGGCCAAACGAAGTGCCTGAACACAGCTAAGACCAAACCAGCTTTTAAATGGGGGAAAGATTGAGTTTGAAAGTTCTCATTAGTTTACTCATGTTTTAAAAAATATTATTAAATTACTGGTTGCCCTCCAAAAACCGTAACCATTTTAAAATCTTTTAACCATCGCCCAGCGTTGGTTAAGGAGCATGCTTTGGGATGTCCTCCCAAACATGAAAGGCACTATACAAGTATAATTTGTTGTTTGTCGCTCCTTTGCTGAGACGAGGTGCCGAGCTTGAATGATGTGGAGTTGGCAGTTTGACTGCAGTGTGCAAGTGCCCAATCAGTTTACGATCGGCTCTGCAACTAACTGCGCCTCAAATAGAACTGACCCATTAATGATGTGGTCATTTGTAAATGGAAGTGACTTTAATTCCAATAGTTGTACAATCCTGGCCGACAGTCCCCCAGATAAAATTGGTCACTGGCTGTTTGTGGCACATTGCTGTGCACAAATTCACTGCTGCTTTTGCCTAGAAATACGCAGTTACCACACACTACGTTTGACAGTAAATCCTGTGAGATGCCTTGACTAACTAAGCGCTGAGCCAGTGGTGGGGGTGGGGGTGAGGGGGGAGGTGATCATAAGAACGATCAAAAAGGTGGGATTTAAAAGTGGGGAGGGAGGGAGGAAGGGGGGAAGGCAGAGGGATTGAGGGAGAGAGTTTCAGAGTTAACTTTACTGTCGTCAAAGAGATTTAAACGCAAACTCTTCTAACTCGCAGAGAAAGTACAGACAGAAAGTTGACGCGATAAAATTCACAAGTGTGGCAGACGCCCCACAGATGCTTCATGCCAAGAAGAGCCAGGACTTGCAAAGTGATGTGAGTACAGCAACGTGTGCCGAGAAATCCGAGAGAAAAGATAGCGTTTCAAGGAATGACAGATGTCATCGCTGTAAACAAAGATGATCAAACGAAGAAAAGTTTCAAAAAAAGTTTGTGTGTATTTACTTCCGAACATCTGATAGCTTTTTGCGTTTGTGCTTTTTTTTTAATATATTGTTCAACCCATCAACCGTATTTTTTTTCCGTTCAGGAGACAGCATCTTTAGAAGCGAAGTCTTTCAGCTCACCATAGCTTGCGAGCGCACACACACCAAAGTGCACCACACACGATGCCATAAATGAAAACCGCTAAGTTTCTTTTAAATAATAAAACAAACAGGAAACAGTAGACCGCTCGCGTTTTAGACCCAATACGTTTTCTCCTTCGCTTAAATTATGGGGCAGAAATGATGATGGCTTTTGCGGGGTAATAATCCCTTCCGAAAAAAAAGTAATTATTCAATCCACTGCTGTGTGCGATTAGCTGCTGAGTTTCGCCCACAGAACGTACAGCCAATTCACTTTACGGTGTACTCTGTGAAGCGCTTTGAGACGTCTTGAAGACGTGATGAGGGGTTAATGTCAAACGCAAGGATTTTTATAATTATAAAATAAATGGGTTGAAAAAAAAGTGCCACTCAGTGCCACTCTTCTCCTGTTGGTGGCACTGCTGGGAACGGTCCTTTCCACCAGCTCAGCAGGTGCTCCATTGAGAGTCCATTGGTCTCACCAGGTGTCGCTGACCTTTACAAGTCAACGTTCTCAGTAACCTGCCCATCGGACATTTACGGGAGTGCAGCTCTTTGGAAAAGTTTCCTAACGACAAGCTTTGTGCGATCAGAAATATATTTGCTTACTTTTGCGCTTTGATTGTGCCCTGGTAACACTCAGTTGATGGCAATCTTGCCTCGGAGAAGATTGTGGGTTCAAGCCCCACGTCAGGGCTTTGAATTCAGTCAGTCTATTGAGCTCACAATGCGGTGCCGGAGGTCCACTTTGGAGGAGATGTTGAACCAAGGTTCAGGTCTGCCTGTTCAAGGGGATGTTAAAGACCGCTATTGAAAAAGAAGGGAGTTTCTCCCAGTGTCCTGGCCAACAATGTCCCCCAGATTAAATTGGTCCTTCATTTGATGGCTACTCGTGGAACATTACTGTGTTCAAGGCTACTTCGTTGCCTGCAAATTATACGGTCACTACATTTTACTGTAAAGAGCTTTGAGGCGCTCTCCTGATGTGAAAGGTGCTACATTAGATCTGAGGATCATTGATTGATTTCAAGCTATGGAAATATCATGGCTCAGCCCGTGTGAGAAAACTGAACGTGTTGAAGTTAATAACTACAGCATGTCGTCTGGAGCATTGATGGTGTTATGTGTTTTGTGCTGTGCAGCTTATGTACAAGGCAAACAATGAGAGGACGATCCATCAGTACAGCATCAGCAAAGAAGAACCACTGTTCACACGAGCAAAGGCCAACGCTCAGTATCTGAGTGACGTAAGTAACAAGATCAATCATTGGGAGCAAGGAGTCTTCCCATTCAGCTCTTGCAAGCCAAAGCCCCAATAGGTAGGGTGGTCCTAGCTCAACAACAACAACAAATTACATTTGTGCAGTGCCTTTCACGTCGGGAGGACGTACCAAGGCGTTGGACAACCAGGAATTTGGACCCGAGCAGGGGTTTGGAATCAGGAGGGTGGAGGGTAGGGAGGGTGGGGGTTGGAGGGGGGTGGGCGAAGAGGGGTGGGAAGCAATGCTATTTCAGTTGGTTAAACTCCAGCAGTATCCCAAGCCTTGGCTCTTGACAATCTGTGCTGAATACTCTCTGGAATTAGGTAAGAAGGATCCAGAGGATGGGCGTTCCATTCCAGACGCAGGAACATTTCCATGCCTGGATAGCACCGGAGATGTGCAAACCTCAGTTAGGAAATTCTTAAGCATGGGTCAGACACCCGGCAGACCAAAAAAAAAGGCAAATGATGATTTGCAAAGATCAATTCATACAGGACAGAAATTCATCAAATGGGTTACTTGAGAGGTTTTTCCAGTAAAAGGACAAAGCATTATAGTCTTTTGTGCCTCTCAGTGATATTAAACCAAATTTTACGCAACAGGTTGGGGCATTTTTTTTTAAAAAAAACAAACTGAAACTTTTTGTTTGTCCTCTCAAGAAAATCTACAAAAGCAGTTGGGATGCTCAGAAAGAAAAAAGCTTTGAACTGCGACTGGATTCATTGGCACTACTGGAAGCAAAAGCCAAACAAGACCTTGCCAGTGACGTAAGTAACTCGTTAAAACCCCTGCTAAGGTGCTCGAAATACAAACCAATGAATAATTTGAGAAATAATAACTGCATCTTGCCAAAATGCCTTTCGATATTCTGTTCCCTTCACCATTTCTCTGTTTTTTTTGTCTCCATTGCGACGACAACTGAATTGATTTGGACTCATCAGGGCCCCCTTTTTTTTTTCTCTCCGACTGGGTTAATGCTCTTGACGGAGAAGTATATCTCGCCCAGCGTGTCATGTCAGAAAAATCTCCTTAATGTAAAATTGTATAAAATTATAACAAAGTGTCTTGCAAGGGAGGAAGATCGGGAAGATTGTACTTTAAGCTGTCAGGAAGCGAAGAACAAAGTTACTTATTGTTGTCGCTGCAGAAACTTGAAAGATAAAGTGGAAAGCGCTTCCTCTGACTGATAATGTTATCATAGTGTTTTAAAGCTGTGGCGCTGTCACCTTTATCTCTCTCCCGGAAAATCTTCAGCTGTCAGTAGTTGAAAAATTATAAGGATTTCTCCACAAGTAGATGCTCGGCTTCACTCAAGATGGAATAACTATTTGTTTTCGTTTCGTTCTCAGATTGGTTAGTCTAAGTTCAGAATATAGTACAGGGGAATCCATTAGGTAGAAAGAGGGCCATCTGGATTATAGAGTTGCTGTTGTATGGACCTGCACAATTAGGAAAGTGGAGACCGGTAGCTCAGTGGTTAGAGCACTCGCCTCGCGAGCGAGAAACCTGGGTTCGATTCCCAGCAGTGCGAAACGTTGGGTGAGTTTCCTCACTCCACGCCCTCTGTTTACCAAGCAGGAAGTAGGAACCTGGTTCAAGCACTCTGAGATGCCGTCCGGCGTGGAGGGAGCTATATAAATCCAAGTTGTTGTTGTTGTTGGTTGTCAGTCGAGTTGCGGGTCGCTTTTCCGGGGTTAGGTAATAATTCCTTCAAAATAAATAATAATATGGGCACTCAATCCACCACTGTTTGTGGGACGCTGCTGTGCGTAATTATCTGCCGCATTTTGTCACAACATACACAGTTAATTCACTTTAAGGTATTTTCTGTGAAGCGCTTTGAGTCGCTTGAAGCCGTGATAATAATAATGATCCTTGCATTTGATGTAGCGCTTTTCAAGTCTTCCAGACGTCTCAATGGGCTTCACAGAATAGACTAAAGTGAATTGACTGTATATTTGTGGGCGAAACGCGACAGCCAATTGCGCACAGCAGCGTCCCACACACAGTCGTGGATTGAGAATGACCAATTTATTATTGTTTTGTTTTGGAGGATTATTTTATTAGGTGTTTGGAGTAAGGAAACTTGCCCAAGGTTTCGCCCTCTGCCTGGAATTCAACCCAGGTGTCTGACTCGTGGAGTCCTGTAGCTCAGTGGTTAGAGCACTCGCTTTGCAAGTGAGAGACCTGAGTTCAATTCCAGGCAGAGGGCGAAACCTCGGGCAAGTTTCCTTACTCCACACAGAGCCTAATAATAATCCCTCCAAAAAAACCAAAAACAATAATAAATTGGTCATTTTCAATCTACGACTGTTTGTGGGACATTGCTGTGCGCAATTGGCTGCCGCGTTCGCCCACAAATATACAGTCAATTCACTTTACAGTGTGTTCTGTGAAGCGCTTTGGGACGTCCTCCCGACGTGAAAAGCGCTATATCAAATGCAAGGATTATTATTATAATTGATAAGGCGCTATATCGAGTGCAAGGATTATTATTATTAGTACCAGTAGTATTAATAATCCAAACCGTTATCGAGCTCTTGTGAAATGTTTCCACAGATCAAGTACAGAGAGGAGTATGAAAAGACAAAGGGCAAATTGATTGGGGTACAGGATGTAAAGGGTGACACTCAGATGGCACATTCGATCCAAGCCTCCAAGCTGCAGAGTGACCTGGAGTACAGAAAGGACTTTGAGGCTACGAAAACCAAGTTCCACCTGCCGTTGGATATGCTGCAGATGATCCATGCAAAGAGAGCCCAGAGCATGGCCAGTGACATGGGCTACAGGGAGAGATTACACCACTATACTGTGCTCCCCCAAGACATGACGGTGGAGTGGGCAAAGAGAGTGTACGCAATGCAAAGCGATGTAAGCAGTTGGTTTCCCAAAGCGACTTTATATCGCGGGCCTTGGTCTCTAAAGCGCTCCGGGAAGCTACCCCGCATGAAGGGGCGCTACATAAATGCAAGTTGTTGTTGTTGTAGTTGTACATTATCGCAAATTACGAAAAAAGATCTTTTGGGGAAATTTCATAATTTACAAAGGGGTATTTTGTACGAGTTACACGGAGGTATTGCCTTCTTCGAGCTCAGTTGGCAGAACTCTTGCCTCTGAGTCAGAAGGTTCTGGGTTCAAGCCGCACGTCAAGAATTTGAACTCGCTACAGTTGATACCTCAAACCGGTGCGCAAAGCGAGGTGGGCGGGGGGTGTATTGTCGGAGGTGTAATCTTACAGATGAGATATTAAACTGATGTTCGTTTTCCTGTTCAGGTGGACATCAAAGATCCCATAACATTATTCAAAAAGAGAAGGGAGTTTCTCCCCCGGTGTCCTGGCCAACAATTCCCCCAGATAGGAATTTGTCACTCACTTCATGACTGTTTGTACACTGCTGTGTCCAAATTGGCTGCTGTATTCATCCTCAAAATACACGGTTTGCCTACAAAATACACAGTCACTAAACATCACAGTAATTCCTGTGAAGTGCTTTGAGACGTCTCAATGATGGAGCCTGGCTGACACTCAAATACTAGGTTTGATGAACCTGAAATAAGTCTTGCTCCCTCCCTCGCCTCCTTCAAGGCCCGTCTCAAGACCCTCCTCTTTGACCGCGCCTTCGGTCACCCTCCTACTCCTACCCTTCCTGCCCTCCACCCCCCTGATTCCAAACCCCTGCTCAGATCCAAATCCCTGACTGTCCGGCACCTTGGGACATTCTCCTGACGTGAAAGGTGCTGTAGAAATGTAATTTGTTGTTGTTGTAACCTTTTGGTCAATGATTTGGAGGTAGTAGTTGTATTATGCAATGGCTCTATCTGAGACTATGTACTAATATCACACTGTTCTCAAAAATCTACTAGAATCAGTACAGGTCTGACCTAAACTGGATGCGTGGTATTGGATGGATGACCAGTGGTTCTCTGGATGTTGAGCAGGCGAGGAGAGCTGGAGAAGCAATCAGCGAGGTAAGTGTGGGAAAACAGCTTCAATATACAATATAATAATAATAATAATGTGGTTACTCAATCCACAACTGTTTGTGGGACACTGTTGTGCGCAATTGGCCGCCCACAAACATACAGTCACTACACTTTACAGTATATTCTGTGAAGTGCTTTGAGACATCTCGAAGGCATAACAATTGAGAAGGGGTAAGTCCACCCTTACAAAAGGGATCAGTGGACTTGGAAAACAAACAATTTCATGTCTAACTGAGAAATAGGAATTATTGCAGCGCCTAATGCATTTGAGAAAATGGCAAAACATAGAAAATATAGAAAACTCAGGTGAGTTTAGGACCCAGTCAGAGACCTATTAAGTAGTAATATCTATGGAGAGAGGAAAATGAGTCAATGTTCCAGGTCAATAATAATAATAATATTACTTGCATTTGATATAATGCCTTATCACATCTTCGAGATGTCTCAAAGTGCTTCACAGAATACACTGTAAATTGAATTGACTGTATTTTGTGGGCGAAACATGGCAGCCAATTGCGCACAGCAGCGTCCCACAAACAGCCGTGGATTGAGTGACCAAAATTATTATTATGATGTTCAAGTCGACTGAAATTTTGAGAAATGCTCACTGCTGATCTCTTCATTTGTGCCCAACAGAAAAAGTATCGTCAGCATCCGCACACCTTGAAATTTACAAGTGTTTCAGACACTCCTGAAATGATCCAAGCCAAGATCAGTTACCACCAGGCCATAGACGTAAGCATTCTGAATACACAAAGGCTTTCATGTTCTAACTGATGAATTATATTTTCGCAACCGCATTTCATAAGAGGGTCGGAAAGGAGTCTTCCTTGTAAGTCCTGTTATGGTGCATCTTTGCGTAAGTAAATGCTGCAAAGACCCTAACCCTATTCCAACCCACAAACAGCCCTGAAGTGAATGACCTGCCTCTGTGACCTGCTGATCCCATCGTCGGTCGGGCCTTCCGCCTCTCTGCCCCCCCACTCTTTGGAACTCCATCCCCCAATCCCTTCACCTCTCTCCCTCCCTCGCCTCCTTCAAGGCCCGTCTCAAGACCCTCCTCTTCGACCGCACCTTCGGTCACCCTCCTACCCTGCCCTCCACTCACCCTGATCCCAACCCCCAGCGCGGGTCCAAATCCCTGACTGTCCAGCGCTTTGGGATGTCCTCCCGACATGAAAGGCGCAGTGTAAATATAATTTATTGTTGTTGCTTTACTGAGTCTGATGGCTGCCTTCTTAAACAAAAGAAGCATACGTTGTTATTCAATTGGTGGTGAGGTACCAGCAGAATCTTGAAAGATTTCCTTGATGTGCGTAATTGCAATAATTGTCTATTTCTCCAACAAGATAAGATTCTTGTGCTCTGGAATACACCCCCTCCCAACTGCTCCAGATGCACATTAAAATGGAGTTTCTTTTTTTCCTTTGTGATAGAGACTATACAGAGAAGATGGAGAAAATGTAAAACATCATTATACCCTGACTAAGGATCTGCCAGAACTTTTGCTGGCTAAAGCCAACGCTAGGAACATCAGTGAGGTGAGTTCTCGTCAATACAGTGTTGCCTTCGGGATGAAACTTAGCTCTCTGCGTCTAACATAGTAATTAAATGTGTTATAACCAGTATCTCACGGCACATATCGTGTTTAATGAAACAGAGCCAATTATTTCTTAAACATATGCGTGGATAACTTTTACACATGTGCAAACAATGCAGTGCATGTTATACCGGGAAGCTTCTCCCGGTGTCTTGGCCAACAATCTTTCAGCTTCGTGGCTGTTTGTGGAACTTTACTATGTACAAATTGGCTGCTGTTTTCACCTATAATACATAGTCACTAAATCCTAAGCCAGTGAATTTGGTGAAGTGCTTTTAAGAGATCTTGACAAGGTGATGAGGCACTGTATCAAAAGCAAGGATTATTATTTATTATTAATTTTGTTATTAACACAGATTGAAAACCTGGCTTTAGCTTGCCCAGGGAGATAATATTTAACCGCAGCAAATTAAAGTGGTATTATATTTCAGGATATTTTAAGCTTCGGGGTGGTGGGGAGGTTGATTTCTAATCTACGTTTGTGCAAGTGTAAGACAATTGATATTGAAAGTAACTAACTCGTGTTGTAGGTAAAATAGCGAACCATTGCCAAATGCTTAATCATAAAATCGACTGTTCTTCTAAAGACGCGCTACAAGGAATCTTGGACAAAGTTACGTGACACTGGATATAAACTACTTTTGGATGCTATTCCGTTACAAGCCGCCAAAGCATCAAGAGAAATAGTCAGCGACGTAAGTAGATCCGCAGATTGTATCTCTGGAAATTCTGCAGTTGATATGTCACGGATCAAGCCAGTTGTATCCAAATCAGTGTTGAATGGATATGAAGACTGACAGAGAGATTGAGCACTCTGGGCCTCCCATTTAATATTACATTTCGCCCACTAAGCACACACTCACTTTACAGTATATCCTGTGAAACGCTTTGAGACGTCTCGCAGATGTAACCTGCATTACACAGCACTTAAATCAAATTTGGTTCAAAGTGGGAGCTGACTCCTAGTGGTAGATAAAGAATTTCTTCCAGCACTTTACGAAGACTATGGCATGGTTCCTCGAAGTCACAAAGAGTCGGAAACATTACGCCAAGACTGAAGCCACTCTGTGATCACTGTCGAAGCGGGTTGTTGGTACAAGTTGTTTGGGCGCAAGGCATCATTTCATTTTATGAGCATCCTATTCGCATCATTGTGTAAATGGTATTACAGGAGAGGAAGCAGCAGCCAGATTGCTTGAAATTAACTGAATTGCTAAAAATCGGTTTGTTCCAGGATTCAGAGAACTATTTTACACGCTTTTAAAATGCATGGACAGCTATACAAAATGTAACATTCATGCAATAATAATCCCTTCAAAAAATAGATCAAAATTTGGTCACTCAATCCACGACTGTGTGTGGGGACGCTGCTGTGCGCAATTGGGCGCAACGTTTCGCCCACAAAATACACAGCCACCGCACTTTACAGTATATTCCGTGAAGCGCTTTGAGACGTCTCGAAGACGTGATAAAGCGCTTTATCGAATGCGAGGATGATTTTAAATATTTTTTAAAAATCATAGCTCTTCTGACTCGAGCTGCAAGGTTGGATAAACCGATTTTGCGCCTGTGTCTGCAGTCGAGTATCGGACTGGCTACTCTTCCCTGACTTACTTTGATCTCTGTTCATCTAATGAATAACCATCAGCAATGCATTTCCACTGTAACTCATTTCAAATACCTCAATACAAAAAGAGAATTGTACATTAAATTTCAATTACCGGACTCCTTTTTACTTCAAAAGGTTAAATAATGTAAAAGGCTAAATAATGTAGTTCTCAGCAGCCACCACCCAAGTCTCGCTCTCATTTTGCTTCAGTGTCGTTATCTCGTCCACTTCTGATTAAAATAAGTATCACAGTTGTTGGATACTTTTTGGTACAAAGCTTTATTCTATATTTATTCCCGTCGACGCACACAGTTCAGTTAACACTTAAAATAACCCATTGAAGCCTTTTTGCCACCACTTTACAACCCTGTTGCGGATTATTTTGAAATTCTGACGAGTTTGACAGCACCTCCGCTGGGATTTTGAACTCTCCCAGGATTTCTCAAAGTCACAAAACTTTCCTTTTTAGAGTTGCGGATTTTCATTTTTTTTTACACATATCTAAAAAAAAACAATACCCCACTCACAAAAATCACTTAAATTGCATCGGTATTCAACTGTTGTTGTTTCTGCTGCCATATGTCATGGAATTGTGCATTCGATTGACTGTGTTTAATTAAAGTTAGTTTCTAGTCAAATCCCAATCATGATAATTCACAGACTGTAGCTAATCTCTCATCAGTTCATGCACATTCAAAATTGAAACGGTCTTGGGCACATTTTTGTTTTGAAATTGATGGGATGATAGGACTTAAGTTATGCTCCAGCCATACCCTGTGCCCCACAACATCTTAAGTATCTTTGCAGTTTTGCCACTTCTGTTCACATTCGGTGGAGTTGTCAGTCTTGAAAGGGACGTCTTATAGAGATCGAGAGCATTTTAAATGGGTTTGAAAACGTAAACTCAGATCAATACGTTCGAAGGCACCGAGATGGAACCAGAGGAAGGGTAGGATTAGAGTTGCAAAGGACAATTTCAGGACAGACACCAGGAAAGGTTTCCTTGACCTAGAGAATTAACTAACAACTGGAACAGGTTGTCGGGAAGGGGGGTTGAGGCCAAGACACTGGACTCTTTCAAAACAGCCTTCTCTCCTTGCTTCCTTCAAGGCACGTCTCAAGACTCCTCTTTGACTGCGCCTTTGGCCACCCTCCTGCTCTACCCTCCCCGCCCTCCAACCCCCTGATCCCAACTCCCTGTTCAGGTTCAAAACCCTGATTGTCCAGCGCCTTGGGACTTCCTCTCAACGTGAAGGGCACTGTGTTAATGTCATTTGTTGTTGTTGATATGGTGATGGGAGGGCAGTGGGGTGGGTTCCCTGCAAGTTTGAGATCGGTTGAGGCCGAAGGTTATTCTTCATCCAAACTGATCTTTGGGTAAAGTTTCAGTGATTTGATAGCTTTTCAAATAAGAAACAAAAAAGCATTGTTCCTTCAACGTGCCTATGGGGTGCAGAATGCAGTGTGTGATGTGTTATTTATCACATCCCTAATGGCGCGTTTCACTACTTTTGCCTTGAAATGTTAATTTCCAATGCAATTCCATTTGAAAGAACTGAAGAATTTCCACGGGCTTTATGTGGAATTGTGCTGGTCGCTGGCTCCTTAACACCTGTTTTCTGTTTCAGTACAAATATAAGGAGGCGTTTGAGAAAACAAAGGGACATTTACTTGGAACACAAAAACTCGAGGATGATCTGAACATATCTCATAGTGTCCATGCGGCCAAACTGAACAGTGACGTACGTATACTTTTAAATGTCTTGAATTCATACCCCCCCCCCCCATCAGGTCACCTTTTATCTCAAAGGATGGATTTTCGAAAGCTGGCATGGGAAAAGTGAATTAAAACCGCTTACGATTTCGCCCAAATAACGCACGTTTCATATTCAAAAAGAACCTTTAAGATCCTCACCTGGAAAGAAAACTTGTAAACGTGATCAAGGGAAGCAATGGAGGAAGGAGATACCCGATTGTCCATCTCTGGATAGTGGGATTGTGCTAATAATTTTGAGTGAGAAATGTATTAAGTCTTACCTGTTGTCTTCAAACAGCTGAAGTACAGGCAAGGTTTTGAAGAGACAAAGACTCATTTCCATCTACCTATGGACATGGTGACCTTGGTACATGCTAAGAAGGCTCAAGCTTTAGCCAGCGACCAGGATTACAAACATCTAATCCATCATTATACCACTCTCCCCGATGACATGACAGTGCGGTGGGCAAAAAGAGCCTATAATCTACAAAGTGAGGTAAATCTGCATAGTTCAAAGCATTAAGCGTCTTGTGATCAAGTTAACTTTTTTAAAAAAAATCCTTGCCTTATCACACCATCAAAACGTCTCAAAGTGCTTCTTCACACGATTCACTGTACAGTGTAGTGACCACATCTTTTGTAGGCGAACACAGCAGCCAATTGTTCCACAAACAGCCGTGAAGTGAGTGACCAATTCAGCCTGGAGTGTTGTCGGGGTCACCGGGAGAAACCGCCTTCCCTCGTTCCCAGGCACCTCTTGTTTTCAGCTTTTTTAAAAAAATATATATTAAGGAAAAAAACGCAAAGTATTTGCTTTAAAGGTGACGAAGCAACCAAAGATTGTTTTCGGTTGAATTGCGTCTGAAAAAAATAAATGTCGTATTCAAGGGTGCAAATAGAGTCAGATCTTTATCTATTGACATCAATTCTGACCAAATATTCAGTTTGGAAAAAAATCGATAGAATGAACTTAATGCACAGCAAAGGGCTTACACCTCAAATAGTGAGATGGCTGTTTGTGGGACAGTTATTCCACTTTGCAGTATATCCTGTGAAGCGCTACGAGATGCGAAAAGTGCTATACAAAATGTCAGGATTTATTTATTTTTAACATCGGATTTATTTGGCTGTTGGGTAACTGATGTAGGTCTTAAAATCTTGGGATCAAAAGAGCTGAATAAGAGCTGCAAACGTTACCGTTGGATTCACGGCGATCTGAGACTTGACTCTGCGAAATTCCGTTTCTTTCGACGTCTTCAGTTGCATTCTGGGGGTAATTACGTTGTGCGCTGTGTCTTAACAGAACCTTTATAGATCGGACTTGAGTTTCATGAGGGGAGTGCCGTGCATCTCCACAGGGGCTTTGTCTATCGAAGGAGCCAAAGGAGCAAGTGAGCTGATCAGTGAGGTGAGCTGCTGTGGGTGACTGGGACTTAAGTAGAATACTTATGACCGTTGACAGATCCAGGGACATTCGTATCTCCTGGGGCTTTTGTTCTTGAGCGATAAGTTAAAATGGCCGACTTTCGAGTCACCGGGTTGCCCTGACATCACTTCCTGCTTCGCACAGGATGTTGGTGGCATCGTAGCGACCCAGAAGTTGGCCATTTTTGCTCGATAAGTTGGCCAGCGGGCGGTAAGTGAAGGGTACAACTGCATTATAACTGAACTCGCGTCCTAAGGAGCCTTAGGTTGGGGCCGCAGTGTGTGCTGGGCGGGTTTGCGTAGCCAGCGGTTGTTTACTGCAATGGTAACTGCGTAAAGGTGAAGCTTTGCAGACGGGTAACTGGGCTCTCTCGCTGGCAGACGGGGAGAGAAGGATCTATTTAAATGGGGGGAAGAAGGGCTTACGGAATAAATGGTAATGTTGATTTCTCTGTGATTTGTTTCTCGTACAAAACCAAAAAAAAACCACGACAGAAAAAATATCGGCAGCATCCATGCACACTGAAGTTCACTCAGGTGACCGATTCCCCAGACCTCTTGCACGCGAAATTCAGCAACTTGATTGCTAACGAGGTAATGTTACCAGATAAGTGACCCCGTGGGAAAAAAATAGCGCGGTTTGTAAATGCAATCCATTCCTCTGTATCGCTGGAGATAAGAGTGGCTCTGTCTTCAATCACTATGCCCCCTAACCTCTGGGTCCCTCTACCTCAATCCCTCCACCTCGCCCCCTTCTTTAAAGACTTACCTCTTCTACTGAGCATATGGACCCCCCCGCCCCCCACCTCGCTCTCACTCCCACTGTGTTCAACTCCATCACTGTGCAGCGCTTCGAGACACTATCCTGCACGAAGGGCGCTATATAAATGCAAGTTGTTGTTGTTGTACAGCAGGCTCTGGAATAACATTGAAACGCAAGGCTGATTTGCCGATGTCTCTTCAGCCACATTGAAAAGCAATTGGGAGCAGGAATTCTCCACCCCAATCCCAATCACTCTATTGGTACAAGGATCGCTCCCAAGCCAGATACCCCAGGCATCAACAAATATACCTGGATGAAGGATAAATAATAATAATCCTTACATTTGGTGTAGACTGGGAGAACATCTCAAAGTGCTTCGCTGTGATGTGGAGACATTGTGTGTTGGGTGAATGTTGTACAGGTGAACATTGTGGTGATTTGTCTTCCAGCGCCTGTACAAGGCAGCAGGAGAAGATGTCCAACACCACTACACTCCGGTCGTTGGTTCCCCCGAGAACATACGGGCAAGAATCAACGCAGCCAATTTCAGTGAGGTAACAATCTTTTTCACCACTAACCGAGACTCTGTCTGGCGTGAAGGCCGCCATATAAACATAAGTTGTTGTTGTTGTTATTAGACTGATGTTGGACTGAATCTTTCACGTGAGCCGACAAGCAGTCGAAGCTGGTGCTAAATTTTCAATATGGTTTCCTCCGCAGGTTAAATACAAGCAGTCGTGGCTCAACCAAAGAGCACTGGGCTATAAACTGACTCTAGAAGCCATTCCTTTCCAGAGCGCCAAAACCTCCAGGGACATAGCAAGTGACGTAAGAGCAAATCTGACACTAGTTTTTTTTTATATGAAGCTTTCTTATGATTTATTTGTTAAAAGCTGCGGCTTGAGAAATGATTGTGTGCCAGGATTGTTCCGTTTGTATTCTACATCGGAAGGATTTCTGCGCAACTCCAAAGGGTTTTGAATAATGAGACCCGTTTCTGTTTCAGTATCAATACAAACACGCTTTTGTGAAGGAGAAGGGAAAGCACATTGGGGCCAGAAGTATTCTGGACGACCCCAAGATGCTGCACTGTCTCCAAGTGGCCAAGTTACAGAGTGAGAAGCGGTACAAGAAGGGAGCGCAGGAAAGCAGAAGTCAGTTCCACCTGCCCATGGACATGGTGAATCTGGTCCATGCCAGGAACGCACAGGCATTGGCCAGTGACTTGGGTTACAAGAACATGATCCACACGTACACAATGCTGCCTGATGACCTGAAGATGCAATGGGCGAAGAAAGCCTATAAACTGCAGAGTGAGGTAAAGCTGCTCGAGGAACCTGACACTTCAATGCAGTGCTGGGGGGTGGGGGGGGGGGGGAAAGGATATCGCTGCCTTAAATTGAGTTCCCTGCCCGCCTGTTCAAGTGAACGTTACAGATCTCACAGCACGACCCGAACAGTGAAGGGTTGAGTGTTTGCCTACAAGACACACAGTCACTACACTTTATAGTGAATCCTGTGAAGCACTTGGAGATGGCCACGAAAAATGCTCTTATCAAATGCAAGGATTAACTATTCTTTGTATAAGTATTATTTATTGTTAGCAGTGAAACATGCATTCACTATTGGGGTCTTTCATATGCTGATTCCTTCACAACAAAAAGAACAGTACTTTATTCAGAACAGTCATCATGTGATAGACTCCATTATACAGTAATTCATCTCAAAGTGCAATTGCCTCTGGAATGGACGGTCTGAATAGGCTACAATAGGTGCGATTTCAGTCCAGGCTTTCTTACGTTCTTCTGGCTGTGTTCTTACAATACTTTTCATAACGGGTGAAAATTATGTTAACGAATTTGCTGATATCTCAATTAAATGGAGAGAGAGAGAAAGAAAACCTTCAAATCCTAAAAAAATCTTTGCTTTCTGTGATAGCTCTCGCTCTCTCCCTCCCCCCCTCTCCCTATCTGTCTGTCTGCTTGGCTAATGGGACTGTTTGTCTCTGTATTCGACGATTTTTAAAAAAAAAAATCTCTCACCTCTTCTTGTTCTCACAGACGCAATACAAATCTGACCTCAACTTTCTTCGAGGTGTGGCCTGGCTGTCTGATGGCTCGCCACAGATCGAGACAGTGAAGAGAGCTGGAGAACTCATCAGTGAGGTAAAGTTCAGCAGAAATCTTCTCCTGGTTCCTCTCTGGTCAGCCGGCCTTCTGCGGGTTCCTCGTCCCCTCCGTCCAACATCAGTGGCCGTGATTTATAGAACATTACAGCACAGAGGGAGGCAATTCAGCCCATTGCGCCTGTGCCGGCTCTTTGGAAGAGCTGCCCAATCAGTCCCACTCCCCCGCTCTTCCCCCGTATTCTTGCAAGTTTTTCCTTTTCAAGTACCTATCCAACTCCCTTTTGAAAGTTGGTATTGAATCGGTTTCCACCACTGTTTCAGGCAGTGTATTCCAGACCGTAACAGCTCTCTGGGTAAAAAAATAATTCTCCTCATCTCATTTCAGCTACTATGCCCTCAAACTATGCTTAAGAGTATCTAAACCAGACAGAGTTCCACATATACATGCCACCTTTGAGTGGTCATTTCCCTGTATCTGGATGAATTGTAAATGATTCATTTGCGGAAGAACACGTATATTTGCAAAATATCTGCTTTGTAAAAAGGTCACCTCTTTGATAACTCTTGTGAAAGGTGAGTTTAAAATGAATACAAAGGCTAAAATGGACGTACATTGTTGTACGCAAGTTGCATTTGGGTCAAAATTTATATTTCCTGCTGTACATTTAATTCAGCTTTTATTTTCTTTATCTTTAGAAAAAGTACAGGCAGCATCCCGACACCCTGAAGTTTACGAGTGTGGTTGACTCTGCCAACATGGTCCATGCTAAGTCAAGCTACCTGCAGTGTAATGATGTACGTTAAGTAATTTTTCTCAAGTATTTGTTCACGCAATAGAAAGCTTCAGTGTGGATTTAGACTTTCCCTGTCAGGGCTCTAACACTGTTTCTGCATCCTATTTCATGACTGGCTTTAGTTATTTCAGGGAAGATAGTAATATTTATCAAATAATGAAAAAAATTTAATCCACGGCCGTTTGTGGGACGCTTCTGTGCGCAATTGGCTGCCACGTTTCACCCACAAAATATAGTTAATTCACTTTACAGTGTATCCTGTGAAGTTCTTTGAGACGTCTCGAAGACGTGATAAGGCGCGGTATCAAATGCCAGGATTATTATTATTATTATATCAAGAAAAAGTTCCCTTGTTTCATACACTTCTCAATGTCTCATTTAGGAGACGTGGCAATGGATCAAGATGAGTATTAAAAGGCTAAAACTATTTTGACTTTGTCCCACCCGTTTCAATTCACGATCCACTTTGTCCCACCAGATTTAAAATGGCGGCTGATCGATCTAGGAACGTTTCAGGCAGGCAAGACTCATTCCAGTGGGGTTGGGGTGGGGAGGGGGGGGATGCCCGCTAGTGGCCATTGCGCATTTAACCCTCACCATTGCAAATAGCATTTCAAACTCAAGGTCGACGACAGTTTTGAAATGCCGCACATTTTTACCCCAAATATAATAATAATCCTTGCATTTGATATAGCGCTTTTCACGTCGGGAGGACGTCCCAAAGCGCTTCACAGAACACACTGTAAAGTGAATTGACTGAATATTTGTGGGCGAACGCGGCAGCCAATTGTGCACAGCAATGTCCCACAAACAGTCGTAGATTGAAAATGACTAATTTATTATTGTTTTTGGTTTTGGAGGGATTATTATTAGGCTCTGTGTGGAGTAAGGTTTCGCCCTCTGCCTGGAATTGAACTCAGGTCTCTCACTTGCAAAGAGAGTGCTCTAACCACTGAGCTACAGGACTTCTGCATAATAGATATTATGCAGAAAAACAATGAAATGTAGAGGTCGAAAACACAGCACAAGCGATGATAGTTGGTGTACTGATCAAGTTGAACATTATAACACTGTAACTTTGAAACTTCTCGATATCAAATGCATGGGTTATTATTATTATTATTATATTATAACTAATACTAATTAAAACAAAGTCCATTCCCTTTGCAGAGGTTGTACAGATCTGGAGATGCAGAGTCCATGTATAGATGCACAATACCCCCCGACCACCCTGATTTCAAACGAGCAAGAATGAATGCACAGAACATCAGTGAGGTAAGCCTGTGATGGATTGCTGGTCAAATGGCATCATTTGTTTTGATCCAAATCTGTTTTCCTTTCAGCAGTTGGAGCACAATGTACCAATTTCCAGTCACAGGATTACACGAGAGTTCAAATCAACATGGGCTTTCGGCCCATTTGATCTCATCCATCCCCCAAACCAGCCCTCCTGTTCCCTCACTACAATATCAAGCTGTTTTTTTTTTAAAAAGGAATTCATCATGTTGGTATCAGCTGCCCCACTTATTAATCAGACCACTCTTGCACAGTTAACAAAGTCAGTTAATACTGGCAATTGCAAGAGCCCTGAAAAATGACATACATCATATAGAATTGCATTGACCCTCCAGCACCGAAGCAGACCATTCTGCCCAACTGGTCCATGCCAGTGTTTATGCTCCACATGAGGTTTAATCATGTTATTTATAGGAAGGGAGAGAAATATTTTTTTTGGGGGGGAAAAAATTAAGATTGTTCACCATCAAAGTACAGTCATTATGTTTTATGGAACAATCTTCCTCTATCCCTCCGCCTTGCCCCTTCCTCCAGACGTGAAAGGCGCTATGTGAAGTGCAAAGGTTATTCTTACATTTAATTGAGCTTTTCACTTTGTTCCCACAGAAAGCTTACAGAACATCTTGGGAGCAGACAAGAGCCCTGGGGTATGACCTCAGGTTGGATGCCATACCCTTCCAGACAGCCAAAGCTTCAAGAGAAATAGCCAGCGATGTAAGAACGCACATCAATTTATATTATACAATAATTTAGAGCATCTCCAAAGATTTTGGACCCAGGTTCAATTGGTTATGTTATTACAACTCTACCATCTTGTAAATGACAACCAGATTTTCCTCGGCTTGAAAGACTGTACACAAATTTGAAGGAATTGCTTTCTGATCAATTCGTTCTGGTCCGTATCAATTCCAAAGTTTACTTTGCGGTTTATCAAAAATAAAAATCAGCAAAACTCTCTGTTTGAATTAAAGTTAAATTAAAGGGCTTAACTGAATAATGGGCAAGCCACTTGAACTAATAAAGGAGGAAATCCAATCCTAGCTTTGTATGGAAGCACCTTTATGCAATTACAATGTTGATTCCTTACAAGATGAGGTAATGTAAAACACAAAGATGTTTACCAAGTTCTGGAAACTCGCATTGTGGAGGGGTAAACAAATTAATAGTAATTTGATCACTCAATCCACCACTGTTTGTGGAACACTGCTATGCGCAATTGGCTACCGCTTTCGCCCACAAAATATACAGTCAATTCACTTTACAGTATAATCTGTGAAACGCTTTGAGACGTCTCGAAGATGTGATAAGGCTCTATATCAAATGCAAGGATTATTGTTATCATATTCTAGCTCCACGTCCGTTGCCCACAAATAAGCTGAATGAGCTGTTTCTTTACAGTACAAGTACAAGCAGGCCTTTGTGAGGGAGAAGGGTCAACAGATTGGATTCCGCAGTATTGAGGACGATACCAAAATGAAGCACTTCCTGGCTGCTAGCAAGCTCCAGAGCAGCAAGGCATACAAAAAACAGTTCGAAGAGGGCAAAACCAAATACAAGTTGCACATGGACCAGCCTGGCTTCACACATGCTAAAAGAAGCCAGGAGCAAGCCAGTAACATTAACTATCGGCAGCACTTACACCAGTGGACGTGCGACTCTGAGCAGCTCAATGTCAAGCATGCCAAAGAGGCTTACAAACTCCAAAGTGATGTACGTACTATGCTCCTTAACACTGATGGTTGTAAACTGGAAAGATGATGTGAGGCTTGTCACTTACTTGTAGGAAATGTCTTGGTCTCTGTGGTTCTCTGTTAACTTAGGGAGCTGAGTCAGACTGAGGATCAGAAGATTCTGGGATTGAATTCTGGGTGGGTCCATTCAGACCTTCATTCTAATGATTAAACAATAAATCCTTCCTGGGAGAGAGGGACAGAGAGAGAGAGAGGACCAGCTGAGCTTGGGGTTGACTTGACTCAATGAGGACTTTCTGGCAAAGCCAAATATGTCCATGTGAATTCCAAGTACCATTGATGGTAACCTGATTGGCTCATCAGTAACTCATGTGAACCAAAGTTCTAACGTGCAAAGTGGTCCAAACTTGACAAGTAACATGAAACATAGAAGGGCTTTGTACTAGTTGAGCTGATGTTATAATCTCTGTAAAGCACTTTGAGGTGTTTCCAATGTAAACCGTGCTGCATAAACCCAAGTAGTTGTTGACCTTGTAATATGCATTCGAATGATACTCTTTGTCTGGAACCTGTAGTAGGGTTAGGAACCTGTAATAGGTTCCAAGCAAGGAATGCTCCCACCCTTGTGTATGCTTATGGCACTCTACACTTTTCCTTAGGTTGCTTACAAATCTGACCTTAACTGGATTCGTGGCATCGGCTGGACACCGCCAGGTTACCACAAGGTCGAAGTGGCCAAATATGCAGCTGAGATGTCACAAGCAGAGGGTCTGGATCCCCAGGAAGCAGCCATTCAGTATGAAAGGTTCATGGTAAGGAAACCAGGTGTAAGCAGCGAACTCGCAAAACCAATTGTAACTTGGGAATGAGAAACATGATGCAAATTGAGGAGAAAATTAATGTTTTGAGACGTGATAAGGTCATAACAGCTTTTAAGAGAGAACTGGATAGGTATTGGGGGAAGACGGGTTTGCAGGGTTATGGGGAGAAAGCTGGTGATTGGGGTTAGTGAGAGTGACGCTCTGTCAAAGAGCCGCACAGACTCGATGGGCCGAATGGCCTCCTTCTGTGCCGTAACATTCTATGAATCTATGAAAAAAGGTACTATATCACATGCAAGGATTATTAGTATTATTATTATTAATTTGTGTGTGTGTGATCTGTATTGGATAACTGTGCAGAATTTTTATAACCACAAATGTGAACTTTATACAGTGTTTTATTACAGCCGCCACTCTCCTATAACGACACAATCATCAATCACCAAAGGGCATTTTAAACCTTCTGAATTTTTCAGGCCTTATAAACGGTTGGATGTCGAATATATCACAATAACACTAAACTCCACTTGTCCAGTGTCTTTACCGGTCGGTCGGTCATTGGCTCCATTGCTTTGATTGAAGAAAACTCAACCTGTAGCTTTTGCAGCTGATAAGCACAATATTATCAAAGGGAAACCCAGTTATAGCTCACTTGGATAGAGCACTGCCTCACTGAGAGGGCAGATCTCCCGAACACCGTCACTTCTGTCTCCGACCAGCTGGGTTCCTGCCTTAAAACATGGCTGACATAAGGGTTGTCAGGTCACTTTGCGCAGATTGCCCACAGGAAGCTGCAGGCATGGGTCATGCTTGGGAAACTCCGACGTGAAAGGTGCTACGCAAATGCAAATTGTTGTGTTGTTGTTGAAACATTGCTGACATCGTGATCTTTGCAAATTGAAGATTTCAGGAAGTGATGTCTGTTGTTACCTGACGACCTGGAAGTCTTTTTTTTTTAGCACTCATTTATAATCACACGTGGTTGGTGGGCCATTGGACCCAGTTGGACCAGAGTTCCTCTGTAGTAAGCAGTGTATTTTCTTTCGTGTTGCCACAGAAGGATGGACTTTTTAATATGACAAAACTGTGAAAGAAATTAAGAAATTTCTAGAATTCTGCACCAACTTACTTTTTAAGGCAAAATGGCTTTTCGGCTAAGACTCGGCGAAACTTGCAGTCTCTTATGCTGCAGGGATCAGTTTCAGTATTGATGTCTCCCAGGCAATGTCTCAAAGGCATTCGTAAAGAATTCACTTTGCAGTATGTTCTGTGAAGCGCTGTGGGACGTCTCAACGATGTGATCCGGTGCTATACCGAATGCAGGTATTATTATTAATGATTAACGTCTGTACCCTAGAGGCTTAACTTTGTTTTCCCTCTTATTGTTAGAGAGCTCAGGCTAACAGAGGCACAGACGAATTGAATGTGATGCCAGATGCTGCAGAAGTTCTTCACCTCAAGAGGAAAAAAATGAAACTTGCTAAAAAGTAAAAATTATATACAATTCTTGCATTTAGTGCTTTTAAAGTGGCGTGCTTCCTTTCCAGAATCTCTGATTGTTTGATTCACGTTTTGTTTAGTCTCTTCAAACATTAATTTGTTTAAATTCGGTGCTGGATGTTAAACCTTAAACCTTAAACCTAGTCATTTTTCTACTCGATTAGCTATATCAAGTGAGCAAAATTATTATTTCTGGTGTAATTTTTTTTGCCCGTTGTAAAGAAAAAGTATGCAATGAAACCGATTGAAGTGTTCCATTTTTACACCTGCCTTAATTTTTGCAGCAACGTATGAGTGTACTGTGTATCAATAAGCCCAGAGTGGGCAAAGGGGATAAGGAATAGTGCATCTAACTGTATTTGTGGTCAATCGTGTTGAAAATAAAAGATCTTTTCATTACACTGGGATCAGTCCTCTGCGAGTCAAATATTTTAGCAGGCAAATGTAAAATATGATTTTCCAAACAAACTGTGGAGCACTGCACCAACAGCAAAGAAACGACAGCAACAACAACTGATTTATATAGCTCCCTTCATACAGGATAGCGTCTCAGAGCCCTGGACTAGATTAACCCTGAAATGTTCAAGAGTTGAGATGTAAAAATCAAGATGATCTCAACTTGTCTGAACATCAGTTCACCTGGTAAAAGCCAGAGAGAGTAGCCACTGCGAGCAAAACACAAACGGTCACCAGCAAAAGGGGGATGGAGACATCAGGAGAAAGAGCATTCAGCATCAGTTATTATTACATCTATAGGATTCATACCCAGGCAAATAACCCTTCATTATCGCAGTTCCTCCCGAATTGAATTGAAACATTAAAAATAGTCTGACAACATAGACTTAATCCAGAAGCAGATAGCGCTTAATCTTATGTGCTGCTGACAATGCCTAAAACAGTCAAAGAGATGATAGGAATCACGGTAGACAGGTAGGGATTGCATCTAACCAGGATACACATAATGCTGTCTCGGAAGTGTCATTAACCAGATATAAGTCGTAAGAACCTATAGTAACTACGTACTCACTTGAGTAACTGTTGGATGCATTATGGTGAGGCTCAGGGTCTCGGCAGTTTATAAACAAGCCAGAAAGCCAACAGATACGTCACCCAAAAGCATGTGGAAGCACATGATTGCAATACTCTTTGCATTTTGGGAGTGCCTTATCACTTCAAAGTGTCTCAAAGAGCTTCACATGATTCAATGGAAAGTCTAATGTATTTGTAGGCAATCGCGGCGGCCAATTGCACATAGTGATGTCCCTCAAACAGCCATGAAGTGAATAACCAATTTCATTGGGGAGTTGTTGGCTGAGCCATTGGGAGAGAGAAACTCTCATTTTGTTTTTGAATAGGATTGTGGGGTCTTTAACATCCACCCGAACAGGCAGATGGGACCTCAGTTTAACATCTCGTCCAAAGAACAGGACTTCTGTCAATGCAGCATTGAACCCACAACCTTTTGACTCAGAGGTGAGACTGCAGCCAACTGAACCACTGGACGTGACACCTTTTCGGATAAATAAAGGACTGGGCTACTTATCCTCTTGAAGGAGAATATGCAATATCATCCTACAGCTTCGGGGCTTGAGATCAATAGGTTTTTCAAGTATCGCATTTTTTTAAATCTTCCCTAAGGGCAACTTTGGCCTTTAGTGTTGTCGCAGTTCTGAAGACACAAAGGCTATGGATGTGGTGCAGCAATTATCATTCACTCGCAATGTGTTAATGATAGAGAATTATTGCGTTGAGTTTATGTAACTGTCATACAATGCCTTCTTTGGGTCGATTAGAGAAATACAAAGAACTTCATACGATACTCTTAGAGGGCAATCTAGCCTCAGTCACTGAATTCTTGAAGTACCTTAACAATGCAGCCCTTTAAGGCACTATCTCAGCTTTCAGTCATGCCATCCTTTGGCACACAAGTTAAACATCAATACCCCTATTGTGCAGAGATGGCTCACTGTATCTAACGCTCAAGAAGTAGAGAGAAAAANCGTATCACACGACAAGGAGTATGTTCAATCCACAATAAGTATCTAGCACCTTGCGGCATCCACCCGATGTGAAAGGCGCTATACAAATGTAATTTGTTGTTGTTGTTGATCAAAACATCAGTCTCAGAAATGCGAATGTGGACAATATCTTTGTCTGAATGCATATATGTGTCACAGCAATCATGACCCAAAGTGGGAGGTAGAAAACACACATGGATGGAAAATCCATTGATCTAAAAGTGTTGAGATCACTAACAACAATAACAACAAGATTCCATTGATAAAGCGCCTTTCACGTCGGGAGGACGTCCCAAGGCGCTGGACAGTTGGGTCAGGACCCGAGCAGGGGGGAAATGGTCAGGGTGAGGAGAGGGAGGGAGCGAGAAGGGGGTAGAAATAGAAATGATGCTGTTTCAAATCGACTGACACGACCCATTTCTACTGATTAAAAGCTACTGATATCTCAAGAAGTAAACTGTTACGTTCATAAAATCCTTCCATTTGGCCAGGGAAGAGGCTGACCATATTCGAGAATTATTCTGACCAGGGATGAAACTGCAGCAAAAGCAATAGCCTGCGTACCTCACAAGTTAATATTAACTGAAATCTGGCCTTTTTACAGATGATAAGGAAACCCTCGTCAGTGTCGCAATCAGAAAAACAAGTAGAAACAAACATTTTCGGAAGGTTAGGCATTGATTATAGCAAAGGTCTTTTGTAAAGTCACAATTTATTTAAAAGTAAAACTCATTGAGTTAAAGGCAAGTGTTGAAAATGTGGGCCCCCTAATCAATCTGTTTCAGAATCCAGTTAAGGTAGGTGGTGACCCGCACGTAAACACCGGGTTTCTGTCTCAGTCCGCAGCTATCACCCCAGCTGACAATCCCGTAGATTTGGTGACGTCCATCCTTCAGGCAGGTCAGTGGGCCCCCAGAATCACCCTGAAAGTCAAAGGTTCAAGACTGAGCTTGGCGGAGCAGACATTTTGTTTTCATATCAATGAACCAGAAAGCAAGACCTCTTTTTAGGTCATGAAATAAAATCTGCATCAAAGCGTCCAGGAACAAACTGTACAAAAACTTCCCTTTCGGAAGTTCACTCTTCCAACGTTGTTAGCGGTTTTATCTTGTACTGTAGAAACAGTAGAAACAAAAATCTGCAGGGATGCTATTTCAGGGAGTGAGTCGTAAATGTATGGAACAGACTCCCTCGGGTGACGGCGGAAGCAGGAAGTGTTGCTTCTTTCGAGAAGAAATGAGATAGATTTCTGTGTGGAAATAATACCTTGGGATATAATATTTAGTTTGGGGCGACTGCCAGGATGGGGGAAGGCAAACTGGATAGACTTTGGTCTTCTTTCAACGAGCAAATTCTTATGCTCTAACTTGCTTGAGTGCTCGGCTACACTATTTATAACACTGACAAACCATTACGACAATAAAATGAAATAGAGTATTATAGCTGGGACAAACCTGACAGGAGTCCACTCCGCCCTCTTCTAAATTCCCTGCACAAAGCATGCCCCGATCTAGGATCTGATTGTAAGATACACGCTTGTTGCAGGATCTTTGTGAGATCAGCTTTACAGATGCAAACAATAAGTGTTTGGAATAAGTTCCTAGAAAAAGAAAACGGTTGCATGAACAAACATCAAGTTTGCTGTGGAGTCTTGGAGCTTAGTGGTTAGAGCATTCGCATCGCGAGGTTCGATTCCCGGGCAAGACAGGGTGAAAGGGTGGGCAAGTTTCCTTACTCCACATGCCTCTGTTTACCTAGCAGTAAATGGGAACCCGATTGTTAGTCAATTGGTGGATCACTTTTCCTGGGGTTAAAGTCCCTTCAAAATAAATAAATGAATTAATAATAATAATAATAATAATGTGGTCCCTCAAACCACGACTGTTTGTGTGGGACGCTGCTGTGCTCAATTGGCTGCCCGGTTTCGCCCACATAAATACACAGTTAATTAATTCACTTTACAGTATACTCTGTGAAGCGCTTTGAGACGTCTCGAAGATGTGATAAGGCGCCATATCAAATGCAAAGATTATTATTAGACGTTATTAACGAGGACCTGGTAACTTGAATCACGGCTTAAGAGGTACTAACCAAATTCTGTGGTACCCCACCCTGAAATGTAGCATTCGGAGTTGAGTGGCAGGTCAGTGTCACCATCTGGTAAGCAAGCTGTTTTGACATACTTGGTTTCGTTGGCACAATAACCGCTAACAGATTTCAATTTCATCAAAGCTGAAACACAAATGTTAAAGTTAAACATACATTGCTATGTCTTGGCCAACATTTCCCTTCCCTCCCCCCCCCCCCAATAAAATTGGTCATTCATATCATAGATGTTTGTAGGACACCAATTGGTTGCCAAGTTTCGTCTACAAAATTCACAGTCATTACACTTTACAGTAGATGCTGTGAAGTGCTTTGAGATATCATCCTAATGTGAAATGTGCTACATTTGAATGTAATTGTAAGATTTATTATTATTTTTAACCAAGTCGACACGTTTTCAGGACCAATATGAAAGCCATTACAATATGGTATCTTCAAAGTGTATAAGAGGAGGGTGAGGGGTGACCTGATAGAGGGCTTCAAAATGATGAAAGGTTTGGATAGGGTCGACATTGGGAAGATGGTTCCACTTGTGAGGGAGACCAAAACCAGGGGCCATCAATATAAAATAGTCACCAATAAATCAAATAGAGAAGTTAGAAGAAATATCTTCACACAGAGAGTAGTGGGAATGTGGAACATGCTCCCATGAGGAGTTGTGGAGGCAAATAGCGTAGATGTATTTAAGGGGAAGCTGGAGAGGTACATGAGGAGAAAGGAAAAGAAGGTTCTCCTTGAAGGCTTAGTTGAGGAAGGGCAGGAAGAGGCTCATGTGGAGCATAAACACCGGCATAGACCAGTTGGGCTGAATGGCCTGTTTCTGTGCTGTATATTCTAATGTATTCTAAGTATCTAGGGGCATGAAAATAATACAGATTTTTAATAGTCTGGCAGCAGTATCCCACCATAGCATTTATAATTATAAAAATAATAATCCTTGCCTTTGATATATCACCTTATCATGTTGTTAAGACATCTCACAATGCTTCACGTGATATACTGTAAAGCGATGTTCCTGTGCGTATTTTGTGGGTGAATTTTGTGAGCATTTCAATGCAAGCACAACAGCAACAACTTGCATTTATGCAATGCCCTTCACATAAACTTGCCTAAGGCAAAACCTTAGACACGTTTCCTTACTCCACACGCCTCTGTTTAACTAGCAGTAAGTAGGAACCCGATTGTTAGTCGATTGGTGGATTCCTTTCCGGGAGTAATAAACCCTTCCAAAACAAAAAGCAATAATTTGGTCACTCAATCCATGATTGTTTGTGGACGCTGCTTTGCACAATTGGCTGCCGTGTTTCGCCCACAAAATATACAGTCAATTCACGTTACAGTACATTCCGTGAAGCGCTTTGGAAATGCAAGGATTATTATTATTATATTATATAAGAATGTCCAAGTAGGAAAAAATGGCATTTGTAAACTAACATGCACGAACCTCAAATTTGTTCCACACTCAACTGACTAACTGAGCTACACAGGCCATTTCGTATTGAGAGTTCAGCAAATACTTTGATGCTATCAGATGGTGGATGGCGGAGGGGAGGATGGGAGGAGACGCAAAGCAGCTCACCCACAGCTAGCGTAGCCTCATGCACATTGGTAATTCATTGTATCTAGATATATGGAGGTGTTTGCTTCTCTTTAGGTTGGAAGTGTGGCATGTGAATAAGGAAGGGGACATTGTTTTCGAGAAAGAGAGGAAATTAAGATTTTTTTTCTAAGAAATGTTCTACCAATCACCCCAAAAATATTTCTAGTTTTGCTTCAGTTCATCTCTGAAGAGCAATCCACTGGACCCAGAAAGCATCCTGCTTACCTATATCATTGTACAAAGCATCGTCCGTGTCTTCATAGTCATCGTGCACAATGATTTGCTCGACATCAAACCTCTGCTGATTTATTTCTTTTTGTCGTATCTTATTTTTTCCAAGGAACACTTGATAATGCTTAGGTTGTAAGCTAAATATCATTGGGTAAAAAATAAACACATCTTCTTAGAATGCCTTGAAATATATCCATGTCATGACTTTATCTTATTATAGAGCATCAGGCTCTAATCACCAGCAAAGATCTACTCAGCTAAAGTCACTTGTAAATTTGATGTTAGTTTCAAGGCCAATTTCAGGTAGCAAGGACTACCTGGTATATGAGTGACAATTTCCATGAAAGTTGCAATCCTTTGAGTTACATTTGACAATATTTGGCTCAGAAAAAGAGTAATGTGTGTGTTGGAGTGTCACTGGAATTTAAGCAGCTAAAACCAAACAGTTTATCATTGTGAATATTGCCTGGCAAGTTTCCCATTGCTCATCCAATTAATACTATCCTGCCCATTAGAGCTTTGATTTGCAGGGTTATCAGCTGCTGAGTGAGAAGAATCCCTGCTCTTAATGTCTGGTCTGCCCCTTCAATCCCTGTCAATGAGCCAAGCTGTCTGGTGCCTTGGAGTACTCTGGATTTGGATGACTGAGACTGCCATCGAGAGTTGTATCAATTCTGATATTCCATTGCCCAGCACTTCAACTTGGAGCTATATCAGGCCCAAGGAGACCTCTTTTACCTTCCACCCAAGGAGGATATTGCCTCACCTTGCTAGAAGCTGCAAGCTAATAATGGATCTACTCTAGATCATGTTTGCTTCTAAGCATGTACCTTATCTCAAAGCAGTGGGCTGCAGTAAGAACCCAACAAGGTCTGATCAATGTTCCTCCACAAATATGTCCCGGGTCCTTTATACCAATGGCGAATTTCAGTTGCACAGATGCCTGCCAAGGGTGTCTGGAGAGAGTTGTCTTCTGCCCACCATAGATCCGTTGTAAAGAATTCTTGAAAAATGGCTGTCCACAGGTATCAAAAGTCCGAGGAAGTAGGAATGGTGTGACAGTAGGCAATGATGTAGTTTGAGGCAGTGTTGTGGTTTCTACGTGAAGTGCAAAATATTAGCGAAGAGAGTTGCGATCATTTCAAACACGTTTACTTCTATAAACTAAAGCACTATTACACTGTACGATTGCACTATAGTATTTAACACCAAATACGAAGGACAATATTACTTGCAAAGCTGACCCATAATGGTCACTTCACTTTCAGCCATTGCATGTCTGCTAACCAACACTCCACTGCTGGCCACCAGTGCAATAATATTAGCTATGGCGGAATTTTGTGCTCAACTATTATGATGAAGATATGAAGGATGTGGGAGGGGGGGGAGAGGAGGTCAGGGTCTTAGACAGTCTAAAGTGTCTTGTAACTGACTCACTTTGCTGACCACTTTTATCAACAATGTGCCCAGTGATAATTAACACATCAATTTTCAATTTCCTATTTGAACTCGTTCCGTAGCGGACAGCACCAAGACAGATAGATTCCACTGTATCTTTGTCAATGGGTTATGTTGTGGGGGTCGGGGGAGGAAGGGAGGGGAGGGAGAAAGACAATGAAACACAAGTTAAATGTTGTTACTTGGCGGCTACCTCCACTGACTGCATAGACCTTAACACAACAGTGGGTGGAAACTGCAATGCTTCATACCATATGTAATAATTATTACATCAAATCTGTTTAGCAATACTGGGTGTTAGCCCCAGGAGTCAACCATTCACAATAGCCAAAGATATACCTCTGTCGCATGAATAGACTGCACAAAAATCCCATTTCAGTTTTCCATTTGTACCCTCATAAAAGCACCAAGGTTTCTCATCATCATCTGGGTTCCTGGTCAAAGGTACAATTAACATGTAAAGCCAATGTTTCACATCACCCCAAAATGTTCACCTTACTTCGTGGTTGTTTCCGGGCTCCCACATCTACACAATACACACTTTACAGCAAAGCCTATGAAGCAAACCTGCGGAAACACTATTTCAGTGAGCGAGCAGTAAATGCAGGAAACTGGCTCCTCAGGATTCTTTCATGAACAAATTAGATTTCTGTTTGGAATTAATATCTCAGGATACAATAAATAGTTTGGGACACGACATGTGAGTGCGTCTGCTAGGCTGATGGAAGGTGAACTGGATGGACCTTGGTTTTCTTTCGCCCAGCAGTTTCTAATGCTCTTATGCTTTCAGACATCCGTCTGACTTGAAAGACACCGTAACAAATGCGAGGATTGTTATTTTATTTTAACATGGACATCGTTACTTTCATTTTTTTGGTGCCATTTATCTCCCATGTCTCCTTCACTTACATTTGAAGATTACTGCGTTCGACCACAAATACAGAATTACAGTAAAATCTGTGAAGTGCTTCGAAACATCCTCCTGGCATGAAAGGCGTTATATCACATGTAAGGATTAGGATTACTTTAATTGTGTCTTTAATAGTTAATGCTATTTAATCCTAATTAAGTTAATCCTAACCCTAATCCTAATCTATTTTACCTGCAAAACCTGTGGTTAGCAAGGCCATTCTCCTCAGCATGATCTCCAAATATATTGATGTTTTTTTTCAGAAGGCGATGGGAACTCCAATACAAGCACTTTTCCCCGTCATCAGTTATACTAACATTGCCTCTGTAGCTTTCACCAATTTCGTGATAACAGTCATTGGATTCTGCAGAAAATTAAATCCTGTGTTACTTTCAGGCAGGATTAGCGACATCGCTATTTCGTTGTTCTGTCCAGGGCAAATGATCATCCTGTAAAGCTAATTGCGGGATTTTGATTCGGATAATCTTTGCACTTGCTATGACACCTCATCCCATCATCGAAACGTCTCGAAACACTTCACACGATTTTACTGTAAAGTGTAGCAACTGTGTATTTTATAGGCGGACGAAACAGCCAATGTGCCCACGATAATATTGTGTAGCAAACGGTCATGCAGGGAATGATCAATTTTGTCAGGGGACTGGTTGATCAGCACACAGAGAGAAACTCCCTTCTCTTCCCAAATAACCGCTCTAGGCTACTACCTTGATTGAGGCACACGGCATAAATGCAAGCTGTTGCCCTGCGATCTTTAATGTCCATCTTTAACATCTCGTTCAAAGTATCTGCTGAGATTAGATGCACCTCATTGTCTGGATCTAAACAAGCTGATTCATTGAGTGAACCGTTGGACCAGACATGCTCTTTTCAATAGCATATCTTCTGAGGTTCTTTTCAGTAACTTATTTAAATGTGTGTTTCACTATGTGACATTGACTTATTTGTCTGTAATTTCATCCTGGGCTTTATTAAGCAGGTCACGGTGGAGGCGTAAAACAATTGGTACTGTGACCATTGAAATTTTCACAAATGGATTTCATTCTTGACATCTCTAACGCTCATCTTTTGCATCAACTCAAAGTAGTTTCAAGTTCCATTTGCTTCCCACTTATACTCATGATTTATGGTTCACTAAATCACATTTCATCTTAGGCAACGCATAAAGACGGCACTCAATGTTCCACAACACAAGAACCTAGTTATGAATTTAAGGTTGTACTCTGGGAACTCTACTCTATCTTGACGTCACCATGGGAATAATATCTCTAACGCACTATTGGAAAAAAACTTTCCACTAAAGGACGTACAATGAAATTGCAAATTAGCAGTTAACAGCTGAACCAGTGAGGATAGGTTGCCCTCTATCAAGCCTTATGATACTGATATACAATTGGAAATGACTAAATTCATTACTTTTATATCACAACAACACCTTGCATTTACAGAGTGCCCCTCACTCAGTCCCAGAGTGTTTGACAGTGGCAGGGCATGACTCTGAGCCAGGGGAGGGGGGAGGTGACTGCAGGCACGGTCAAACAGGAAGGTCTTCAGGCACGACCTGAAGATGAGGAAGGAAAGGGCAAGGTGGAAGGATAGAGGAAGAGTGCTCCAGAGTTTCAGAGTGTAGTGGCTGAAAGCACGGCTGCCAATGGTGGAATGGAGGGCATGAGGGAGCCAGTCGAGCGGAGGCAGCATAAGGAAATCCATCAAACAAAGACTAGAAAACATTATTACCTGCTTCACAAAATTGTCCTGTGAAAGCTGGAGGACAGGTGCACATGAACGATCTTCTTGCTCTGCCGGGGTTGCATGTTCCTCCATTTTTACAAGGATTTCGTGAACATGGGACAATTGCTGGGAAAAGAGGTTTGGGAAATATCATTTAAATTGTGCGACCATAAAATCTCTCAAGCACATTTCTGTTTGTTGCTTTTGCCTTCCGGCTTGAGTCTGGCTTATCTTTTACACTTTTGGTACGTTCTCAAATCCAGTAAAACACAGAAAATACTCAGGAAAAGATAATAGCTATCATTAATCAATATTGTCCAAATGGATCATTTCAATCGGTACCATAAAACGAATTTTAAGATTTGATAGAAAAGAAACACAAGTCTAGTAAGGATTATGTATTAATTTGTATTTGCTTGACTGGACCTTAGAAGGCATCCATCTGTGGTTATAGTTGGCTTATAGCATGGTTGACACACAACTGTCTGATATTGTCACTAGGCACCACAAGTTGGGATTCTGTATACTGTGTTTAGCAGCCCTGACATTTTTCACATTAAAGTGATTATAAATAGACTTATGTTGTGTTTTAAACGAAAGTTTGCAGTTTACCTACCTCTTCTGCAAAATGGCGGTTTGTAAGGGTATTCACATTTGCACTCGTAGAAAGGTGGAGATGCAGTGAGAACACATTCCCCTTTCCGGCACATGTTTCTCTTGCATGGATTTATCACTGCGTGAAAACACCACCGAACATTCAAAGAATAAAGCACAGGTTTAAAACGGATTTCATTAGTTCCCAGTTCCCGGTTTACCTGCTTTCAGGTTCGGGCGTAAATCAGAATTGGAGCGTCAGAGAAACGTGTCAGAATTATTTTCATAAGAGCAAGAAATCTTGACGGTGTTATAACAAGGTAATACCGATTCATTTATCAATTGAGTCAAACCACATTTCAGTCTTTAACATACAGCTAAAAGAAATGTCACCTGGGTCTAGATTAATCCAGCTTTTAGGGCCTCCAGAATTTTGCAAATTCAGTTTAAACTTTGAAGCCTTTTTTTTGGTAATTTATAAAAGAGTTTACAGAAAACTGCCTTTAAAAGTAAGCTCTTATTTAAGGATTTGCCAAATTCTGGACCCTCTGAAATGCAACCATAAAATAACTGTCATTTCTCCCTGATAGCGTTTGGCAAAACAACGGGATCTAAAACACAGAGATTTCTAATGGTGAGGGATAAGCAAATAACATTTAGCATTGGGAGGAAAGAGAGAGGAACATTTAGAGGCACAATTGTCATCCTAGCGCTGACAAAATAGAGACAGGACTGCAGACATCAAAGTTGACTTCGCTGATAGCATCTCGATTACCTTACCAGAGGTCATGGAGGGAAAACTAAGCAAATATAAGAACCTTGAACATTGCTCCATAAATTTGCTTTTGTGTCACATGGGTATACTTTGTGTTGCAAAACTACGAAGGGACGTCAAGAAACTGAAAGTCACATTCAGAGATGCCGGGCAAGAAAAAAACACAATAGGACTTGCTCAAATTTCACAAAGTGGAACAGTTGATTTAGGTTTTGTTCGCCGACGCTCATTTACCAGGCAAAGGATACCCGTGAACAGGGAGGGTTCGATTTTCGAAGCCGAGAAGATGAAACGCTTATGATAAACAGCAAAAAAAAACAATAAGATGCCCACAGATGTTTGAAGTGTTACGTAGATTCCATATGGTGTGTGCTCTGTACGTGCGTAGGTCTATATGGGTCTAAGCTGGACAAGCAGCGCGGAAGCTTGCCGGCCAGTGATATCAATGGCAAGCTGTGCGGTTTTAGCTGATTTGACTCCGGCAGTTACCCCCCACCACACATTCTGTGGCCCCCCCCCCAAGCCTTGGCTCTTGCCAACCTATGCCTAATACTTTCCAGAATTAGGTAAGCAGGATGGGTCCCTCCAGAGAGGCAGAGAGAGAGAGAGAGAGAGAGAGAGAGAGCGCATTCCATTCTAACAATCTATCCCTGGGATTCCCTTGTGGATGCATGGAAATCTCAGCCTTGGTTTGGAGCCGCTTAAGCAATGGTGATGGGTTTCCGCGTGTATCAGACACCTGACTGGGTGTAAAAATTTTTTTTTAAAAAATGGATGTTTGAATACCTTGAGCTAGTCTTCCAATGGAAGAAAGGAAAGCCACCATCAGGCCAATAGATCAGGAAGGATTACAGACTAGTCATCAATGTTAGAATGAAAAGTAGACGCTAAAGTCATGTTCAGCTGCCAGACTGCCCAGCTCCTCGCTATGAAAGCTCCAAATCATCCAGACTCCTGCAGTCTGTGTTCCCTCCCACACCAAGTTCCTTGAGCTCACGTCACTCCTACTCTCGCTCAGCTCCCTATCCCCAGTGGATTGAATGCAAGATCTTTGTCCTCACTTTCAAATCCTTACTCATCTCACTCCACCTACTGCCTCCTTCCACTCGGTAAAAACTGGCGTGCTTCATGTGGTCTACCCAATACATCCCACAACACCACTGGTGGATGAACTTTCAGCCATTCTGCCCCCACTCTCTGGAACTCCATTCCTTGCTCCCTCCCTCCCTTCCCGCCTTCAAAACCTACCTGAAGACCTAACGTTTTGGGCTGCAAGTCAACTACGCAAAGCTCTTTGGGACATCCTCCTCACATGAAAGGCGCTGTGTAAATGTAAATTGGTTTTGTTTTACAGATGGTTTCACTTATTGCATCAAAGTAAGTAGCAGTGATTATTAAAGCTTTTTTGTGGCACCTCGGTCAGATTTACAAAATAATAACATCAGTAAAAATATACCAGTAAAAATAAACTCTTCAGGAAGACAATATTGAGAAGAAACATTACCTAGTTGACACTTCTTCCCTTTGTACTGAGGGGTGCAATGACACTGGAAGCCTTTCAGCGTTGCTTTACAGGTACCCTCATTTTCACAAGGATTTGGTGAGCACGGATCTACAAAGATGTCTCAGTGTTAGTATTAACTGTGTGCGTAAGATACGTGCCTTAATAAACAGACAATGTACAGCTGATGTACAATACAGGTGTTCGATTCCAAGATCCTCTCACTCGTTTTCAAATCGCTTCATGCCCTCGTACCTCCCTCCCTCCCCGATCTGGTTACCCCCCACTCCACCACCCGCTGCCTCCGCTCGGTTGGCTCCGGCCTCCTGTTTGTCCCTCGTCCCCTCCGTTCTACCATCGGTGGCCGTACCTTCAGCCACTACAACCCCGAAACTCTGGAACTCTCTCCCTCAATCCCTCTGCCTCGCCCCCTCCCTCCCCACCTTCAAATCCCATCGAAAGACCTTCAGCTTCCTTGTCGACTGTGCTTACGGTCACCCCTCCCTCTCCCCCTGGCTTGGAGTCAGACTTTGCCACTGTTAAGCGCTCTGGGAGGCTATCCCTTGTGAAGGGTGCGACGTAAAGGTAAGTTGTTGTTGCTGTTATTGGAACGTGGAATGCCTTGCTGTGAGTGGCTCTCAATTCTAAGAGGTTAACAATATTTAAAAGGCAATCAGATAAATATCTGAAAAGAAACAATATAAAAAAGTTCCGGGGTCTATACTGTAAATTCTATGCGTCAATAAACTAACAGAAACATAAAACTAGAAAATTACCAATCAAGGACACAAAGAAAGTGTAGTTTTTCTCAAAGCCATTAGTGTGCCTGACCTGTTGGTGGGGAAAGGCAGGAATGAAATACCCCTCATCCAAGAATTTATTTTCCCGATTAATCTGTGAGATCAGATTGCATTAAGAATACGTTATAGAATTGAAAGAAAAAAGACAAGGGACCTTCTTCACTGTAATCGTAGTTAAGCCACGGTGGATCCAAGTCTTCATCATCTTCATCATCACCCTCATTATGTTCATCAGCATAAACCTCGTCGTAAATATCTAGATCTTGAGCAGAGTTCAGCAAAGGGTTATTCATTCTCTTTATATTTGTCATGCATGTTCTTGAGCATCCCACGAGTCAAGGCCATCGCACAGTTTGTACAAACTGAACAGAAGACCATTTGGTCATTTTAGACGTAATGGAGCTCAGCACAAAACAACGCCAGTTAATTCTTTGTAGAAACAAGCCATTCAAAAGATTCCTTCTTCTCCCGATGACCCAATAAATAGAGATTTCCCGAATGACCCAGGGAGAGCAACTGAGTACAGAGCAGCCCAGTCTCTCCACCAGTCGCTGATCGGAACCAGGGCTACTATTGAATGTTTTGGCATCTGTAAGTGTGTGTGTGTGTGGGGGTGGGGGGGGGGCTTTCTGCAAGTGTGTAAGGGGTATATACATCAGCATGGACTAGTCGGGTTAAATAGGCTGCTTTCTTGCTGAAATGTTCTCCGTAAAAGATACTCAATATCTTGTTGCATGAAGAATCATCAGTTGTGGAAAGTAATGCATAGCGGGACATTGTCTGTTCAGTAGATAGGAAAGATCTACTCAGGAGACAGATAGTAGCAAAGAGAGGAGGTTCCAGTTCCAGCACATTCAGTTAACTCATGTTTAATACTTCAGGAATGTATTTGTCAACGTAAAGCACGTGTTACACCCTTAGACTGTCTGTGGCAAATGTATACCAAACAGTCAAATTATTAAGCCTTTGCTAAGCCTCTGCAACTGCATGGCCCTGATGCAAGAGGGGAAATGAGGAGAATTATTTTTACCCAGAGAGTCTTCACGGTCTGGAACTCTCTGCCTGAAAGGCTGGTGGAAACAGATTCAATAACAACTTTCAAAAGGGAATTGGATAGGGACTTGAAAAGGAAAAACTTGCAAGGATACGGGAAAAGAGTGGGGGAGTGGGACTAATTGGGTAGAAAGAGCCAGCACAGGCACGATGGGCCGAATGGCCTCCTTCTGTGCTGTAATATTCTATGATTCTATAAGTTAACATCTATCGAGGATACAATCTCTATCTGTCACTATTCTCCCTTTGCACTCCTCACCCCTTCCGAAAGCCCCAAATTCTTTTCATTTTGCAAATAAATCCGTCCTTTTTGTCACAAAAAGCACATTCTGAAGGACTCTGACTAGAATAGAAATAATTAAAATGGCAAATTTGAATATGTAGAGTTCTAGAGATATAAGCTGGAATTAAATCCTTTGACTAAGTGTAATCAATTGAACCTTGTTATCATTTTCATTATGATATGCAAATGTTATGTCTGGAAAGTTCAGCTCCACAATAATCTTTCCTGCATGTTGTAGAGCTGTATAATAGGCAGATATTATATCATTATATTCTGCAGAACTATAGTTATACCTGACTGAGCCTGTGTACATTTCACACCAACTATGGCAAACTACATTTTATTTATGCTTTTGTTCGAAATCTTAATCCTTTTTCACACGAGTAGAAAACAAGTTTCTTGTTTTTATTAAAAAGAGGCAAAGTCACTTACCATCGAGATTCCAATATGCATAGGATTCCTACACAGAACAGAAGAAGCATCAGAACATTCAAGATTTACACAAACTCAGCAGAAATCAGCGGAAGCTTATCTTTTGTGCAAAAAAAAAAGCCATCAAAGGTTCAGCAAAGAAAGAATCAAACCAATCAAAGAAACCAATCAAACCCATGCAATCCCCCCGCCACCACCCCCACCAAAAAAGTAATACACTTTTGAAAATTTGCTTCTGTTGCGATAATATGCTTCTATTAGATAAAAACTCCGAATGACACCCGAAAGGACACGTATACTAAAGATCATGCCTCGTCTATGTACAGTCTGTGCGCGCATAAAGTACCATTCATTTACCTGAAGCACGTTAAAACAAGTGAGAAAGGTTTTGGAAACCAGATTTATTTCTGTTACTTACCGTTAAAGGAACAACCACTTGTAAGGCCACGCACATGAGGATCAGAGTTATGGCCTTTGCCATGGTGACAAGGAGCAGGCCGGTCAGTTAGCCACCAGCTAATGTACCTGAGTTTGATGTTAAAAAACCAAGCACGATTACCGGTGTCAGAATGGCCCAGTTTGGGCCATAGGTGGAAACTGTTAACTGGACCTCAAACCCAGATTAATGTTTAATGAACAGACGTCCTGCACTCTTACGCCATACCGATGGAGAACAGTCACCTGACCCCTTTGTTATTCCAGCGTCAGTTTGTTCAACAAATGTAACTTTGATAAGATAATCAAAGTCCATTTAACCAGAATTTACGCATTTTCTCTGCTACCTTTAGTTATCAGGTAACATTTTAAAACTATTTTATCGGGTACTTTTTAATAATACATAATAATCCTCGCACTTGATATGATGCCTTTCACATCGATAGGATGGCTCAAAACACTTTACAGGATTTACTGCAAAGTCCGGTGACTGTGTATTTTGGAGGCGAATTGGGTATTCAGTTGGATATTATATTATTGAATATTTTTTAAAAAAAGCTACGTGATAACGAAAAATCAATACTGAAACCTATGATGAAAATCAGTAATAAGATGAGACTTCTGCTGAAAGTTAACCAGGTTTCTCCAAAGTATTTTCACAGAGTTTAAATCAGGTTTTACTCACAGTTTACAATTTAAAGGCGATTTTTTTTTCTCGAACTGAAAATTGCCAATGTGTTTCTGCCATTAAAATTGAAACGTAAAACAAAAAATTAACCCCGGCCTAAATAATAAATTAAATTGCATAGTTTATCATTGGAGATTCCCACACAACCCTGTTCTTGTATCCCAATCTTGTAAATCATTCCATGTCTCCAGCACACGATTCTGCTGGTGCAAAACAATGGTGCTGCGTTCAAAGATTCACCTGTCCTAAAGATGTTGTTTTCCTTTGGCAATGGAAATACGGTGATCAACCTTCAATAGGAAAGGGTTCAAATCTATTCTAGTTTTAGGCTTGGATAATACAATACAAAATGACATTTGTACAGCGCCTTTCACGTCGAGAGCATGTCCTCAGGCGTTGGACAGTCAAGGACCTGAGCTGGGGTTTGGGATCAGGGAGAGTAGAAGGGTGGCTGAAGGCACGGTCAAAGAGGAGGGTCTTGAGATGTGCCTTGAAGGAGGCGAGGGAGGGAGCGAGACAAAGGGAATGTGGGATGGAGATAACTAAGTAATTTGAGATGTGCTATTTTTGTGACAGCATCTGAATCCCTCAAGTACTTTGTCCACAATTATAATTCTTTTTTGTCTAACAGCTCTTTTGCCTTAATTAAAAGAACGTGGTTTGTGGAGGAAGCAGCCCTGATCAGCTGAGTGACCCATGGTATTCTCATTTCCTGCTCGCTTGTGATCTTGCTCCGAACGATTGAATCATTTTCGATACAAAGCCCAGCGGCTCCTGTAATTTTGCTAACACCAGACCTAAAAATTTCCCAATGTAGCTAAGAGAGAAGTGAGACTCAACAACAACTTACATTTATATCGTACCTTCAAGCAGGGTAGGGTCCATTGCCCCGAGCACTTGGATAGAAGCAGTCAGAGTATCCAAACATACAGAGTACCAGAAAAGGATGGTCAACAAGGTCTAACCTTCAACAGGCAAGTCCAAGGAGAAGTGACAGGTTGGTGTGCTTTGTAGAGATACTTTCAAACCCATCTGTTCACATCAGATCACATTAGACAACAGGCAAATCTTTGGCGTTAAAGTCAGTCACAGGCTTATACAGGGTGAATCCAAGGTCCTCACTCATAGGTCTCTCTAGGAGATGTTCCAACTCTTTGTTGTGTAAACATTCACACACACCAACTCGGTGACAAAACCTTCAGGGAAAGACATCTCCTCTAATAGCTGCGCACTCTCTACCAATGTTGTCTTAAAAAAACATAATTAATAATTAAAAACTCGATAAGTAAGGACTTGTGATTCACCCTGTTTTATTGGCTAGGGCTTGTTTGTGTGTGTGTGTGTGTGTGAGTGTGTGCGTGTGTGGGGACCATGTTCAGTGTACTATTATTGTAAGCTTGGCCAGATGGGCTAGATTTCTTTTCATCAAACACTTCCTCTCTGACTTGGCTTTCCGCCACTTGAGATGTTCTCTGATTATGCTTCCTTCTCTAGAACAGTCTCCACCTCCAATCATTCTTTGCTTGTCCTTCTGTTCTCTGTAGGAATCCTTCCCCTGCAGGTACAGTGTACGATAACATTATTTTCCAAACCTAAATCCGGAAATACATGGATAACAGCAATTCCCGTCTTTCAGATTCAAGTGCACAGCTTATCTGTGATCAACATCATGTAACATGGCACCATGGACAAAGCACAACTATTAATATCGATCCTGCATATTAAAGATGGTAATACAAGTCATACCGACCTGTTTAATCTGAGGATGGATGAAATATTATTTAATGATTCAGTTAGTGTCATTCAAGGTTGCGACAAGTAACTGATGTTCGTTCCAACCTTTTCCGTCTGTCTGTGGTGAAAAATCGGTCATGCCTTTGCTTCTGCCACCTCTTCGTGTTTTTAAAATTAAAATCTTCCTCTTAACTACGAAAGCAGGTAATTTTTTGGGGGGTGTTTACTATTACTACCTTCTTTCTGTATCTTTAAGAGAGAAAAAAAACTATTTGCTTTGCACCTTTTGTGTCATCTTCAAAAGGGAATTGGATAGGTACTTGAAGAGGAAAAATTTGTAAGGATATGGGGAAAGAGCGGGTGGGGGGGAGTGGGACTGATTGGGCAGCTCTTCCAAAGAGCCGGCACAGGTATGATGGGCCAAATGGCCTCCTTCTGTGCTGTAATGTTCTATGATTCTATCTGGCAAAACCTCAGTAATAATAATAATAATCCTTGCATTTGAAATGACGCCTTATCACCTCTTCGAGACGTCTCAAAGCGCTTCACAGAATATACTGTAAAGTGCAGTGACTGTATATTATGCGGGCGAAAGTGCCAAGATATCCAATAGGAAGACAGATCTACCCACTGAGTGCTGCACCAGAGGTGACTGCTACTTACCCTTAGCAATTCCACTTGTTATCGAGGGCTTATTTTGTTTCATTCACTATGTGCTGCCAATCCTTCTACGTGCACTTATTATGGGGAAATTCCTGCACTTGGATGAGCGGAGTAGATAACAAAGATTCCTTGACGTGCAAAGCTTTCAGGCTGGAATGTCCCTGTTCGTGGTTCCTTACCGTTTTACACTGCTCTAGTCCGAGATCCTATAATTCCTAAAAGTACTGAAATTTAAAAGTATCATTAAGGTATGTAGCCCCTTGTTGTGAATATTCCTGAAGGCTTTAAGTGATCCTCCACCTCCCCACTTGAACCCAGAGGTCTGAAGCTATATGTTTTTATCGTTTTATGGGTTATACGATTCAACTACTTTCAATGGAATCACATGTATTCCATTTTAAAGGATTAAAATGAACTACTTTGGATTTGGGGTTTGTGCTAAATGTCCACTATTCTAGTGAGGAAAATATTCTGCTCGTCAATGTTCCTTTAATCCTGCAATCACAACACAAGTAAAGCCAATTTGCTTAAATCTAGGAATGAATGTATAAACTTCTCGACTTATAACCTCAGTACGTCTCAGACCTTAAAGAGGTTCAGCACAATGCTCCAAAAGATGTCCAGCTAAATCCAAATGAGTTCTAACCATCTCTTTAATCAACAACAACAACTTGTAGCGGCATACACGTGGGGTAGCATCCTGGAGCGCTTGACAGTGACGGAGTCTGACACAGAGCCAGGGGGAGGTGACCATAAACACGGTCAAAAATGAGGGTCTTTAGGTGGGATTTGAAGGTGGGGAAGAGGGGCAAGGATTGAGAGAGAGAGAGAGAGAGAGACAGTTGCAGGGCGTAGTGGCTGAAGGCAGAAGAAACATATACACGGACACTGAATTTAGAACTTTTCTACAATTCTGCACAATCTTAAATCCTTAGATAAAATAATTATCCTGGCAATAGCACCTTACCATATCACTGGGATGTCTCAAAGCTCTTCATATGATTTTCCTGTGAAGTGCAGCTACTGTGTACTTGTAGGTGAACGAATATTGAAGATCTTACAAGATATGTGGAATTAAAGCACTCAAAATTAGAGATAATAATCCTTGCACTTGGTATAGTGCCTTATCATGTCATAGAGACTTCTGAAAGGTTTCACGGGATTTAACTATGAAGTGTAGTGACTTTGTATTTGTAGGAAAACATGGCAGCCATGCAGTGAGTGACCAATTTTTATTTGAGGGATTGTTGACCAAGACATGATGAAAAACTTCTGTGTTATCAAGGAAGCTATGGGGAGAAATAGGCCATATATTCAGAGCTGGTGATCACAGAATAGCCCATTTGAAGTTTGATACCAAAGTCTGTATCAAAGACTTGACAGAAACAGTTACACTCAGCAAGTACCAGACAAATGACACCTCAGTAGTCCCCAAATTAGTCATAACCAGTCGTAATTGATACAGTATTAATGTCTTTATGGCAAAAAAAATTTAAGGACGGAAAGTGATCCCATTGCAATTAAAACTCTGGCAATAACACATTTAAAAGGGCTTTCGTTGAAAAAGAAATAGATTTTCCAAAGATTTTATCTGACGCCCTTTTTTCCCCACCTGTTATTGAGAAAGATCCCATAATTTAAGAAATTGGATTTAATTGATTCGTGCGTTAATCCAGGAGAGGAAGGCGGGGACACGAGCATAAACTCCGGGTTTATTTCTTAATCCACAGCTATCGCCCCAACTGACCAAACCGTACACATGGTAACGTTCATTTCTCTCGCACGTCAGAGGTCCTCCAGAATCACCCTGTGTGATAAAAGGTACATCAACCACACATTAAGTTTAGAAAAACATAATCCGTAATAATCCTTGCGTTCGATACAGAGATTTTCACATTGAGAGCAACACTGTAATGTGTTGTGACTGTGCATTTTGTAGGCAAACACAGCAATCAGTGTCCCACAAACAATCACAACAACAACTTGTACTTATATTGCGCCCTTCACACGGGATAGTGTCTTGTCTCGGAGCCTGACATCAAGCTGTGGGGACAGTGGAGGTGACGGTAAACATGGCCGAAGCGTAAAGTTTAATCTGAAAATGGGGAAGGAGGAGGCAAGGCGGAGGGGTTGAGGGGGAGAGGGCCAAAGTCTCGGAGGGTAGTGGCTGAAAGCACAGTCGCCAATGAGGGACAGGCAGAAAGTCATAGCCAGCCGAGCGGAGGTGGCAGGTGATTTGGGATTTAGGGAAGATAATATTAATAATAATCGTTGCATTTGATATAGTGCCTCATCACATCTTCCAGACGTCTCAAAGCTCTTCACAGGATATACTGTAAAGTAAATTGACTGTATATTTTGTGGGGGAAACACGGCAGCCAATTGCGCACAACAGCGTCCCACAAACAGTCGTGGATTGAGTGACCAAACTATTAGATTTCCGAAATCTCACAGCAATCAGGAGTGTGGTCGCTTTACACCTTATGTTACTCGGTCACTTTTTTCTATTTAAAAAAGTGTTGACTTCTGAATTTTATGCATCAAAAGCTCCTTTGATATTTTTTTCTCCGCTGCGGCTGCTACTTTTTTAGATATATACTGGTAGTTAGTGCCGCAGATTAAAGGAATCCTCTGGGGAAGGCTCAGGGTAGCTGTGTTTCTGAGTTTACTGTGGTATCCAGCAATTTCTACACTTAAAGCATTACATTTAAGTGCACTTGGGTTTCCCAGTCTTGTATCTTACCCGCCAATGGTCTAGCAGGATATCACTTTGACGCCTCATGAACAATGTAAAGGAACCGACTGCCTAGAGGTGTTAGTGTATGATGTTACAGTCAGAATTTATTCTCAGTCAGACTGGGCAAGTTTCCCTACTCCACACGCCTCTGTTAACCTAGCCGTAAGTAGGATCCCGGTTGTTAATCGATTGGCGGATCGCAATTCCGGGCGTAATAATCCCTTCAAAATATTTTTGAAGGGAAATCTAATAGATTGGTCACTTCAGTCAACGACTGTTTGTGAGACATTGCTGTGCGCAATTGGCTGCCGCGTTTCGCCCACAAATACAGTCAATTCACTTTTCAGTACATCCTGTGAAGCGCTTTGAGTACGTCTCGAAGACGTGATAAGGCGCTGTATGGAATGCAAGGATTATTTTCCAGCAGTGGCCCCAAAATCAGACACAGCCTGATTAATCCCCTCGATACTGCAGCACTTCCAATTACTGCTACAGCTGAGATCAGATAACTCAACAAAAACAAGAACTTTATATAGTGCCCTTCATGCCAGATGGCGTCTCGGAGCGCCTAACGCAGGTTAGGATTGGAATCTGCAACTGTATTAGCTATGTCACCTACAGGATCAAACAACAGAGCAGGTTCCACAATCCAATAGTAAGTAATGCAAACCTGGCAGGAATCCACACCACCTTCTAAGTTCCCGGCGCAAAACATGCTGTTATCAAGGAGTGTTCCATAAGACCGAGGATCCTTGCAGCGTTGATTGGAAATCAATCTCACAGTCGTATCCAGTAACTGATCTGATGTTACATCTTGAAAATAGTCAATAAAAAAATATTATATATGTAAGGAAATGTTTTGTTAATAATCAGCAATTCGTATGTTACTCTAAATTGGGTGGGGGAGGGGGGGGGGGAAACCTATATATAATAATAAATGACGTACCTAATTCTGTCTTGCCCCATCCTGAAATGTAACATTCAGTGCCTGGCTGGAAATCAGTGTCTGGTAAACAGGCAGGCTTCACGTACTTTGTGATCTCGGCACAGTGTCCGTTGACTGGTTTAATCTTTACTAAAGCTGGAATGAAAACGTGGATTTCCATCAGCAGTGTCGCTGGGCAGGCCAGCTGGACAACGATATCAATGGCAAGCTGTGTGGTTTTAGCTGGTTAGACTCCAGCAGTTACCCCCCAATGCACACTCTGGTATCCCCCCAAGCCTTGGTCTCTTGCCAACCTGCGCCTAATACTTTCCAGGAGTGGATAAGCAGGATGCATCTCACCAGGGAGGAAGAAAGAGAGAGAGAAAGAGAGCGCATTCCATTCTGACAATCTATCTCTGGGATTTCCATGTGTAGGTGGGGATGCATTGAATTCTCAGCTTGGTTTGGAGGCTCTTAAGTCACGGGGGTGGGTTTCTGCGTGTGTCAGACACCCGGCAGACGAAATAAAAGTCAGCATTGTCGGCGATACTGAAAGGTTAGTGAAGAGGAAGCGCAGCCGATCTACTGAAATGGGTTGCGGTTTGCTTACCAATATCATTCAACAAAACCATTGGGCCCCCATAAAAGTTCTCGTGGACAAAAGTCCTTTCGACATCAAAGTTCTGCTCGTGCATCTCCGTCCTTTTAAGATTTTGTTTACCGAGTCGTAAGCGAAAATCTCTGGCCTGTGCACTATGTATTGGTTAAAAAAGACAACAACTTCCAACTATAAAGGTCTTAAAGTGAATTGCAACAAGTTAGTGAAGAGCACACAGTATATTCATTCCAATCGTAGCTGGCTCTTAACATTAGACGTTCCTTAACAGATTTAAGGTCCGAAGTACTTGTTCTTGAGTTTTTTTGCAAGAGCCAAGCAAAAGAAAATATATTTTATAGATCACAACAGTAATGTCATAAGATAATTATCCTTGCATTTGATATCGCACCTATTACAGTGAATTGACTTTACAGCATATTCTGTGAAGTGCTTTGCGAGGTCTCGAAGACATAGTAAGGCGCTGTATCAAATGCAAGGATTATTATGTTATTATTATATCGCATTGAAACATCTCAATTGGTTGGTTGACAAGTGCTGTAATTTTATTTTATTTGTGGTATAATAGTGACTGCTCCACATTCCCCATCCACCCGCCCCACCATCGGCATTCAGCTTCTCTGCCCCCACCCTTTAGAACTCCATCCCACAGTCCCTTCATCTTGCTCCCTCTCTTGCCTAGATATTTTATTTGTAGTCACTTTTTATTGGTAGACAATAAACACTGCAGCCAATTCTCGCACAGGAAGGTGCCCAAAAGCAGTCATAAAGTGAATGATCAGTTTATCTGGAGAAATGCTGGCCGGGAAACTGAGAGAAATTCCCTTCCCTCTTCGAATGGGATCTTCAATGGAATATTATTATCTTTAATGTGCACCTGAGCCAACAGAAGAGAAATAGCTTTGACATCTCATTTGATGGTTGGCACCTCTGATAACACAGCGCTGTGCAGTACTACCCTGGAGTGAGAGTGTGGATGAACTATTAGCTTTTATCCTGAAGTGGGGATTGGGACCACAACCTTCTGAATAGAGACAAATGTGCCACCGACTGAGCCAAATTCAGACCGAACAGATTTTTTTTTAAAAAGAGGATAGTTCAACAACAACTCCAAAAAATAATTTGTAGACCGGTCAATACTTACCCCGAAATGATGCAGTGGGCAGCAGTGAGGACCCAACATGGTCTGATCAATGTTCCTCCACACAAATGTCCCGGATTATAATGTCCAACAGCAACTTTCAGTTGTAGAGAGGCCTGCCAAGGATGCTTGCCTGGGACTGTGCTTTTTCCACCAAAGATTCTGCCTCTCGCTCTGGTAACCTCGGGCTTTCCACACTGATCAAGGAGCGTAATGGGGAGTCGCAAACCAGGTTGGGTTGCTGGTATGGCAGTAATTTGAGGTATTACGGAAGGTACTACAGAAGAGAAGCCATAAAGTGTTGAAACCTACTCGGTGACAATGTGTCTTTTATTGTGCGGGTTATTGTGAATTTGGATCTTTGATAACAGAGGCCTTCTCCATGTCCCCCGCCCCGGCTCGCCCCACCATCAGCAGTCAGGCCTTTAGCCTCTCTGGCCCCGTCCTTTGGTACTCCATCCCACAATCCCATCGCCTAACTCCCTCCCTGGCTTTCTTCAAAGCACGTCTCAAGACACTTCTCTTCGACCGCGCATCTGGCAATCCCAGTGTAGTGACTGTGTACTTTATGGGTGAAACGTGGCAGCCAATTGTGCACAACAGTGTCCCCCAAACAGTTGTGGATTAAGTGTGCCAGGGGGTGGAATATTAGCCCTGGAAAGTGAACTGCCAATTACCTAACAAGTTGTTGTGACTGAGATTGTGTAATATTCACTTTGATTTTAATTTAATTTTGATTTTAATGGATGTTGATCTATACTACAATATAGCTTCTAGGATCTTAACTTTGATCTTTTTCAGTGGATGGAAGTTTACTGCTTTCCACTCGAATGGTGCTGGGAGGTAGGGTTATGACCATCTGCTCAACACTATCTGGAAGCTTAACAGGATCAAGAATTTGTAAACGTAATTATTTTAACTTCTTAAAATTGGCATCGATTCCAAATTAGGCCTGTGGCTTAGTATAAGAATCTGAGCCACGTAAAGCATCAGTGACATCTCAAATAGAATTGTTCTGATGTAACAGTTCAATGTCCACTGGTTGGAGACTTGAAGACAAGGGGCATGAATTCAAGACAGTGACTACAACAATCACAACTACAAGTTTCATTTATATGGTGCCTTTCATATCGGGAGGACGTCCCAAAGCGCTGGATATTGAACAATTTGCATCCGAGCTGATGTGAAGTTATGTTTATTTATCTTTTGGATGAGACGTTAAATCGAGTTCTCCATCTGCCTGTTCAGGTGGACATTAAAGATCCCTTGGCACCATTCAAAAAGAAAAGGGAATCTGTTCCCTTCAACAGAACTCCAGGTAAAACTGATGATTCATGGCAGATTGTGGGACATTGTTGTGTACAAATTAGTAACTAGGTTTGCCTACAAATACACAGTCACTACACTCTACAGTAAATCCTGTGAAACGCCTCAATAATGTGATAAGGCATTATATCAAATGTAAGCATTATTATTATTAAGGTTAATGTTGAATTCCATATTCAATTCTAAAAAAATTAGCAGTTTTGCAAAATAATGTAAAATATACATACTGTTCATGCAAAGAGAAACATCACAATGATCCCAATTTAACTTTCCTTTCTTCTCTACAAAATAGCACCAGGGCTTTTCATCGCCATCCGGGTTCCTAAACAGAAATACATTCGACAAATATAGTCCAGTGTTGTGCCCATTCCTGCCACTTGTATTTTCACATTTCCATAAAACAATTTCAGTGAAAAGTAATGTAAGGACGGTTTTCCTAAAGTGCTACTTTCAACAATTCTACATTGTTCTACACACCTCGCCATTCTCCAGCAGATTACAGTTGACGGAAATCTAATTAAATGTGAAGTGATACTTCACTGTTTCCATTAACTGAGCCACCTTATTCTAGAACAGGAACAAACTGGGAAACTAACTATTGCCCCAATCATTGCGTGGTATCAGAATGTAGGCTCACCTTTCCGGGTCAAATACAAAGATGTGTTAAGGATCCCTAAGTAGCGTTAAGCGTTCCACTCTATTCAAGACGCCCTTAACATTCCTTTACCTTTGAATCTTACGGTCCATTCTGAATTTCTGTTGCAATTTAGTGAATTGAATGATGGTGCCCTTTTGAATGATATGTTGATTAACACAACTTGTATTAATGGGTACGTTTTAAACTTGACGTGATGTATGTTCATGAATATACGAGGTGCATACATAAGCATGATGAAGGGCTGGATGCAGGGTGGTGGAACATTGCCCTGAATGAGTTCATTTAAGCACTTCATTTCCAATGCACAGAATTTTAACAGAATTCCCAAGGTCAGCGTAGGTATACTTCGCTAATGAACACTAGGGGCTACACACGACTTCAAGTCTTTTCTAATTTCATGTAACCATGTACGGTCAGCTGGAATTTCTGACCGTACATGGCTACATGAGATCGGAATAGACATGTAGTAGTATACGCTAAGGTCATCTAGACCAAGGTCCATCTAGTTCACCTTCCAACATCCCAAGCAGTGGCTTGACATGTCATGTCCCAAACAATTTACTGTATCCTGTGACATTATTTTCTAGCAGAAATCTATCTCTTTTGTTCTTGAAACCAAAGGCATTTTCTGTTTCCACCGTTGCCCTACGAAGCCTGTTCCATAAGTTACTACTCGCTCACTGAAGCAGTGTTTCCGCAGATTTGTTCTGAATTTACCCCTTTTCAATCGCAGGCCGTGTCCTCTGGTTCTACCGTTCAGTATTTAAGAATATGCCAAATTGTGGGTCCTACGAAAACGCAACAGAAAGAAGAATAAATCTAGTCCCGTGTGGAATTTCTCCCCGGTTATCCCACGATTTGAAGAAAGCAACCAAAGAAACCGCCCTAAAATCAAAATAGTTTAACAGTGTAAATCTACCGGCAATAATTGTGGTCACCAATGCCAAATCGTTCAGGGTTCTGCATATGGGTCCCAACTGGTTCCAGAAGAAGTAGGTGAGAGCTCCAGGACAGACACCTCGTCCCCCTTTCAGTTTGTTTCACGAGACCTCGATAGGTCACACCATCATCACGGTAACAATCATTTGGAGCTGTGTTTGGAAGAGATTCAATACATTTGTTTTGATAATAGTAATAATAACAATAATATTGCATTTGATATTGCATCTTCGAGACATCTCAAAGCGCTTCACAGAATATACTGGAAAGTGAATTGACTGTATATTTTGTGGGAAAAACCTGGCCCAGCAGGGTCCCCACAAACAGTCGTGGATTGAGTGACCAAATTATTTTATCTTGAAGGGGATTATTACCCCGGAAAAGCGCTCAGCCAATTGAATAACAACCAGGTTCCTCCTTACTGTTGGGTAAACAGAGGAGAGTGAAGTAAAGAAACTTGGCCAACTTTTCGCCCTGCCCGGAAATCAAACCTGGGTCCTCTCGTTTGCAAAGCCAGATCTCTAACCATTCAGCTACAGGGCTCCAAATCATAAATATTATAATTATTAATAATAAATACATAAAGTTCATGGTACAAACGACGTGTGAGATCACTTTACCTATCTCACACAGCTCCCCTCTGTACTGCCCTCGGCAAGAACACGTGAATGCTTCCTTCTTATTCCTCCCAGGCCGGCAAACACCTCCGTTTTTGCAGGGGTTTACAGCGTTGCACGCTGAGGCGACTTGAAAAACACGCAATTCAGAACAAATTAATTCGTTATTATATTTTCAGTCTTTAAAATATTGCCCTAACTGGTCAAGTTTACCCTCAGCTCTCTCAGGATTGTTTGTTGAAGCACATTGAATCCGACCTGCTTACCTCCCACACCACCACCCGCTGCCTCCGGCCTCCCCATTTTCAAAGACCTTCCTTTCTGATCGTGCTACCGGTCAACTCCCACCTTCGCTTCTTCTTCCCCTGGCTCACGGTCAGACTCCAGCTTTCACACTGGGAGGATGTCACCAAGGCCACAGACAGCAGGTGGCTAGGGCTAGAGAAGGCTCAAGTTCTCCCAGATCTATCTACAGCTGCCAGGGATGATGCAAGTCTTGAGACGGGCTTTGAAAGTGGGGACGGAGTGCGACGAGTTGGAGGATCGCCGGGATGGAACTCAAGAGAGCGAGGGCAGAATGGGTGGAAGTTTGCCCGCCGATTGAATTGTATGGCTTGCATATACGACAGGGGACATGGAGCAAACCAGTTTTCGCTGAGCGCAGGAAGAAGCTGGGTTGGAAGCGCGATAGCAGGGCATGGGGTCGGGTTGGGTGAAAGCCTTGGAGGAATTTGAAAGTGAGGATGAGGAAATTAACTCATTTTATCAACTCGTTTTCCTTCAAATCTGAAATTAAAGAGAATAACCATCCATGTAGCATATCCTACCTTTTTTGCATGTGGGTGGGAGGTATGGATGATTGCATTTACACTTATAATATGGAGGATTTCGCTGGATAACACAGTCACCATTTTTGCACGTGTTTTTCTTACAAGGATTTTGGACTGCAAGAGAAAAGTTAAAGTTAGTACAAGATACAGAATAAAAACTATGCATTTTGTAACATTCTGCAATCAGCTACTAATTTATTTATCTGTTGAAATGATCAATCAATTGTTTTCTCTTTTCACATCATTCCTCACAGGAAAAAAAAAATACATTATTGCAGAAATCCTTTTTATAATCACACAAATTACCATTTAACTGACACAAAATCAAAGGGAATCGAGGAATTGACATTTCTATTGCAAAGTAAATAATACGGTGCATCAAAAACATTGCATTTTCCACCCTTTTTAGTTTGGAATTCATAATTCTATGTGTTCAACAATTGTTGTGCAACTTCACCTCTCTGACAGTTTCTTCCAAAATATGGCTCAAAGCATCGGCATTGGTAACCAGTCTCCGTTATTTCACATCTTCCCTGGTTCAGACAAGGGACTTGAAGGCAGGGATCTGGGGGAAAACAGCATTTGTGTTGATGCAATCTGTGGCATGTTAACATAACCCTTTGCTTGCCCGAAGGATTGCTGCCTTCCTATCAAAAACAGTCACTTCACAAGACAATGATAAACTGCGGAGATATTTTACATGATAAAGTTTCGTAAAAATGCAAGCTTTGTTTCCTAACTCTGGTAACATACCTTGGTTATCATAGTTATTGTCAAGCCAATCAGGATAAGTGGCGTCATATGACATGGGCTCCTCCACAACAAATCGCCGATATCCGTATAATATTGGCTCTGAAATTTCAAGGATTCCACACACGTCAAGGATGAACAAAGCTCCGCGAACCTTTGTTGGTTCTAAACTGACTCAACCGCTTTCTTCAATCTTAAGATTTTCAACTACATTTTTCTTTACCGAGATTGATTTTGCAAAATGAACCTTTTCTATTAAATTTTTTTTTTAAAAAAATCAATGTTTCAGGAATAACTTGCCAATCGAGACGGTTGCTTGGTTGTCCACCCGACAACTGGAAACAAGAAGAAGGCCACTCTCTGTTTGACATTGGATAGAATCCTAGAATATTACAGCACAGAGGGAGGCCATTCGGCCCGTCGTGTCTGTGCTGGCTCTTTGGAAGAGCTGCCCAATCAGTCCCTCTCCCCCGCTCTTTCCCCGTATCCAGGAGAAATGCAAATGTTTGCTTTTCAAGTCCCTATCCAATTCCCTTTTGAAAGTTATTATTGAATCCGTTTCCACCAGCCTTTCAGGCAGAGAGTTCCAGACTTTCTGTGTAAAAAAAAATGTCTCCTCATCTCCCCTTTGGTTCTTTTGACAATTATCTTAAATCTATGTCCCCTGGTTCCACCCCACCGGCCAGTGGAAACAACCATTCAGTTAATGCGTCTCCCTACTCGGGAATTCTCTCCGAAGATCCCTTTACATTGCTCCTTCTCTCCTTGCCTTGTCTTCTTTTTTGACCATGCCTTTCATAACTGCTCACTTTGAGATGTCCACCCTACATAAAAGATGCTATACAAGTGCAGGTCACTGGGGTTTACTCTCTATACATGCTGGGTAGCAACACTCTCCGATACCTCAGTAATAGTTCTTCATATGAGAGCCTGATGACAGAATGTTGACAGTTTATTGCAGCTTTTGACTGTCGATTGGTGGGATATGAGTTTTTCACCAACCTAAAACCTCAGAGTAGCAAGATTCTCACTAACCCTGAAATTCAGACATGAGTCTAGCTTTGTGGACATTACCATTGAGAACATAACCCAAAATACAGTTTACATTTATACACTATTTCATGTCGGAAGGACATCCCAAAGGACTTAATGTGGCTGGCTGGGCACACAAGCTGAGGAAGGAAGGGTGGTTTGGGGGAGGGTGGGGGAAAGGGGAAGAAAGATAACCTAAGGTATGATCAAAGAGGCAAGTCTTAAAGTAGGCTTCAAAAGGAGGCGGTGCAGGAGCAAGTTGGAGGGACTCGGGATGGAGATCCAGAGAGCAGGGGCTATAAAGGCTGAAAGCTCTCCCACTAATGTTGGGGCAGTTTGGGCACAGACATGAAGCAGGCTGGTGTTTGCTGAGTGAATGGAGTGGCCGGGTTGCTAGGGTTGCAGAGGTAGGATGGGGGTGAGGGTAGGGAAATGGGGTGGGGGCACCTGCAGGATATCCAAGCACAGGTCAATATGATAAATATGGAAGAGACTTCTAAACTGACCTGAGTGTTGGGATTGCTGTTGGAAACTTACCCTCTGTGAGTTCTCTCTGCTCACAGGAAATGCCAGTGTGCATACGTGCACACAAATGAAACAAAATTGGCTGGTACTCAATGTCAGTCAAGGCCACAAAATTCTGAAGTTAGTCAAAACTATTTGTTAGCCCACTTATTCATTGCAAAAGGAAGGGGTGGGGGGGGGGCGGGGGTGGGGGTGGGGAGGTGGGTTGTTATCTGTGAAGCTTCCCAAAGAAAGGTAACCCAATCTCCCATTGCCTTCTCCCATTTTGACGATTCACAAAGTCCTCCTGACCAAATGCTTTTCTCATGTTATTACTTATGCTGATTATAGTCTGATCATGTCAATAATTAAATCCATGCAGGAGGCTTGTATTTATTGTTGAAATGAGTCATACTAATTGACATGTTATGATTTTGTAGTAAGTAATGGACATTGTGCACAATCAATGTAAATTCTGCATTGAATTATACTTGAGTATGAGACCATGTGTCAAGTCACATCAATCTTATTTACTCGCAACTGATGGTTTTTCAACCCGGTGGTGGGAAATTTCCATGCTTGAATGAAAGGCTGCATACCTTGCTACGGTTCAGTGGAGTAGATCTCATTAATAATAGCTTACAACTGGAGAAAAGAATGTTAGCAGCATTGATAAAGAAGTAGGAGGCAAAATGCCAAGCAGGAGGGATATGCCAATGAGGTTCTGAGCCCTGTGGTTAGAGGAAGAGGATTTGACTGTGGCTGAGCACAGTCCCACAAGCTGCCAGTTGTAGGACTTGTTAATTTGTCCTCAATTATGGTTCCTATAATAATGGTCTTCAGAACACGAGGACTGTCAGGGTTGACCGACAATGACAGGAATGTTCACTGAGAATGCAATCATGCCGTCACACTGCGGACCTATCGCTTACTGATGGGGGCCTTTAACAGAAAGACTTAGCTTGGGTCTCTGGCCAGAATCCCAACTGGGCTCTAATTCACAGCATTTCTTCAATGGGATCCAAAGGATCACACAATCAGTTTGGCTGAAGAAGGCCCTTTGGCCCATCTGATCTTACCTTCATAAGAGAATCAAAGTGGTCTCAATGGAGACTCCTTCTGCTAAGCAGATTTCCTTGATGCCAGCCCACAGGACTTATAGCCTTGACAAGATCTGTTTCTAGAAAGGAGATGGATTCCTTATCTCCTTATCCCATGAAGAAATACCACAAAATTTGATCCCTGGTTCTGTTCCGATGCCTCTATGCCAGGTTTTCACCAGGCCCTCTAACCTTCCCCTTTCCTGAATCTAAACAATCTCATCTCAACATGGACCTATCCTTCATACCTCTTCAACCTCGCCTCACTATTGGAAATTTTCCCCTATTAAATGACACAGAATTGCACTTGACGCAGGATCTACAGCCCACTGTTAAAAAAAAAAACTCCTGCCCTGCATTCTGCACGGTTTCAGTTTTATTTTGATGCCAATAAAATCCAGATCTACGCACCATAACGAAAGAGCTTTCACTCCAGCATTTTATCAATAAATTGCCAGTTCTGCATAAGAGAGAAATGGAAACTTATTAAAAGAAACACTTACCATCGTCACTGCCAAATACTTTCTGTGGAGGGAGGGGATAAAAAAATAAAACACAACAATTTAGAACATTGAAACGGGCTGAGTAAATGTTGTGTATGACTTTACAAAAGGAGCGTTCTCATTGTGCTAGGCAGTTTTAACCCTAACCCCTCCATCTGACCACCTCTTTATTTATCCTTAAATGCCACCTTAATATCTACCTCTTCAACTGTGCTGAATGTTCACCTCCCCCTCTTCGCTTGCTCAGCATCCAACCCTGTCACTGTACAGCGCTCTGAAACTTATTTTAAGAACCACGCAGAAAAACCCCAAACTCACAGTTGGCAAATTTGCCAAAATCTGGAGGCGCTGGAATCCACACCCGGATGGAATTTCTACCCTTCTGTGGGTTAAGCTGAAGACAAACCCAATCCTCACCGCACATTTTATTCTATTGAGTATTCTCAGCTGTTTCTTGTAAAGTTTCACCCCCCGCCAGCCTCCAGTGTAACAAGACATTTATTCCTTAAATCAAAATAAAGTAATGGGGAGCGGGCTTCAAGCAGCAACTATAAATCCAGGGTGACATCATTTAAATATAATTCAAGACAGGGGGAAAAGAAACAACAAAAAAGGGAGAGACTATATCTGCTCTGCAGGCTTTGGAATGAAGTGATTCTTTTAACAGCGTTTACTGAGACACAAGAGACGTTACGAAAAGAGCCGGGGAATTAAATGGACAGGAAAGCATGAAGCTAGACGGACAAGTGACTTCACCAGTCGCTTTACTTCTCCCTGTCCTTGACGGGAGGAACAAGACCATTTGACCCTCGTGGAGACAATTACGCTCCGGTGAACTGATGAGCACAAAAAAGACAAGAGACCGTCATTCTAACAGCACTGCTCAGAATAGCTCCCGTGCAGGAGAGGAACTTGATTAAGAATACTCTTAATTTACTTCTTATAAAGTTTTAAAGTTGATACTTTTGTTTTGGAAGTGAAAACACACGCACGTCTCACTTTACAGTCAAAAACGTCGGTAAAATAGTTACTTACAGAGAATGGTACAGCAGCTAGCCAGATAAAAAAGCACCTGGTAGATGACCAAACTCTTTCTTTTGGCATAGTACAAAGGGTTTAAACAACTAACTCTGACTCTGGACGCAAGGCTTCCACCTATTTATATCAGAACACATCCACCAGCACAAGCCAAGGGTCGTACGAACATGCTGGAAGTTATTAACCACTCTTCAAACATAAGCGATTTAAGGAGGCAAGAATTTTGACCAACTGAAATGACTGCAACGTACATACTTACAATGATTATAGCTTTATAATGATAATAATAATCCTTGCATTTGATGCAGCACCTTATCACGTCTTCGAGACGTCTCAAACCTCTTCACAGGATATACTGTAAAGTGAAATGACTGTACATTTTGTGGGCGAAACGCGGCAGCTAATTGTGCACAGCAGCGTCCCACACATAGTCTTGGGCAGAGTGACCAAATTATTATGATTTTTATTATTATTATTATTCTTTAATATTCTTTCCTTGCACCTCCTAATTTTGAAGCTGGAATGTGCCGATATCTCACTTAAGTGTCAATGGTTTGATGTGAAATTCTGAGGCTGTTTAACCAATCCATTTGTAGAGGGCTGGTGTGGCGAGAGAGAGAGAGAGAGAACACATTCAAGTTGTTTTAGCCTCACCTGGCATCCATATGTGCACTTCTCGTTGAATGTGTTTAATTTAGCACTAAGTGTTTACCACCGGTGGACTAAACACTTCACTTCAGCCCATTAATAGGGTCGGATGCAATTATCATAAGTAAGTGTCATTTTCCAACAGTGCTAAAGCCTGAGGCCACCCACGCTATAAATCACACATGGACATGCCTTGAGCACTGCTGAGAGATTTAGCCCAATGTTCCCCACGCTGGTTTTGTGGAAGGTTGAACTGAATTCATACACGAGCGAGACAATAGGATTGTATTAACGAACACAAATGAGCGTTGCAGTGAACACCTTGGCCAGAACATTGTTGGTTACATTGGATTTCTATAGCGTTCTCAATAAAAATAATAATAATAATCCTTGCATTTGATACAGCGCCTTATCACGTCTTCAAAACATCTCAAAGCACTTCACAGAATATACCGTAAAGTGAATTGACTGCGTATTTTGTGGGCGAAACGCAGCGGCCAATTGCGCACAGCAGCGTCCAACAAACAGTCGTGGATTGAGTGACCAATTTTTTTTGGAGGAATTATTACCCCCAGAAAGCGATCCGCCAATTAACTAACAACCAGGTTCCTACTTACTTCTAGGTAAACAGAGGCGTGTGGAGTAAGGAAACTTGTCTAAGTTTGTCACCCTGCACGGCTCCTTTCAAGCTATAAATGGAATGAGGGAGAAAACAAAGATACAGAGATGATACTAATAAAAATACAGGCTGAATAGAAGGCAGTTTCACTAAGAAATTTCTTAGTGCTGCTCAGGAAATGGCCCCAACATAATAAAAGAAAGCCCGCAAAAAATAGAGGCCATTTAACCTCTCTGACTCCTTGTTAAATGCTTTTAAGGAGGAACTTGCACAAACTTTCACATCTGAGAAGCTCATTGAGAGAAGAAAAATGTCTGGTCAGACGTGTAGTGAAAGAGAACTGGTAGAATTATTCTACAAGCAGGGAATTGGGGTTACGAAGGATACAATGGAATTTACATTTATACAGCACCTTTTATGTCGCGAGAACTTCTCAAAGTGTTGGACAACACTGGATGGGTACCCAAGCTGGGGGTGGGAGCCGAGAGGGATGGGGAGGGGGAAGGATAACCGAAAGTGGGGTGAAAGACCTCTGTATTGAGGTGGGCCTTGAACGAGGTGAGGGGTGGGGGAAGCGAGTTGGATGGATTCTGAGTTAGAGTTCCAGATGGCATGATTGGAGGAGCAAAACATCATCAGTAAAGCAATGGGCCGAATGGCCTCCCTCAATGTCATATGGTTCTATAACCACGGCAGTAAAGGTTAGTGGCAGAAATGTAATATTACTACTTTTTTGATGCTCTAAAATGTTACATAAATTGAGCTCCTGGTGGAATTTTTCCCTACTGATGCTTTGCTACTGTTTCTTCAGCGTTGCCTTGGGATCAGCCTGGCAATACAGGTAACACCACCTTATGGGAGGCTCCGCAACTGTTGTATGGGAGGCATCTGCATGGAGTATGCCGGTGAAGACCAGTGCCAACCTACAGTACAAACCATTGTGGCCCACGTGCCTTGAGTATACTTTGAGACGTCTTGAACATGTGATAAAATCCTGCATCAGGCATAAAAAAAATATTATTATTAATAATTGCAAAGAAATAACGAGTTGCGTCAATGGATCTGTAAATGAGCATTATTATTGAAGGTGAAAGTTTTTGTTTAGCTTTCGTCTGGTTCTGGCAGACTTTCCTCTTCGACCGTGCTTACAGCCACATTCCCCCTCCCCCAGCTCGGAGTCAGGCTCCGCTACTGTTGAGCGCTCTGGGACGCTACCCTGTGTGGAGGGCACTATATAAGTGTAAGTTGTTGTCGTTGTTGTAGGTTGGATTATTCTCACGACTGATATTGAGTTTTATGAGCCTTCATGTCATGTTAGTGATACCATGACAAGTCTATTGAATGGGCTTTTACAGCTCTTTTCAGGGCCCACTCAGCTGTGAAGTAAGGTATTGTGATACGTGGGGTTACTGATGGATTTTTCCTACTAAAGAGCTCACCCGCACACAGCAGGAAGATCCCAGCTTCTACATGGCTGTCCATTTGTGCACAGCAATGATTGGTAAACAATCATTAACCAAGGTTTTCTGTCAAGCAACCAACCAGGTAGCTACAGTTCACAGGATATACTATGAAGCAACAGTGACTGTATTTTGTAGACAAATGCAGCAACCAATCTGTACACAGCAACGCCTCACAAACAGCCATGTTTGTATCGGGGGGTGGGTGGGGGGATGGTTGTTGGTCAGGACAATGGGAGAAACCCCCGTCTCTAAAATTGATTTGCCTTCATCTGACTTGATTCCCCCTCCTTTGTAGTCTATCTCAATTGCAGAATTCACCAGGAGTAACCAAAGACCGTTCGGTTCTCTCCCACCTTGCCTTACGTTTCAGACACATGCTCTCTCTGGGCTATTTCATGGGCCCTTCAGGACGTCCACACAAAACAAAAATGAGCCACGAGTTAACAAGCCTATAATCTTTCCTCTCAAGAGGCATTTCATACGTGTTCTGTAACTCAGTCACGGGCTGGAAGAAATGCAATGGTGGAGACCTTGCCATATATTATCGTTGGTTCCATTAACACTGAAAGATTTCCAGCTGACGCTTGTGTAAATGATTACATATGTGGCTCTGAGAGAAAATGCACCTCTTCATTTTGTCACATGCTAAGATGAATCAATATTTGATGCTACTTCAATGCGTTGCTTGGGTTCAATTGCAGTTAATAATTCTAGGGTTTTTTTTCCATTGCAAGTAAACAAGCAACACATCAATAAAGATCAAAGTGTAAGTAGACACAAAGGAACCCATTAACTACTCTTCAAATACAGACATAACATGGAAGGCACTGATTTCTACAGGTCTTGTCAGCTGGAGCAGTAGGGACATGGTTGCATCCTTTGACAGTAATCCTGTAAGAACATGTCTCGGAGCTACATCAGCTAAAATTCTCTTGTGAAAGAAAGACTTGGAAACACTTTCTTTTCAAACAATCTTAAGAAGCCCATTTGGATTCCGCTCACAGGAGAGGTTTGGTTGAAGAAGTCCCTTCAGCCCATTTGATCTCATCCTCCCACAATACCATCCCTAATGTCATCCCATTTTTACACTCCTGTCAGACACCTAAACCCGCAGTTAACTGGATCAATTCATTCCTGATCTAAGCAAAATTCCAAATCGGGAATAGAATTCCAGTGAATTCCATTCATTTCCTAATTTCTCTAACTGTTCAGAAGTCCTGATCAGAGTATCAGTCTTAAATTCAAATACAAAGCGTGTTTACGACCAGATTAATAGTAATAATCCTTGCATTTGATATCGCGCCTTATCACATCGTTGAGACCTCTCAAAGCGCTTCACAGAATACACTGTAAAGTGAATTGACTATATATTTTATGGATGAAACTCGGCCGCCAATTGCACACAGCAGCGTCCCACAAACAGTCACGGACTGAGTGACCAAACCACAATTTTTAAAAAATTTCTGCGGACACAATAATAATCCTTGCGTTTGATATAGCGCCTTATCATGTCTTCGAGACGTCTCAAAACACTTCATAACATATATTTTATGGCAAGCGAAGTCCACACATAGCATCTGAAGTGTCTGCAGGTTTTTTTTTAAGCTCGAAAGAAGAAGCTGCAAGTTTTCAACCTGCATTGAAAAGTGAAGCAGAGCCCCTGGTGGATCTCAGGGGACATTATAAAGGTGTTCAGGGTGTTTAAATGGGATTTACTTACAAGGCAGCAAGGCAAGTTGTCAAGTTTTGGCAATTCATAATAATAATAATCCTTATGTTTGATATTGCTTCCCTCAATTCATGTCTGAAAGCGATTGATAGGATTTGCTCTAAAGTCTGCTGACTGTGTATTTTGTAGGCAAAGCTTTCCGTGACAGATACCAGGAATTAACCACAGAGCATAACAGCTGGAATGCGTTAGGAGTGGAGTGGGTGGTGGGTGGGTTACGGCTTTCCAATCCCTTTTCATGACTTTTTATGGCGAACGAAAAGTCAAAGTTACAATTCCGCTAAAGTCAGTCGAAAGTCGTGGCCTGTGAGCACAAAGTTGAACACGTCAAGAACATTAGCAACACTCACTGCTGTCTGTGTTGAGGCAGTAAATTGCTGACCTGTTGAACTAGAGCGGAGGAAGATGGAAAGTGACTTTCATTGCCCGCAATTACATCAGCTGATGACACATTTATGTCCGCAATATGATTAGCTCTCCTTGGGCCGAGATGGTTTGGACCCCCTCACTCCCCAATCTACCACCCAGTGCCTCTGCTCGACTGGCACCTGCCTCCTGCTTATTCCTCGCACTCTCTGCTCCACCATTGGAGGTTGCGCAAGGACCTGCTACATCCCGAACTCTGGAACACTCTCCCTCAATCCCTGTGCCTTGCCCCCTCCCTCCACTTTTTCAAGTCCCGCCTGACAACCTTCCTTCTCGACCGTGCTTTCGGTCACCTCCCCAACCTCCCACTCCCCACCCGACTTGGGAGTCAGGTTCCACCACTGTTAAGTGCTCTGGGACGCTACCTTGCATGTAGGGGGCGCTATATAAGTGCAACTTGTTGTTGTTGAAGTACTGCACACTCCCGTCGAATCTCACAGTAACTTGGTCGCTGAGGTTCTCAGCTGCGTTTCGAAGACTTTCTTTCATAAAATGTGCACCATAAAACAAGTGCTCTTCGCTAACATGAGCAAAAGGCTCCCAACACGTTTCACTCAAGTTAAAAAAAATGCAGAAGTTCCTGAACATGCGTCTAATTTTCCAACCCCCAATTTTCAATTTTCTGATCACCAAAGTTCTTGTCTATTTAGATACAGGTAACAAATTTCTAGGATAAGTAACAGGTCAAGTCATTTCTCGGCTAAAGGTGAGAAGCATACAGTGAGTAAGGTCACTTGCGTTGCTTCTGAGTGTATTTTACCCTTTTCAGAATTTGCTTTGGGTTTCGTCAATGAACGTTATCGAGACAAAATTTGATTTTTCTAAATGTTCTTTGTGTGGGTCCATTATTATAATTTATTTCAGTCCATCACAAGTATTATAGACCATTTGATCATGGAATTTGAAGGTTTCGGAGCAATAAAATACTCTCCGGAGGAATTAATAATTTCTGGAAGATTATAATGAATGAGTTTTTATCCCACACATATTGTCTATAATTGATGTGCGACTGTTTTTATCAGATGAACATTTCTTTACGTTTTACAACATTTGAGCTACATTACAAAAGTGAGTGAAAAGGTCATGAAAAATAATAAGCAAATGGCTCATTAAATGACCATCTTGAGGTTAAAGCTGTGTTTCCAATAGATTTGTTTCCTGTTGCAACATCTGTACGTTGATCCAGTCAAATTTAGACAGTGAGATTCAGACGGTGCCACTTTTTTTCAGAGCCCTTTTTGGCTCAAAACAAGCACATTCTGGAGGGATTTGATGAGGCCTTGATCAATGAGGAATTAACAACTCATTAGCTTTTATTATCAGATCTGCAAAAATCACTCTAAAACGTCTCAAAACACTTAATATATCCACGTCTGCTCTGCTGCAGTGAAACAATAACTTGAACGGACCTCTGAACCTACGTAGGGCTTCTTTTACAAATAAAACATATGGTTCTCTCTCAGCACTTACATTTTGGCCCAACATATTCTCACAACTTACTATCGCCAGAATACAACAGCAGCAACAGCCTGCATTCACACAGCGTCCCTCCCACAGGGTCGTGTCGCAGAACGCTTGAGAGTGGCGGAGCACGGCGCTGAGTCGGAGGAGGGGGAAGAGGTGACCGTAGGCAGGATCGAAGAGGAAGGTCTTCAGGCAGGACCTGACGATGGGAAAGGAAGGGCAAGGTGGAGGGAGAGTGTTCCAAAGTTTCGGGGCAAAGTGGCTGAAAGTGTTGGTTGAAACACTTGTGTTTGCCGGTGAGCCCTGTGCGTATCCGCTGACAATCTAAAACCTTAACAAACAACAGCCGGTACTTGATCCCTGTATTTACTTGCTGCTTGCGAGCAGGACTGCAATGTCAAAGTAAATTTGTTCCAGAATTCACCGTTAGCGATTGCTTGCCCAATTGCGACCGGAATACCTATCAACTGCAAAGCACATGTTCATTACAAGGCATTTCTAGCAATAACAAATATAAAAACTCTGTGCCGGAATTGGATTTTATTGCGTTGACAAAAGCAACAAAAGCTGTCAAGTTTATTCATAAGGAGAGGGAGTGAGAGAAGGGACATTGAAATCCTGAAAAGCAGTCCACTAGATCCGATTTGCCAGATGAATCTGAAATCTTCCTTGGTCAAAAATTGTGGCTGTAGATGGCATGACAGAAAGTGCCCCAGTGGGGCTCAGGAAAGCTACAAGTGTCTCCTGGCACAGACCTTTGTTCTTATTAGCAATTGCCACTAACATCGGCATCACTTGGAATGGGTATTTTGCCCCTGTTTTCACTCTTCCACACGCAAACAAAGACAATAGCTTCAGTGAATGTTATCCTAAACACAGTTTCTGCTGCCTCTTCGGCTCAGTTTACACTCGCACACATTTCATGGGCAGAGATATTGACTTGAAACTCACTTTTAGCGCAGCAGAAACTACTTTTAAGATAACATTCACTGAAGCTATTGTCTTTGCTTGCATGTGGAACCCTAAAAATCATAGGAGGAAAAGTGCACTGAACCAAGCAGCAACATTAGCTCGTCTATGAAAGTAAATTGCAGGTCCCATGGAATACAATCTCCTGTTGGCCATTGGTTTTGCATTGGCTGTGAACGGATGTATTTATTTCCTCAGGGAGAGAGAGAGAGAGCAGAGAAGGAAACTTAGGTGGGAAATTGAAATGATCAACCAAAGCAATTCAAGGCTGCATTGAAATTCAAGAGGGTGAAGCTACTGCATATGTGCTCTTATCCAGTCGAGGTATTTGGGGATAATGATATAAACGCCAGGTTTATTTACTTTCCCACAGCTCCTGCCCCAGCTGATGATTCCATAGAGATATCGTTGACCATTTCGCTCACAGGTAAGTGGACCTCCTGAGTCACCCTGTCAATGGTAAAGTTTAGTATAAGTTCAAGCTATTCGTGGTTTATTACTGTACAAGAATAACAACAACAACAAACAACAAATTACGTTTACACAGCGCCTTTCACGCCAGGGAGGACATCCCAAAGTGCTGGACAGTCAGGGACTTGTACCTGAGCAGGGGTTTGGGATCAGGAGGGGTGGAGGGCAGGGCAGGTAGGGGTACATAACCAAGTCACAGTAGCTCTTCCTGCCCTTTGCAAATAGACTAAATTACACACCTTCTGCTTTCTCCCTTTCTTGATCCAACTCCCTTGCTCGCCCTGCCAGGGAATCAAACCCAGGTCCTCTCGCTTGCAAGGCGAGTGCTCTAACCACTGAGCTACAGGACTCTACAGCTACATTGTCCGGTCTGACGAACCTGGCAAGCATCTGCTGAGGTTCCACTCAGATCTCCAGCGCACATCATTTTATCGTCCAGGTGATCACCATAAACCTGCGGTTCCATACATGTAGTTCTGTTTATCAGCTTTACGGTGCCTTCCAACAGTCGCCTGTAGGAATAAATTCCTGAAATGAAAGCAGCGTGTAGGCGTGATGGAGTGTCACATTATCCAGTAATGCCATCTCTCACTGACCTCACTTTTGCTTTGTTGCTCCCCGTGCTGTCTGGTGCATGAAACACATAGAATCCCAGAAGTTCCAGTGAGTGATCTCAGCTGGATCAATGGTAGGCGGTGCTACAATTGGGCTCAGTGCCATTGACAAGGGAAAGGTTTAAAATGTATATACAGGGTGACCAAAAAATCACAATATCATGACAATGTTTAATAAGTCTTATGAGTGTTTGGTGATTAACTGTGCTTTCACTGATAGAGTCCTTAGCAAACAATGTCCACAGCAATTTTCTGAATGCTCTCAAGTTTGTAAGTCATGAGTGTGAATGCCATGAATAACCCTCTCGGATAAGGTGCCAAATCAAAACTGCCTGATTTCGTTTTCGATCTTAAAGACGACATAAAACTTTGGCTCCACTTCAAGCTTCATCCTGTCTATTGAAGAGAAACATGAACCAAGAACAACATGATCTTGGCTCAGTTCTACCAAACTATATGCGAGTTTGGAACCTTTCTTGACCTGAATTATCGTTAATTGAGAACGTTTTAAGAACTGTTTTTGGAAGGAAACATGATGAAGTGGGGAAGCTTAGTGCTGCAGGAGTGTTTGTCCCCACTTAAATGAAACACAAAATTGACAGTTCTTGTTAATGGACTTAAAGAAACAGTATAAGTACCAAGTTCGGTTTTGCCCCATCCGGAAATTTGACACGCCATACCAGGGGGGAAAGCTTCCTCTGCCAATGGCAGTGTTTTTACAAATTTAGTTTCCGTAGCACACGTGCCATTTAATTTAATTAACGCTGAAACAGAAGACAGAAAAAAGTTGGGTTCAGATTGTTACCGGAAATGAACAGTAAACTAAACTAGAAATACAGGAACACCCCCGTTAGTTGGGTCCAATGTATCAGCCATTGCGTTGTAAGCCGGGTGTAAAAACATGGCTGACTTCTGGCTCATTATCAGATAGATACAGAAAAAAACTGTGACTTCTGGTGGGTGGGGGAATCCAGACCAAGTCGGCATCATCTCAAAATTAGAGGCAGGCCGTTTAGCAGTGAAATCAAGAGGCAGTTTTTCACCCAAAGGGCAGTGGAAACCTGGGACTCTCTCCCCAAAAGGCTGTGGATTATGGTTCGGTCCATTCACATCTTCACAACCGAAGTGGATAGATGTTTGTTAGGTCAAACAAACCTAGGTTTGTTAGGTTTTGCCGCGAGGCGGGGACATGTCCCTTTGATCCACGAGCGCTATAATCAAAGGACAATTTATGGGGATCCTCTGATTAATATGTTTACTTACCGATGTCATTGTACAATGAGTCATTAACTTTCCGAAAGGCTTGATGAATAATAATTTGCCCAACATCAAGGACCTGTTCAGTGCTGGGCTCTTTCCTGTACAGATTATTTTTGCCGAGTTGTATTTTCAAACTAGATGTTTGAGCACTATAGAATATTTAGGGAGAAAATGAAGAAAAAAAGTGAATTCAAAATCCAATACAATTAAAACAAAACCCTTGCATTTGATATAGTGCTTGTGACACCAAAACCAATCTCAGAGCGTTTCGCAGAATTATCTGTGAAGTGTAGTGACCGTCGCTTTGCTCACAATCTATGAAGCAAACAATCAATTTATCTGGAGGATCATTGACTAGGACAGGAGAAACTCTCTTTTCTTTACAAATTGTGTTACAGGATCTTATAGATTTACCTGAATGATATAATGATCCTTGCATTTGATACAGCGCCTTATCACGCCTTCGAGACGTCTCAATGCACTTCACAGAATATACTGTAAAGTGAATTGACTGTGTATTTTGTGAGTGAAACACTCAAGCCAATTGCGCACAGCAGCGTCCCACAAACAGACGTGGATTGAGTGACCAAATTATTATTATTATTTTTTGAAGGGATTATTACCCCTGGAAAGAGATCCGCCAATTGACTGACAACCGTGTTCCTACTCACTGCTGGTAAACAGAGGTGTGTGGAGTAAGGCAACTTGTCTAAGGTTTTGTTTGCCCAGGAATCAAACCCACATCCTCTCGCTCGCGAGGCGAGGGCTCTAACCACTGCACTACGGGATCAGGTAGATGGAACCTACAATGTGTATTAGTTAGGGGGAGTGGTTTTGGATGTCAACCGCTGAGCCCTTGAATAGAATGAGTTGCACAATCAAACTACTCAACTTACAAACGCATGGGAATCTGCGGTTTGCTGCCAGCAACCTTGTGATGGCGCCGATTGAGATTTAAAACACAGAGAGATCATTCATTTAAAGTCACAGGGTATTTTAAGCAACAGATAAAGGGCCTTTTCACCAACAAGTCGCACGACTGTAGTCTTGTAAATTAGATTGCCTGGTGGTAAACTCGAGAGATCTCAAACCCACACTAAATCTCCATTTCAACGAAAGACTCAAATGTGAACAACAATGGCATTTCCTATGATCATTTCAGTATAGTAGATTGAAAATATTGAAACCTACCTATCATTGACACAGTGTGCTGCTGTAATAACCCAACATGGTTTGATCAGAGTTGCTCCACATGCATGGATCTTTCTGGATCCAGCGATTTCCATTTGGATCGACGCTTGCCAAGGATGGCTGCCAGGAATGGCATGTTTCCCTTGAAGTAATGGAAGAGCCATCCTGGGCTTTTCCTCTTGATACGAATAATTGGTCCAAAGTACAACAGCATCGGGTGGATTTTTACCTCTTCCTGTTGCCTTATCAGGAATCGCCGTTGCAGACACTTTAAGAGATTTTTTTTTTAAATGACACCAAACACGACATTTGTGTAAAAGAAACATTGGGGTGAAAATGGATTGATTGATGAGACCACGTCCAGAAACAGAGTCCACTAAATTTGCTCACACAATCACAAGATTAGTTTGGATCGAGAAGGCCCTGATCTCATCCTTCTAGACTACACACCCAAACATCCTCCTCCTAACACAACATTTCATTAAAAAAATGAGTCCATTGGAAATGACTCGATTGGAAAAAAACAGCGAGTGGGATAGTGACTTAGCTCAACAAAAAAAAAAGTAATCGGACTGAAATTCTATACTCAAACACGGATGTCATGCTGTTACCTACATTGCACTTCCACTCTGACTTTATTCTGCCTCGCAACACCTGAGATAGAATCACACTGTGTTCTATTTTTTTTCTTCTGCTCAGTTAACAATGCGCTTGGAAAGAAAGCTTGGCATAAGTGATAGGCTCACATTTCAGCAGATGATGTTCCCTTCACACCCGAGCCTGCCTTGTGTCACTCAAGCTTGCTCAGAATGATTGACAGCGCCAAACCTGCAACAAATATCTTTAAGCCATTCTTTTATTGGTGTTATATATATATATGTGTATATATATACATATATAATATATGTATAATAAACCGGTGTAAGAACAAGACCAAATTCAGGTTATTCCTAATCCCAGCAGATAGAGGATAAAATGTTATTGAACATTTTTATATATATGTGTGTGTGCGAGTTAACAATATAAGGATTATATATGCCATGTTTTTTTGTTTTATCTCGCAGAAGAAACGATAATAAAAAACAACTACTGTTAGTGCATGTTGGAGGCTGATAAGGGTGTCTGCATTTACATTTATAATAAGGAGGACCCACTGTGACTAGACAGTCTCCATGGTTGCATGGGTTATTCTTACAAGGGTCATTCACTGTAATAGAATAAATCAAACAAGAGGGTAATTGTTTTTTGCTTGAACTGAACCAAATTAACCCTTTCTTTAAACGCAAATACACACACACACACACACAAAATTAATGTAACCAAAATCGTTTTAAGGCGTTTATTATATTTTATCATTTATTCACGACTTTCAATGTAAAACTAAAGTCAAGCAAAACTGGGGTAGGTGGGGGGAAGGGATAATCTGAAATTGGGCAATAATAAGGAGAGATAAATGGTAAATAAATGAGGAAAAAAATAAGAGGTATGCAGCACTGTGAGACTATTTTCACTTGAATAGAATCTGCACTATTATATTATATTAAATTCAATATTTATGTTTCTACAGGTCCCGTGATGTTTGCAACTGAGAACCTGCATGTAATTAGGGCCTGGCTTTTATTCAAAGAATCAAGAGATGTTTTTTGGTGGGGAAGTGGGGAGGGGTGGAAGAGCTAAATTTCAATTCACACAGCCAATAATAAAACATATTATTGTTAAGACATTCAATGTCAGAATTGGATAAAGACAACTGATGGAGCTAATTATCGCACTATTGTATTATTTTGCCTGTAAAAATAATAATAAGGACGCAGTTAGAAACTCCCTTCTCTTTTTGAATAGCGTCACGCAGCCTTTAATGTCCACCTGAACGATTTGACGTCTCATCCGATGGACAACACCTCTGACAATGCAACACCCCCCACCCCCCCCACTGCAATGGAGTGTCAGGTTAGGCCACGCGGGGCTTGAACCCACAATTTTCTGACTCGGGGCGAGAGCACTACACTGAACAGGGCTAACACATCGTTCTTATGAAACGGGGTACGGAGAAGAAAAACATTATCCAAAGAGACAAAACAAGTGCCACAAAAGTGGCACAGATTTTATGAAACCAGGAGCGTTGGGCAAGTACTAGAATCAATTTGTACTTAGTTTTTACTATTGCGCCCAACCCACAATTTATTTCAATCCAAGTAATTGATGCAAATTCCTCGACACGAATGAACAAAGTTCCTGTTCGTACATGTAGCAAAACAGAATAGGATTAAGCTTACTTACCAACCGATGCATATGCAAAGACTTGCTGTATGAATAGAAATAAAAGGGGGAATGATTATCTCCAAAGACAAACGTAAAAAAAAAAAAAAAAAATACTTTCCTACATCGCAAAACTCTTACAGACCTCGACAGAAATTTGTGGGACATTGTTTATTAGTTCAAAGTCCCGACAGAGGTCTTGAACCCACAACCTTCTGACTCGAAGGCGAGTGTGCTACCAACTCAGCCAGGCTGACGCACAAATAGATTTAGAGGCGTCTGGGCGAAAGATGCTTTTTGGAATTGTTTTTTAAAATGATACACAGCGTAATATTCTTATTGTTCCACTGCTTTAATAATAATCCTTGCCTTTGATATAGCGCTTTTCACGTCGGGAGGACGTCCCAAAGCGCTTCACAGAAGACTCTGTAAAGTGAATTGACTGTATATTTATTTTTATTTATATGTCTTTTTTAAGTAAGACAGACTGGAACTGCTGTTGTGCTTATGGTGAAAGCCCCTTTGACGTGTTGAGATTGCACTCAAACTAACAAGACATCGCTAAGAATATCCATAGAATTCTGAGCTCCGAACATTAACAGCCTGGTCATTATAAAGTATAACTTGAGTTAGCATCGGCACAGTTTTAAAATAAGTCAGCTTTTAAATGCACAGCTACCTTGTTAAGTATATATTTGTGTCACATTGCTGGCTTCCCCACAACAAAATAATAAATATACAATAATAAAACAACAGTTATAATAACTCGAATGAACATCATACTGTTACAACGACAAAGTGGACTCTGCAAATTAATTCCCAAGGAGGTTCGAGTTATTAAAACGGTGTTTTTACTTTGATACTTGCTGCAATATTTTCACCCGACATTTTTTTTCCCCAAAGCAAAAGCCAAAGACAGTCAAACCACACTGGCAAATTGATTCAATGAAGATACTGTACTTACAGACAATAAAACTATTCCAAGCCACACAAAGCACATGCTGACAGACAATCGGGCTGAAAGTGCTGCCATTGTGATGATATCCTACACTGTTGTGCGAATGCATGTGAACAAATTTATTTGGGGCCACTAAAGTCAATAAATGTCACTTTTAATCTAAATACTGAAGTTCAAGTGGGCCCAAAGTCTGGTACTGACTAATCCTCAAATACAACTGCTGGAAACTACACTGAAGTAGCTCAGCGATTAGAGTACCCGCCCTCGCTAGCGAGAGGACCTGGGTTCGATTCCTGGCAGAGTGAAATTTTGGCCAATTTCCTTACTACTCACACCTCTATTTACCTGACAGTAAATATGAACCCCTTTATTAGTCAATTGGCGGATCCCTTTTTGTGGGGCGCAATAAACCCTTCAAAAATAGATACATAAATAAAATTTGGCTGCTGCGTTTCACCCCCAAAATTTACAGCTTATTATTATTATAAAATAATAAATACCCCGTGCGTTTGATATAGCGCCTCATCACGTCTTCGAGACGTCTCAAAGCGCTTCCCAGGATATGCTGTAAAGTGAATTGACTGTATATGTTGTGGGCGAATGTGCTGAGACCCCAGAACACACACAGATTTATGGTTAGGAATTTACAGTGCAGCAGGAGGAGGCCATTTGGCCCGTTGTGTCAGCATCAGGTCAGATGCAATGCTCGCTCACATGGTTGAAGCCAGGTGGCTGAACTCATTTAAAAACAGCCTGGTGTTTAACGGCTGGTGGTAGGGTGGGTATTGTGGCTATTTTGGAAAGATGAGATCTCCCTCATCCAAACCTGCATCTCTCAAATGCAATGGCACCACACACCCTCTTGTGGCATAACACAGCGCCTTTTGCTTAGTGGCTGCTCAGTGACCTTTGGGGCTTTTACCTTGAGCACCTGTGCGAGTCGATAAAGTAATCGTGAAATGCACATCACGTCCACCCCTCATGTTTCAGTGTTAATGATTCTCATGTATCTACAGGCTGAGCATTGGGCAGTGCCAAGCGAGCACTGGCTATCTCTGTTGCATAATTAAACTCACCTTGAGGGGAAAAAATAATTTTCAGAACCAAACCGAACTCTTGTAGAAGCGTGGTGTGGAGCGGGTTGTGGATCTTGCCATCTATTTTTTGCATGAAAGGATCTTAAAATCGATCCGTTCAGTAATTAGGAGTCAGTGGAGCCTGGCAGGGACTGACTGGAGTGATGGAGTAATAATACCACTTATAATAATAATAATCCTTACGTTTGGTACAGAGCCTTTCACATTGGGAGGATGTCCCAAGGCGCTTTACACGATGCACTGTGAAGTGTGTGTTTTGGGGACAAACACTGCAATCAATCTGTGCACAAAGATGTCCCACAACCAGCCAAACGGAGTGAGTGACCAAGTTATTTAGGGGATTATTGGCCAGGACACCAGGAGAGAGAGAGAAACTCGCTTCTCCTTTCGAATAGTGTTGCGGGATCTTTAACATCCACCTGAACAGGCAGATGGGGCCTCAGTTAAAAGTCTCATCTGAAGGACGAATTAGCATAAGGGAAGAAACGTACTGTTTTTTTTAAAAAAAAATTGGCAATGGAGACTGTGCACCACTTATGGGCTCCTTTGATGTTGCAGGATCTGTGTCACGGACGGGGTGGGGGTTGAGAGTTGATGCGACGACTCCTCGTTTCAAATGAAATAACTGTGGCATTGCCTCAGGCTGCCCTCTATCACGTCCCAGATGGTGACTCCAAATATTATGTGCTGGGATAACCGGGCGGATGTGAGGAATAAAATACAGCGCCCCACAAAATATGCAGTGAATTCACCTGACAGGATATTCTGTGAAGAGCTTTGAGGCATCTCGAAGATGTGGTAAGGCGCCGTATCAAATGCAAGGATTATTATTATTACTTTGTTAACATGCTGCAAAGTTCCCTTCTCATTCCATGACACGACTGTGCAGCCCTGATAGATACAAGCCCTGGCTCTGGCCTTTATCCCTGTCCATAGCTCTCTGATCTGGATCTACATGGCTCTGCACTGGTAGGGAGATCTCCATGCTTGTTACTGCTCTTTCTCTACGTCCACAATCGGTCCAACTGGTGCAAAATAATGCCCCAAAGCCCCTTTGACGTCTTGAATAAAAAGCACACAGAACTGCCAGTTTGTTGAACACTCATCGATTGAGTTCAGCACTTTTTTTCTCAGTGGGTTGGTGCAGCAGTGCCCCAGGTGAAATGTTAATCGAGGTCACGTTTCACCCACAAAATACGCAGTCAATTCACTTTATTCACAGTATATTCTGATAAGCCGCTATATCAAATGCAGAGGATTCTTAATCTTAATGGACCCCAATTACCACTTTGTAATGGGATTCGAAAATACTTCCTGCTATCGGTATCATAAATACCCTTCACATCACCGAATCTGTACCCCGTTGCACTACCTTTTTGGTGTATCTGAGAGTGTTGCTTTTTGGCTTGCTTACTCAAGTCCATTTAGCATCTTACCCACACCTATAAATACATCCCTCTGAGATGTCCCTTTTCCACGCTGATGAGGGACCCCCCCCCCCCCCCCCCCCGAGTTAATCCATTTGTTCCTTAGCCCTTATCCCAATTTACCTAATTGTTCCGCTTATCCCAACTGACTCGGAGGGATAAGCTATAAGGAACAAATATCACTGGGGATCAGTCCCATTGTTCTCACCTCCACCTTGTCTCTGGGGACTCAGCATTTACAAGGATTGCCTGTGGCCAACAACAACTTGCATTTACACAGCGCCCACCCCCTACCCCCACACAGGGTAGCGTGAGGGGCACAGGAAGGGGGAGGTGACCGTAGGCACTGGTCGAAGAGGAAGGTCCTCAGGCGCGACCTGAAGATGGGGAAGGAAAGGGCAAGGCAGAGGGATAGAGGAAGAGTGTTCCAGGGTTTCGGGGTGTAGTGTTCAGCGATACAGGAACAAAACAGAACCGAGTTTTTATTTCCATATTTCCATACAACAACCAGCAGCAACTCCGACTACCTGGTAAGAACACAAATCTCTGTATGCAGCTGAGAATCTAAATATTCATACTCGCCTTATATATTATTGACAAGAAAATATTTTGGGCTGTAAAGGTCCTATGGATTTTTAACAATGCGCACAGCGAGCTAAAATGAGATCCAAGTACCTGCTTGTTATAATTCCCATTAAAAGTGGCGACACGCGCGCACAAAAAATCAATAAAGCTCCAATTACTTTTTTAAATAAAAATAAAATCGGTTTCCACACCTTTGGTGTGAACTCTTTGGATGAGAGGAAACATTCAAGTGTTAATCCACACACCTCTGTTTACCCAGCAGTAAGTAGGAGCCCGCTTGTTACGTCAATTGGCGGATCACTTTCCGGGGGTAATAATCTTTGCAGAAATAACAATAATTAGGTCACTCAATCCACGACTGTTTGTGGGACACTGTTGGGTGCAATTGGCTGCTGCATTTTGCTCACATAATACAGTCAATTCACTTTGCAGTATATTCTGTGGTGAAGCCCTTTGAGACGTCTCGAAGACGTGATAAGGCGCTAATCAAATGCAAGGATTATTATTATAACTTGAAGGTTGAGAAGGTGAGGAGACCAGTCGTTGTGGCTAGGTTGAGGGACGGTTAAAGGCCTGTAAATTAATAATAAAACTTGTGCATTTATTGCAAAATAAAGCTGTAATAAATCCTTACATTTGACAGCGCCTTTCACGGCAGGATGTCTCAAAGCTCTCGGCAAACATACACTGTAAATATTTTGTAGGCGGTTGCAGCAGCCAATTTGCGTCCAGCAACGTCATGCGAACAGCCACAAAGTGAATGACCACTAAAATGAAAACCATGGTGGGATATGATTCTACGTTAAGCAGCTTTACCCCTTGTGCTTCAGTTTCTCCCGTCTGAGCACTTTTTGGGTTTGGCAATCTTTTCCCTTCTCGATCGTCCGTTGAACAGAACCTACCCTCAAGTTGGGTGGCACTCTGCACCTTAGTCCCCGACATAAAGGGAAGTGTCCAGACTGCCCAGGTTAAAATGAAAGAGTCGGTTAATTCATAATTGATTGTCGAGACCCAGCAATAAAGATTATCTGACAGAAACCGAGTCCCACATTTAGCACCTTTATTGTGCTCCCTTGATCAAATAGCTAATAATAAGGCTTTTTATATCATTATAAGGGTACAGTAATTTTCATGAGAGAGCAGCATGCCCTTTATTTATAATTAAATATAAATAGCGAATCCTTGACACATTGAGGTGGCATCGCCTTCAGCTGTTATGACTTCAAAAAGAATCCCAAAATCAGCCAGCGATCTTCAATGAAAAGACTATTAAAGTTTGGTTTATGAAGCCGTGTTTAATAATAATACAACCTTTCTAGAACACCATCACAGGGAATGTTTTTGACAAAGCGGTGATAGGCAAGCCGAAAAAAAAATAAAAATAATTAAGCGTTAAGCCAGGAATCATTATGCGCTGAAGCGATTCATTCAAGGCAATAAGACCTTGTGATTTCGAGAAACTAAATAATGAAGGAAGGGCCATTGAAAAGCCATTGTTCTGTCGGGGTATCACTGTGATTGATTGACTGAGCACTCTGTCTTCACTCTGTCAACAAAGATCAAAGCGAATCAGGATATCTGCCCAAAGCAAATATCAGCCAAATAAGGTCCCCTTAGACAAATGTCCTCATTTAATATTCTGGAGAGAAAATAATTTCTGTGCAAAACACACTTAGCTATGCATTTTCCATCTCTTTATCTTTAACTCTACGTGCGCGCCACTGATTCTGTCCATCGGGCATCCTGGCTCAGTCGGTGGCACTCTCTCTCTCTCTCTGTCTCTCGCCTGCGAGTCACAAGGTGTGGCAGGTTCAAACCCCCGCATCGGGACTTTGAGCTCCTATAGTCTACGCTGACACTCCAATGCAGTGATGAGGGGGGGCTGTGTTGTCGGACGTACCGTCCTTCGGATGAGATGTTTGAACTGAGGACCCGTCTGGCTGTTGAGGTGGACGTTAAAGATCTTATTTTCTATTTGAAAATAGA